TTAATAATTTTAAAAATAAATTTAAAATTAAATTAATAATTATTTTTTATATAAAAAATATTATTTATTTAAAAAATAATTTAAATTTTTATTTTTAAATAATATATTTAAATATTAATTAAATAAACGCGTTAACGCGTTTACGCGTTTTAATTATTAAAAAAATTTAATTATATTATAATTTAAACGTATTAATTAAATTAATTATATTTTATATAAATAATAAAACTCGTATATTTAAATCGTAATATAATTAAATTTTTTTAATAATTAAAACGTTAATAATTTTAAAAAATAAAATTAAAAATTTATTAATAAAAAAAAAATAATTAAATTAATTTAAATTAATAATACGTTTTTAATATTTTTAAAAAATTTTATAATTTAATTAATTAAAATTTATTATAATTAAAAAAATATAATTAAAAATAAATTTATTAATTTAAATTTATTAAAATAAAATTATATAATATAATTTTAATAAAAATTAATTTTTTAAAATAAATAATTTTAAATATATATATTTTTAAAAAAATTAAAATTAATATAATTTAAATTTTAATTTTTAAATATTTATATTATATATTTATATTATATTTTTTATTTTTATTTTTATTTTTATTTTTATTTTTATTTTAATTTAAATAATATTTTTAAATATATTTTATATAATTATAATAATTTAATTAATATAATAAAATATTTATAAAAAATATAATAATAAATATAATTATATTATATAAAAAATTATTATATAAAAAATTAATTTAATTAATAAATTTTTATTTTTTTTTAATAATTAATTTTATATAATAATAATTAATTTAAAATAATTTAAATTAATTATAAAATTTATTTTTTTAAAAAAAAATCTAATCCCCGATAACTTAATAACCATCGCTCAATGCATAAATATGCGTAAAAACAATCGTACCTTTACATATGTACATATATGTCTTTTCTTTTTTCGTCTACCACCCCCGGGGCTTACGCAACAAAAAACCGCGTTATTTCGTTCTGAGCCCTGTGCACCTCCGTAAGCTGCGGTACTCGGCTACTACGCAATTAGGCAAGGCCCGATAGCGGGAGAGTCGACATGTCACTTCTGTGATTCGACCCCGAGTTTAAGTTGACATCTACGTATTTACTACTACTTCACACATATTACTTCACAAATCACATCTCACGATGTTAGATGCTTTTGGTTGAAGGCAATTGATTCCCATTGATGTTTGGTTATCAAAATATCATCAAGTCCTGCTTCATTTTATGAGCATTGAACTTGACGATGCCTTCCCCTGACTGAACATGTCATTACTCCGCCATTTCCAACACGGTTGTCCCCATTTCAAACACGTTTGAGCCCATGCCCATGCCCATGGCCATAACCATACTCTCATTCCCCAGATAAAGTTGTTTGTTCGGGTGGTTGGGGTTGGGGTTTCAAGTGATAAACCCGGCGGATAGTTCATCTCTCTAGGTAGAGGTGATGATGTTGATGGTGAGAGTCGTCCACCAATATACCTCCCTGATAGTGGGTAGGTATATCCCCAAAAAATAAAACATGGTAGTTGAGAATGCTTCGTTCAACTCCTTTTCTGTAAACTCATGCTTCCATCATATTCATAATTCCTTTCGTTCCATACAATATTCATTCCATACAATTTGAAACAAGGCTTGTTCGCCTAGAAAACATCGATGTCATGTGGACATCTAATGTTGCTGACACAAAGACAGAGACAACTCTTCAGTAGTTGTTGAAGAGTTCGAGGTCGATGTCTGAATCAACGTCGCAGGACCAGTCGTCATCTTCCTCTTCGCTCATGTAGTCGTCCATGTCTTCGTCCATGTCATTGTTCGTGTTTTTGTTCTTGTCTTCATCCGATTCCTCAAGGGAATCTTTGACGTCAGATTCGTCAGATTCGTCGGAAAGTGGGAATAGGCTTCTCCACCAAGTCTCATATTCTTCTCTCTCTTCTTCGGTGAGCTTTTCCAGCACCACCTCTGCAGGGTATGGCATCGGCCCTGACACGTTGATCTGTTCACCGGAGAGTGGAAGCTCTTTGCACATAGGGCAGTTGATGTGGTCTTCTTCGTTGTAGAGGTTGTCACGGTCCACCAGCACGAAGGTAGTGCGGCGGAAGTTCTCTAGGAGTTTGTTCATGGCCTCCTTTTCTTCTTTCGCGCGGGTCTCCAGCAGCTCAGCCATGTGTTCGGCGAGCTGGGGCCACAGGCGCGTGTCGGCCGGGTCGTAGATGGGTTGGGTGACTGATGCGGTCTTCTCCATCAGACCCAATATGTATTGATAGTCTGTTACTCGTCGTGCTGCGAGGTGAAGGGAATTCTCGTAATTATTCCTGCTGATAAGTCTGCGCGCCTTATTCATGCGATTGTCGGCAACCATGGTGTTCAGTTGCTTGTAGTGGTGGCACAACAGGCAGTGTTCTTTGTGGGGGCTCGCGACGTTGGCGTATTCGTCCCAGTCAGAGTCATTGGTAATAGTAGAAGTAGGGTTGACTGATTTGCTTGATTCGCTCTCTTCGACTTGTTTCGCTTTGGATGCAGTGTGTTTGTTCTTAGGAGTTTTTGGAGATTTAGGAGATTTAGTTTTCTTCGGAGTTGTAGGTTTGGTAGGTGTTTGTGGCTTTTTTGTAGACTGCTTGTTCTCCTGCGTTCGTCGGGGCGAATTGCTAATCTTGGTCGGGCGGCGTAGGTGGCCTTGAGATGGTGTGTGGTAGACTTCTGATATGGGCGATCTTGGGCGAGTCGCGGCTTGCGCTGTAGGCGAGTGGATAATGTCATCGTTGGCGTACGGGCCAGGGATGATGGCGCTGGTTGTTGTGGTTGTTGGTCGACGTGGACTGCGGTTTGATGCGCCGTCTTGAACCTCTTCAGGGAGGCTATTATAGTCACACGGATCCATGTTTGTTGGTAGTCTGTTCTTTATGTCTTCGCTCAGGAAACTTCGCACTTGGTCATCTAGACGCAAGTGTCGATGAGAGCTGATGTGGGCGAATCGGTATGGGTTACCGATGGGTGCGTCGATTCGCTTGTAAATGCTGTCCCAAACTCGACGTCTGGTCTGGTAGTCATAGTGGAGGATGTTTTTATTGTATTGTGCCATGATGAAGAGCTTCTCGACCTCCGGTGATACAGTTTCGCGCAGCTTTTTGCATACTGCTGCGAACTTGTCTGATAGGGTTTGGAAGGGATCATGCTCCGTAGTGAAGATCTGCTTCAGGAGCTCATGATGATGATCCATAGCATCAAGCACAGTTACAAGACGCCTGCCAGTGAGCAACGTGTAGGATGGTGCCACAGGTTGCGGTGCGTGTGTTGTGAAGAAGGCGTGGGCAGTGATTGAGTCGCCCGATGGCCTGGTGATAGATGCCATGATGGGTGCCATGATATCGTCACAAGAAGGGTTGTTGTAAACGATGTTGTTGAGAGAACTCTGTAGTAAGAGTCTAGTAGTAGAATAATAGTGTGAGAGTTTGAGATTCGTTGAATCGATGAAGTTTTGTTTGAGCACTGAGTGTCAGATTGCTTGATGGTCAAGATATCTTGTCACTCTTCTGTGTGTGTATGTGCGTGTGTGTGTTTTATGAGGAAAGAATTCCTGGTTTTCCGGGGAGCTGGGGGTATTTATAGGCAAGCATCGACAATTAAGTTTGGTATCTATCACCAAGGGCGATCTAGAGTACGGTGGATTTATACCTTGGGTGATGAACTCAATCTTAGAGTCATCTGGTTTGGCTTTGAGAACTCGTCGACCAGCTGGTACTGGGGACGCTTCAGGCCAGTTTAGAGCCATATTATAAGTTTGAGGATACTAGATTTCCAACCTCTTAACGCCTCAAAGTTGTGATGAGTGTGGGGATCGCGTCGTGGCGTCAACGTTGTAACGTTAATAGCTGAGATGGGATGACATCTGACAGCCGTCGCGGGAATGTCATAACCGTACACCTAAATAGAAACGTACCTACGAAGGTTTCGAGAACTGTAAATTATGTGGAGGGAAAGATTGTGCGGTATGTTAAACGCCAAAACCTTATGGGAAGTTAAAAGTACTGAAAGGGGGACGGGGATGAGAGAAGCAGAATGATAAGAACCGTCTTTAGACTACCAACTAACAAGGAGATAGAATGGATTGGTTTTGTTGATTCCATTAACCTTACCCGTGAAAAGTTGATTTCTATTGAGGAATGTTTAAAGCCGGGGTCTGTTAACAATGGCTTTGTTGATGAGATCTCCAGAGGCGTCAGAGACATCATACCCACAGTATACCAATCTTAATTAAGATTTCCCATTGTGTCCACAGAGATACCCAATGATCACCGAGGTACCTAGGTTCTTGACATGCCAATGTGAATTCTATTCTCTTATAACTACTAACTAAAGGCCGGTGTATGTAAACCACGTTTTAGTCTCTGTGTCATATGTCAAGTTTGAATGTGTGGGGGTGCCGCCCTTAATACTTCCAGTCTCTATATTTCCTACAGCGGGAGATCCATTAGTTCGATGTAATTTATTCTCACCTGCAAGAACAGTGAAATTTGCTAAGGGGATCTCGTATCCGTTACGGACGGTGGTGGTCGGGATACCGAAGAATGAGGCGTCAACCTTTTCGTGGCTAATATATAGCTCGTAATACCCACGGTAATATAATTCTTGCCACTGGAGCTCAGCATTTGCAGCTGTCAACCTTTCCGAATAAGACATGGCGGCGTCTAACGTGACGTTCTGTCCGGCCGGGGATGGGGAGCTCACAGCAGATCCAGCAAACTCAACACCCATTGATCCAGATCCAGTGGCCGAATCGTAAGGATGCTCGTCAAGCCACACGAGGTCAGATACCCAGGAAGCATGAGAGTCTCCGGCGAGGAACACATTATTTCCTATGTTGTTCTCGTAGATGACGTGAAACGTGCGGTTGCGATTAGCTTGGTATCCATCCCATTGGTCGTAATTGTAGGGGAGGTCTGCGCCTGTGCTAGCGCTCGAATTAATTCGGCTGAAGACGATCTGATTAGGTACCTATGACGCGCCAGGTAGCTCCTCGAGTCGAACTCTCACGCAACGTACGATAAAACCACGCTTCTTGTCGCGGACCCATCAGGGTCCGGCTAGCATCGTTGTAAATTTCGCCCAAGTATTCGGTATTCCAATACACATCAGTGATTGCTCGATCATACTGCCGAGTATCTAACATGACAAGATCGAATAAATTGCCGAATTTAAATTTACGCCATATCCGTAAATTGTCGTCCATGTCAACTTGTCGAATAGGCACTGAGGTCGCTATCAGTAAAAGCATATAGCCATCATATCACATCGAAAACCCACTCCATTCGAAATATGCTCTGACAGCATTCATCTTCCGTTGATCAACTGATACGCCACCATCCATTATGAATGACTCCTCAGTATTGTTCATGTGAGATGAACCGCTACGCCAGGTGTTATCAGCCACCTCTTCCACGAAATATGGTTAGTAATAAACGCCACACACGCTCGGACGGGGCTAACCTACCATGGTCATCCCATACAGCTATCCAGGGGAAGTTCTGATGGCTCGCTAGCAAATCCAGATCAGTTCTGTATGTGGCGATACGCTTTCGGTAATCATAGAGACTATGATAGTTATATTAGATGATCTGGTACGGTATGTCTTCGGGGATTGCGTACGTGAGTATCTCCCGGTCTGGAAGTGGAATTCGATCGTAAGAATTACCCCATCCGTATTCGCCATTAGCGTACTCGTATATGTAGTCACCAAGATGGATCACGTAGTCGACGGAGTCCTTCCTAACCGGATTACCGTACGCATTGAAGAAACCAAACGCTACATTCTCAAGTTAGTCCCTAAATTTTACTAATCAAGTCTTTTAATGGAAACTGACGATAATTGCTGCAGGAGTACACAGCAAGTCTCACGGGTTCTGAGACTTTGTCGTTGGAAGAGGGAATCGTCTTGGTACGGCCGATAGGGGAGCTGTTGTTAGAATTACACACATTGAATTGATAGTCTAACAAAACGGTTAGTAGATTTTCATGTTAACATTTCTTGCTACGTACAGTACGTGGTAGAAGGCTTTAATTTCTTAGCTTCAACCTGAAACGGCCATTAGTATATCGTTGGGAATTTTCGAGAGCAAGCATATTTGCCTTGATAGTGTAGTCGATATCAGAACTAGTATATGCTCTGCCAGAATTGATAACATGGTCGAATGATTTCGAAGTGCTGATTTTCCAATCAACGCAGATCGGAGAGTTGCTCTTTGCGACATACTGCTCAGTCGAATGATCGTAGAGTGGGACGTAGCCTGAGACAGTAACATTACTCTCATTATTATCACTACTTGGTGCAGCCCTCGTCCACAGGATGACGCTATCGTCGTAGGGATCACCGGAAGCAATGCCATGAGTGAAATTCAACTGGTTTGGATCCTGAGGAGAGCTACCGTAGGTCCGTTTAGCCACCTTGCTAATCGATATACCTAGCGACGCATGATGCTTTGAGGGAGAATCGTAGTTGAGGTTGCCAGTGAAGGCTGCCGAAGCAATACCGGCGAAGGCCAAGCACAAATGTAAGCCACGGGCCATGCTGAGTTGGCTATGCGGTGACCGTATTCCTCAACATTCGCTTGAATGAGACATGGACATAGCTTTCCTTTATATTCTTGCCCATGGTGCTCAAATACTACATAACTACCTAGGTAGGTATCGTATCGGGATATGTTCGCCATGTGCATACACCACTGGATGTAATGTAGTAGGTAACATAAGAGGGGAAAACTGAGAGTAATCATCGTACCCGTGATTGGATACAGCTCTAGAAGGAAGAGCGCCAATCACTTGGCTCGCGGTGCATTCCGGCTTTCAATGCATACATGATCCAGCTTGACGATCCCCTAAAAGGGAGCAGGCCGGTAGGAAATATCTTCCGACGAATATTCCCAAGTACCTGTAGGCCTATGGTAAAGCCTCAAAACGTGCTGAGATTGGTTGTGCTCATTGGACTGTTGCACCTGGGTTGTCTGAGCTGGTCTGCAGCTGCACGTGCGGAAGATTCCACTTTAATGAATGCAGTCCCAAGGAGCTGGGTATGTGTATTAGTAGTTCCTCATAGTCGGCACCTCATCCACTTGGGTAAGATAACACGAGATATGCGCCTCATATGTGAGATTCAATGAAGTTGTAGAGCTGGGAACGAATTGAAGGTCCCTCTGAAAATGGTATGAAGTTTTAACCTTTGAGGTTACCTTTCGCTTACGGCTTTCAAGGCTCGACGTTATGCTTATGATGAGGTCAGTGTCTCTTCCGCACAGTGTGGCAGCTGTATGAATTTACGGCCTAGGAATGGCCCGTGCTACTACCTACGTAAAGGTTAAAGCCACTAATAAGCGGCAGATCGAATCCTAAATTACGTCCTATCTTATTCCGATGCTACCTAGTTTCTTTTTTTTTCGTTTGAATACTTCGTACTTAAACTTTCTTTAATTGTTACCTTCAACCCCCTACCCACCTAAGCACCTGGTCAAGGTGTTTCCACAAATCTCGTTACAAACTTCAGGGCTTCTAACTTACAGGGAAATCAAAATGCCACAGACGACAAACTGCAGGAGTTGACCATTCCTATCGGTCGAGGATTAAGACATCTGCGCCGCCAATCCCCGTGGCGTGAGGTTACAGAGGACCGGCCCGGAACTAACCTATCAACGTGAACCTCAGGGTAGCACGGGGATTAGCTCGAGGATCTGCTGTATCTTACATAGCTGCATTGCTAACCAAGATGGCAAGATTGTTTCGTGCGCCTGCAGTCTTTTTACAAGCTTTAACCTTAGAGGCCTTACCTACCTCGATACCTAGCACCTGCCTACTGGAGAATCCTGGGATCTTATCTCTTGGGAGGAGCAAGTCTCTGTAGGCTAGGTCGAACTCGATATAGCCATTACGTAGTTATTTGTTATTATCATTGGTTTGGCCGAGTCTCTTAATTGACAACTTCAAATGTCTCAATGTTCTGGTAGTTTTTGTTGTTGAATTTTTAATGTTTTTTTTTTACTCTTCATTCTAACTACTTTTCTCGCTCTCCTACGAAATATCATCCTCTACCGCACGTACCTAAGTATAACTTATCTACCACATTGCTTTCTGTGTATACTACGCAGTCAATATCGCTCGGCTGAGAAGTAGAACGCCACGATTCCACCGCTCGGTTTAAAAGTTTATGAAAAATGACGGCGGAGGAAAAGACAGTCGACAAGGGACAAGAAGACCCTGGCTTCTTTGAAAGAGATGTTGGAATGGGCGACGATGTTCAATCATCTCTAGACGATGCCGAGGACATTCTGGCTCTTCAGGATTTGGACCCTGCGCTCAATGCGAAAATGCACCTTGTCAATAACGTGAGACTAATTTCATGAGCGTCTATGGTGGCTCACGGTCGGCTTATTAACGTCCATATATCAGGCGATTGACGAGATTGGTTGGACTAACTACCATTGGAAACTATTCGTCTTGAACGGTTTTGGGTAAGAATAATGTTCAATTCAAACAGTCACCGAATGCTCACGCGACCTTACGTGACCCCATAGATACGCCGTCGATTCTTTAGTTCTCTTGCTACAGAGTAACATTGCAGGTCCAGCCTTCAAGGAGTTTGGCGAAGTCGGTTATGCCAACGCCCAAACAATTGCAACTTACGTCGGAATGCTTCTAGGAGCCCTCTTTTGGGGCATGAGCGCTGACATCATAGGCCGGCGTTGGGCATTCAACATATCTCTCTTCATCTCTTCTGTAGCGACTGTCGTCTCTGGTGCGGCTCCGAACTGGGCCTCCTTAGGATTTTTCACTGCTATGGTCGGATTTGGTGCCGGCGGCAATCTTATCCTGGATACCACCGTCTTTCTCGAGTACCTCCCTAGTAACAAGCAATGGGCGTTGACTTTCTTGGCCTGCTGGTGGGGTATCGGTCAAGCCGTCACTGGATTCATCTGCTGGGGCTTCTTGGGTGAGTTTCTCCTATAATTATGGAGTTATTTTTCGGACTTCTCATGGATGTGTACAGTCCCGTCCCAGTGGAACTGCGAGTCAGCCGACAACTGCCCGAGGGACTCCAATGAAGGTTGGCGATATGTCATGTATACTTCCGGTGCCCTCGTCTTCGCCATGTCCATCGCGCGTGTCACTGTCGTCCGGCTACAAGAAACCCCGAAATACCGCCTAGGTACAGGAGAAGACGCTGAATTGGTTGAGACGCTACATTCAATCGCAAAGAGGTATAATCGTAAGTGTACGCTGACTTTGGAAAAATTGGAGGCTTGCGGGACGGTCCGGACCGCCCATAGCGAGAACCGTTATTCACTCTCCGAGAGCTTCGTACATCTCTCCGGACTTTTCGCCACGAGGAAAATCGGCCTCTCAACTATACTCATCTGGTTCTCCTGGACGCTGATCGGATTAGCGTATGTTTCGTCAAACTAATATCCAAAGAGAGAAGCTAACGGTTTTGCCCTGGTAGCTACCCTCTTTTCTACGTCTTCCTTAAGTATGTGTGAACGCGCTCTATGTTATGGGGTCTTATATCTCATATTATCATAGCTCGTATCTTGCTAGTCGCGGGGCGACTGCCGGTGTTGGCACTTTCGACACATGGCGCAATTATACCCTCACCAACGTCTCTGGTATATTTGGACCAGTTTTAGCGGCGTGGATGTGCAATATCAAAGTCCTCGGCCGAAAGTATACTATGGTAATAGGCGCTCTAATAACCATGGTTTTCTTCTTTGCCTATACTGCTGTCTCAACATCGGCACAGAATGTTGGATTCAGTTGTGCTATCGCATTCTGTATCAACATCTACTACGGAACATTATACGCTGTGAGTATAACCTAGAACTATTCTTCTACTAGATCTTAAGTGAAAAGGGGTGATTATGAGACGACTGATAAGGCTCCTAATTGCTTTCTGGACTTAAGAAATGGCAATTACTAACATTCGCTATTGTAGTACACACCCGAAGTGCTTCCAAGCGCCCATCGAGCTACAGGAAATGGTATTGCAGTTGGCTGCAATCGCATCATGGGTATTATCTCCGCTGTAGTAGACAGTACTGCTAATACTGGATCCGTGGCCCCGATCTATATCTGCGCAGCGCTGTTCTTGGCAATGGCAATTGTCAGTGCGGTCTTCCCCTTTGAGCCATATGGACGAAGGAGCTCGTAGTCTTTACGAGCTGTTGTCTGTATAACCTACTTAACTAAGCTGCAGCATCACACAGCCTCCTGGAACTCCCTACACTACAGCCGCACTCGGGTTTAAGGCTTACTTCTAAACGACGTACAATAATGAGGGAAATACAGAACTGGCTAGGTACCTACCTGTTTCGTGGCTGAGATGTGGCAGGGTGTATTTGAAATACTAGCACCAGGCTTCAACCTTCACCTTCAGTTGTTAGTGGCTAGCTTGGCAGGCCCTATTGACGAAAGTCGTGGTTATTGGTATCATCCCATCAAGTTGGCTACGGCATTTACTATTTGATACCCAGTTCAAATTTTCATAACAATATACGATACCCATCTCATCTGTTCCAATGATAACTCGTGAACCTTTGTTGTTTAAACAGTGTTTGCCACGTTTATCATCCCCTTAACTGACAGAAATAGCGAACCAGAGACTAGGCAGACTTGCACTCTCGAAAGTAATAGTCATCCCCTTATCTGATGCAAAGTTGCGGGAGCTACGATGCGGGGTGCACCGTAGGGGTGTATTACACCTTCTCTCAGAAACGACACATGCATGCATGGACTAGTCCCAACCCCCGCAAAATACCTATCTACCTTATATATTTAAAATGTGAAGGATCTACAAGAGCTCAGGTAGTTTCCCGGTCAATTTTCATGATTCTATTTGGAAGGTGCATGACGAAATGGTTGGTAGTACACGCAAGCGGTCTTCATGCAGCTTTCCGAAGCTGTACCACCATAACCTGACCATAACCACATCCCTCAATCGAGATGTTCGTTCAATCTTTAGCTAACAATAATTGATGCGGCATGATACCAGCACAACATATCTAGAAAGCCTCACTAAAAGGAGATCATATAACATATCCAAGATTGACGATGTTAAATCGCGATACATCACAGAGCCATCCCATGCGATTGGCGAGGGGGATTTGGCCCCCAGTGTCCCGCCCATCGGCTGAAAAAACGACCAGGGTACGATGGCATAAGCATACTCTTATACCATGGCGAGCGAGGCTGAGTACGCAAGAAAAAAAAATTACTTAAAGGTTCATACTCAATATTTTTGATACCATATGGCTCCCTTTATGGCATTAGCTGCCTGATCTACAGTAGTCGACTTTCTAATAGACCACTGACGCGATGGAGAACCAACAAGCGACGGAGAAGAAACCATCCGGGGGGGAGGCGTCGATGAAAGAAATTTGGGATGAGGCAGCCAAGGCGTTCAAGGAGATATGTGGCGAATCGTTGCAGAGAGGCGATATAACGGGATTTCATGATGTGCAGATGAAGATTGAGGGCATCAGCAAGGTATCATATGGAGTCGATGACGCAGAACAGAGAGACAAGTGGGATAAGGCCAAGAGTGTGGGACTCGACTCGCTTCAGTACCTAAAATTGCTTGTCGGTGTTGCTTCCCAGGCTTCTTCGGTTGTATGTTGGATTTTCAAGCTTGTCTCGATGGTTGCTGACGCTTCTAGATCCCCATTCCTGCCTCGGCTGCTAACATCGCTAGCAGTGCCCTATGCTTCGTTTTTGATATTCCCCAGGCTATCAAAGGTTACAACGACGCCATCAATCAGGTCTTTGGTGAGGTATCTTCAGCGCTCTCCCAATTCCACATCTACACGTCGATACAAAACATCAACCCCGAGCTCATTCAGAGAATCCATCTTGTCATGGTTAGCTTCGTCAAGCTCTGCGCTCACGTCGTCAACTATCGCCAAGGCCGCAAACGGGACCGCCTCTTGCGACAGATCAAGTCTATTTTCGACGACGACTCAGGCTTGGGCGATGAGATGACTAAATTCAAGCAGGCATTGCAGCAGCAGCGTGACGTTGAAGGAACCGTCACGCTCGCGGTGGTGGTCAAGACACAGCAGGACGTTGCGATGGTCCTGGAGCAATCGGTCATTTTTGGAAAGACGGTCGACGAGACTCACCAATTAGTACAGGAGACCCAGAAGGACGTGCAATCCTTCAAGGACGACGCTAACCGCAGCAAGACGCTCATCAAGATCCGCGACGCACTCGGCGTTTGGGCAACGGTGCGACTCGATACTAACACCACGCAGACATGCACCGATATCTACGAAAGGTGCCACAACCGCACAGGATCCTGGATCTGGATGCACGATGCTTACACCGCATGGACAGTGCCCAACAAAGATAAGAAAACATCGCACATTCTCATCTTGTCCGGACCCCCGTCGTCGGGTAAGACCTCTGCGAGTGCTCTTATTACAAAGCGCCTGGAGGAGCAAAAGGGGCGGACATATGTGGCGCATTACTTCTTTCCCCCTAGCACCAAAAAGTCTGACGACGAGAAAACTTCCCCCGTGCACTCAGCCTTAAAGTACATGGCGTTCCAGATCGCCCGCGTCGACGTCACCGTACAAAAACCGCTCGGCAAAGTGTGCGATATTGGGCCCGGCGTATTTCGTCGCTCGACGAGTCTCGAGACTCTGGATGCACTATGGGGGGAACTTAAAATTGGGACACCTGGGTTGGGCACCACATATTACCTCGTATTCGATGGGCTCGAGAATCTGCCCGACAAGCAGACCGAGATTCTACTCAAGTTCGTTTTTGGCTCCAAGCTAGCTCAGGAGTCCGCTGGGCGCGTGCGCATTCTGGTGAGTGGGACGGACGACTACTTCGTCAGCAGGGCGGGAGGTGCCAATACTAGTAGCGCACTAAGAATCCGGATGGAGGAGCACAACAGACCGGATATGCGCATCATCGTCGATGAGGAGCTCACCAAGCGGGGCTTGCTAGAACACGCGAAGTCCGGCTCCGAGCAACAGAGAGCGCGGGACAAAATCATCGAAAAGTTGCCGCAGAGTGTTAACGGAAGTTATTCCCACTTGAAATTTGCACTCGAAGACGTAGTCCGCCTGCTGAGTACACGCACTGCGGCTCGGGAACTTGATCGTTTGCTAGACCAACCGATAAGCAGCCACGAAGCAGCCATCAAGAATCTTCAACGGTCGCTAACAGCGGAGGAGATCGGCGAGCTGAACGAGCTGTTGAAATGGGTATTGTTTTGCAACGAGCCTATGACGTTGGACCAGCTCGAGGCCGCGATGGTGAGTGCTCCTGTCTGGGCCTGATCGCGTAGAGTTAACTAACAGCATAAAGTACCTCTACTCCGGCACGGAGTCTCTCGCGTCGCTACAGTTCATCGTCAAGAACAAATACTCCGCCGTACTAAAGCTAGAAAAAGGCTATGTATATGGTCAAGATGGTGTCAAGGACTATCTGCAAAAAGATAAAGACATCTCGGACAAATCGTCACACTCCAAAGGCCGTTCCACTATTAGTATGACCATCACTATCAACAACGTGGATCAGGAACTCTGTGGGCATTTCCTTTGGGACCTTGCTCACAAGGCGATCCGGGACAAGTTCAAATTTGACTTCGACGCGGGCTCTCCCAACAGTGCCCTACACAGTAGCAACCAAGCCGCCATTAGAGTAGATGAGTTCGAGGCTCATCACACTATTGTTACTCGCGCATTCGAGTACCTGGACAGAGAGTGTAAGGATCAGACCAGGGCGATCGGGAATTACTTAGTCGGTTGGTTGCCGCACCACCTGGGCCGGCTGCGCGAGCTTGAGGACGAGGAAAAGGGGGCCTTAACACCGGGCGAGCAAATGGAGATTGGTCAAAACTTATACAAGTTGTTCAAGGATAGAAAGGTGTTTTTACGCCACAAGACAAGTTTCGAGGAGACGATATGGTATGTTGAGGAGATGGAGGGATTGCAGAAATGGCTTATGGACTCGGCTGTTGTGCGAAGGCTGGACAAGAAGTGGCGAGACGAAGTGCGACTACCTATTAGCCCAACACGGAGCTTTATGAAGGAATTCGTGAAAGTGGTCGTCGAAGCTCTACTCAGGGAGAGGTGCTGGGACGTCGAGTACGCTTATTTTTGGATAAGGGAGTTTATGGGGCTGGTGAGTCTCTGCAAATCCAATCAATGACCTTTGTATAAATGCATTGACCATTCTCCGGGACAGGACAAAAAGCTTCAGCAGACACCCGAACGTCTCGAAGTTGACGAGGAAAAGTCGTCTGGACCTACCGGCTTCTCCTCTGTCCACGACTCTGATGAAATTGACTGGGAAGGCTTGAGCGCCTGGTGCCAGAACTTCCTGGGACTTCCGGACGCAGAGCTAAACTCACTGTGGTACGAGCGCCTCGCTGAAACTTTGTCCACGCAGAGCTGCAAGGCCTGCACAGTCTTGTCACTTTACGAGCGTGCTATCGAAATGGGAAATCCTAGCTGGCTATGTCATCGTGGCTTGGGGAAAACGCACTTTACTGAGCGCCGAATACAGAAGGCCGTCGCGCATGGGGAGCTGGCGTTGAAAGAGGCGGAACAAGAGGGTGCTACACCCAAGCCAAAAGCAAAGGATATTGTGGAGTTGCATCTACTCTTGGGCTTATATTTATACGAGGCGAACAACATGCAGAAGGCGGCAGAGCACTACTTATTTGCGTGCGAGAGCGAGGTCCCAGTACAGGCCAGGGAGGGACAGCTAGGTTATCTGAAAGCTGGACTAAATGTCCCAGATGCAGAAGCAAAACGGCAATTGTTAAAAAGCATATTAGTCAAGGGGGTTGGAAAGGGAACGATGGCTAGCGTCCTAAAGATGATTGCGCGAAACGCCGAGCACGATATTGTCGTCTCCAAGATGTTCACCGTGGCGAAGGATGATACAGACCTCTTCAGGGGAATCATACGCGCCATGAAAACAGCGACGGAGATGCCCGCGCCGAGTGAAGACGACACCGGAGAGATAACCGAAGACAGTATCTTCGCTGACAACGAGGCCCGCGGAGTGCTCCTCTATGATCAGGGAGTCGCGGCGTATACGTACATGTCGTCTGACGACACTAAGGCCGTTGGCGAGGCCCTGCAGCTATGGAAGAAGAGTCGCGACCTGCTCTCGAACGTTGGCGGGCGCAACGCCCTCATCGCACGACAGGACGCCACCGCAGCGCTAGCAAAACATTACTTCCAAGAAATGATAGACGGGAACCATCTGGACCATACCGATGAGTTGATTAGGCTGACAGTGGCAGAGATAGATGTTCTTGTCTACTACGACGACGCGGCTGGGTTCTTGGGCACGGTGTATGCATTACAGGGCAAGATGGAACAGGCTAGAGATGTACTTGTGGGGCGGATGAGGCAAGCATTCCGGATCCTCTTAGATGATATACCTGAGAACGATGCGTACGGTTTCGCGATCATAATAAAGACGTTGGAGCACTGCCAGGACTTCGCGAACGCGGCCTTTGCCCTATCATTGGGTATTCCGGACATCATTACCGACGCGCTATTCTTCGATACCAAGGACATTGTAAGGGACGACGTAGACAAGGAACGGCTGTCAGATATGGTCAATAAGTTGGCAGGAGAAACGGTGCAGATTGCCAAAGCCCAGATTCCGGACGCCTCACAGCAAATGCGACGCATTGAAGCTGCGAAAGCGCATGTCGATTCTCTCATAGCCTCCACACAGGCCAAATCCAACGCAGAAACCAACCGTGACTGCAGCGAGGCCGAAGGATCGGAAATCCAAGACAACCAAGGCAAATTAACCACTTCAGATCCTGAGAGAACCTCTGCGCTCAACCTCCTTCGCTCGCGACTATCTGCCCTGCAGCAGGGATACTCGCCCGAAACGGACTCCCAGTGGGGTTGGAGCTGCGACGGGCGCACTATAGACGGCAAACACTGCGAGAACAAGACTAGCTTTGAGCGCGAGATGTACCACTGCATATACTGCACAAGCCGGGACTTCTGTGGCGACTGTCTCGCGCGGTTGCGCGCTCGCAACTCTGGCGCAGGCATCACAGCGTGCAGCGCAGAGCATCGGTGGTTGCGAATCCCACATTGGGGAGACGCTATGTACGTCGGGCCGAAGGCGGAGAGCGTGCGAATGCCGAAGGGAGTGAGACCTACGAAAGACGACGAGAGGATTTTAGAGGTTTTTTATGGCGAGGATGGTGGTGAAGAGATCGCGGTGGAGGCATGGAAAGAGGCGTTGGCCCAAGAATGGGGCATATCCCTCGAGGAGATCAGGAAGGAGATTTCTAGGCAAGCCACGCCCAACGGGGACGAGCAGGGTGAAAAGAAGAATGAGGGATAAACGGGCGTGGGGGAGAACAAGTCGCGTTGGAGCAGCTTGGGAACTCGCTGTAAAATGTTGTTCCTCTTTCAACGGTCGCACAGGCACTTTGGAAATCAACAGTCGCGGGATTTTATGATATCCTTGAAGTCTAACGATAATATACTTCAAGGGAGCTCGTTCACAATATTCCTCAATTACCAGCCAGTCGACGACTGGCTTTTGTTCCTCTAGAGTATTTGTAAAATTGCATCGTCCTCTTTATAAAATGCAATGGTTCTAAGGAGCCCTCTGGTGAGTGAATACATATGGTCGTGACGCGTGTTGAATATTACTTAAGCATTTCAATAGATTAAGTCAAAATATATGCACAAATATCCCACATCGACATTCTTTGACTAATACTTGCAGCATTAGTTGTAATGGTTGTTATAAGTTGACAGGCCTTGTAATAGTGGTCTTGAACGATGGACTAATATCCCCCCTCATGACTCCGACCGGGTTACCACACTCTGCAAAGGGGTAAAACTATCTTCGGTTTCAGGGATCTTGAGATCAAATTCCGTAGTGCGTCTGATACGTAGGGGTTTTGGTTTGTACTCAGGTTGTACCATCTCGACTGGCGGCTTTCTGCGTTTAAGAAAGTTGGGCAGAAGCCAAGCAAGAACTGGCCGAACAGTGGGAAAGCAGCAACACATGACAGCAACGTTTATCTCAATGCTTGCCCAAACGCTGACATCGACATAGGTCCCTGTCGAAAAACACGTTAGTAACCAAAAAGAAACCTCTTGTCTTAATGCAATGGTAGAGACGTACAAGTCAGACTGCTGGACTCGGTGACCAGCATGGAACCAATGCGTAGACCACTTGCGACTATAACGAAACCACCCAAGATAAAAAGGCTACTGATGGCAGCTTTGGAACGCCAACTAAGCTGAAGACGCCATACCTCGCGCACTTCGACGAAGAGGATTAGCATGTATTCTTCGAGTAACGAGTCTGCGGGATTTCAGGATGCCTAAGGCCTCCTAACCCCTGAGACAAGCTAATGAAACCACATACCAGGTAGGCCTAACAAGCAAACATCGGTAATCATATTAGGTATGCCGTTACCGACGCAGAACCATTTCGTATTAATACACTTGGATGGTATATCGACGTCCCAGAAGCCGTGGATAGGCTGACAAGTGAAGATAGTTGCAACTACGAGACCGATACCCCACCCAACGACGCAGAAAGACAGTATCGCGGTACTAACACGAATGAACCGCGTAGGAAATAGCTGCCGATATAGCATTATAATGGACAACTTAATTAGAGAAAAGCCGGTGCCGTAGAACATCCCCGAGGCGAAACTGATCTTGAGGACCTTGCGCCGGTTGGAGATTGTCACGGGTTGAATCTCTCCTATTCTTGCCTCTGCAGAAGTAGTTGGGGATTAGCATGGTAATACCAAGAAAATACTGGAGTCTTCATTAAAAAACATACCCTCTATTACTATCAGACCTACAGCCCATGCGCAGATGAATCCACCAATGGCGAGATAATCGCTTATGATGAATTTCGACCCTTTGATACGCCTAGAAGCGAGACGCATCGCCAGTGCTATGAAGGCCAGCACCATACAAGGGACGATGGCGCCGATAGTTCGGTCCAGAGAGCCATTGGCGATGTTGACATCGAGATATCGTCGTCGTAACTGTACCGCATCCATCTTCTCTCGTTTCAGGGGTTGACAATAGAGCCGAAGTAGCTAGAGAGGAACCGTCGTGGTCGATGTGTGGACATATATCATCTAGAAACGAACTGCGTCAACACTGGCTCTTGCTGACTAGGAGGCAACTCGGCCTTTGTCCTTCTAAACGGAGCACAGCGGCCTCGGCACCTTGGAAGAAGCTTAGGAAGCTGTCTAAGACCTATCAGTACACAATCCTCAAAGCTCAGAGCTAGGCAATGAAAGGTACCTCCTCATGTTGGATTGAGAGCTAGGAGATTTTTCCCATCCTAGTCTAGGTAGGTAAATTCGACTTAAAGACCATTCACGGAATAGGAAGAAACTGAGATTCATTCTTTGTTATATTTTTGTCGTATAAAGTATCACTGAGGGTTCGAAGCCGATCGGGACTCCAACAATCCAGTCTGACGATTGCGACGAAAAGGGGTTACATTTTTGCCCCTCGAGGTTCCTTTGTCTGACCAACACGTCGACTTGTTAGCTGGCTTCGGTCAGCTTTCGAGTACTCAATTATAGGCGATCTTTTCTTACACTTGCCATCCTGATCGCTGAGATAGTCTAAGTTCTCCAAGATCTTGAATCTAGGGGGTGGCTAGGTACAGCATTCCAGGGTACCATTCACTGGTATTTTTGAACCGCCTTTCCCCTTTCCATTTCGGTGTATATCTTCAATCAGCCAGCTGAATAACTTAATAAGCTCGCAGATTATTAACTTCTGGTCTACTTTCATTGTTTTAGCCATTCCAAAGATATCAGCTACCGAATACTTTTATCTATATCTATAATACCCAGCTTATGATTGGTAGTATTCAAACAGTATCCCCTAAAGCTTCACTTATGTACCACTGAGCCCTGGGTGAGGTTGGCTTCAGCTATCCTCCCTGGATCTTGAAGGGATGCCATGATTCCCTTTCAGGACAGTGAAATTAGAGCCAGTATTGAAAGTTGAATATTTATGAAAGTGCTTTTATATTATTATATCATCCCTGATTCGGGCTTGTGGTTTGTACCCAATACCCATCAGAGTAGGGGAATGTATTTGAATTAGTAGTAGAAATATGACATCTGGCAGTAGGCGTTAAAATACCTGATACTCTCTATTCTGGAAACACTCATGCATAGAATATTTAATTTCTTAAAAAGTTCCCTTTGCGAGGAAACTGCGCCAGGCCTATTTGGCTACCTCTCATCATATTAGACAGAATTGCCCCAAAGTCCTCTCGATCAGAACTTCATACACGAAACCATAAATAGGCAATCACCCACAACCCCCATAAAGCCGCCTCTCCCCACCTCCTAGCCTCCCTTCACTTCTCCCCCAAGTCAAAACGACTGCTCTCCCGTAACCACATCTCAAAAGTCTGCAGCCGCGGCTCTTGCCTCCTCAACCCCTCAATATCCACACCATACCCATCGGTCTCGAACCAGCTGAACATAGCCCCCACATTCTTCGCGGCGACTAGTCCCCGCACGGCCCAGCCGACGACCCACCAGGCCTGCGGCAGCTCTTGGCCGCCGGAGACGCGACGGTACGCATCACGCGCCTCGGCGAGCGTCAGGCAGTCGCCCGCGAGGCCGACGGCGCGGTTGACGAACTGGCGGTCGTCGTAGGCGGTAGACGCGAGCAGCGCCCGCGCGCCGAAAAGGCCGATGTCGCGGACGCTGACGAGCTGCAGTTTTGGGGTTGCCGGCATCGTGCTCCATAGGCTGGCGAATACCATGCCGAAGGCGCCGCCTGGGTTGACTGTGAAAATCGGTTGGTTAGTACGTATGTAACTACGATGCCTATTTATCTAGATATGTCCAGAAGAATATGGTTGAATATTCTAAGTGGGTACGAGGTAAGGGATGCGTGAGAGCGCAAGTACGAGATTAGTAAAGTCGGTAAGAACTCACGATTATCCATGAAAGCTGTCGGGCGCAATATCGTGTACGTCAGGCGCCCCTCCGACGCGTCGGCCTTGGCCTTCAGGTGCACCTCGACGTTGTGCTTCTCCCTGAAGTGCGGGATGTCGGTCGGGCTGTCCCAGCTCTCGGGCTCGCCGCCGCGGTCCACGCTCGAGAAGACGAAGTGTATCTTCCTCGGCTGCGCGGCGGCGGCGTCGACGAGGAACTTGGCCTGCGGCTCCTCGTCCGGCGGCGTCGTGTAGCTGAACACGGCGTCGATCTGCGGGTGCGCCTCGAAGATCGGGCCCGGGTTCCGCGTGTCGCCTTCCACGACCTTGAGGCGTAGGCTCGGATACTTGGACGCCAGGGCCTGTGCTTTGGGCGAGGAGGCGGTCCGGGTCAAGGCCAAGACGTTGATATCGGTGCTTGGGGGTTTGCTTGAGAGGAGCGTCGCCAACTCCGAAAGCACGAAGCCACCCTGCTGGCCTGTCGCGCCGACGACTAGGATAGTGCGTGTAGGAGGACGTCTATCCATCGCGTTGTTTATTGCTTAACTTTTGAAGTTGGACTTCTCGAGTGTCTGAAATTACCTAGGTATGTATGTAGGTATGACCACGGTGTTTGCTTTTTCGTGTCGTAAACGGAAGGTCGATTAGCTCTAATTAAGGGCGATAGAAAAAACAAAGACACTCGATCGGATACGGACACCTTCTAGAAGCCGCCACCTCCGACCCTATTATTAACATTTTGCCCTGAACACGGGATGGCCCTGTTAAGGGGTCAGCCCCAAGTGCGCAACTTCCGTCCTATTATCGGACCAGCTTCGTTGGCGTAGCAGTGAATGACGAGGATCTCATTAATATGCAATGCGTCTTGGTATATTGAATGTGCCAGCTGCAAGCTGCAAACTGCGAGCTGCACATGCACCGCCAGCTACCCGCGCATATCCCGAATGTAAATACAATCCGCGAGCCTTGAGCCTCTAGCTCGTACGTCTAGCTCGTATTACCACTTACACGGGACCTCACCTTTCGAGACGCGGTGCTCGGGGCTGGCTCTCCGAGTTCGTTCGAGAAGGTGATTGGAGGGGAATGAGGCGCAGTGAAACGACGAAGGCAGCGTCCCAACCCTATCGATGAAGTCAATATAATTAAGAGCGGCCTACGCCACTGTCTTAGCCCCGAGCTCCTCGGTCCCGACCTGCCTAGCCCGCGTTATCCACGGACAGGTATGCAAATATCGGGAGCGTGCATGAGTGACGTTTCACGAGACTTAGAAACAAACTAGGAGTCAACCGACGACGCGAGTCTTGAGTTGCTGTTAAGAACATGAATGTGCATCTTTGCTTTGGTCATTATTGGTGTGTATTCTAATCATAGCTGAATTGACCTAAGCAGCTTCTTGTTGGATCATTCGCCGTCTGCCTAGCGCTGTCTTGTGTAAAAATGAGAGCTCTCAATTCGTTAGCATTGTCGAGAGCTGAAATCAAGACGGGTCTAAAAAGCAAGTCCAAATCATCGCTTTTTCTCTAGGCGCATATGCATAGGCGCCTTTCACGAAAACACATGCATCGGCCGCTCGCTTGGAATGCGTACAGGTCGTATGACCACGCCACTATATGCAGAAGTAATTAAATCGTCGGTACGACAAACCAGCGTTCCGTCCTCACATAGCTGGTCCCTCCCAGGCATCTCTTCGAAGTCGGCATAGCCATGCTCTCTTATGTGGAAATGATAATTCCCTTTCCTTCGCGAAACCTCCGTATTGGAGGTGCTGGATAAATCTATACACGCGTCAATGAACCGCGAGCCGCGAATCGTCGGGAAATATTCATGCAACTCACCTTGCGTTATCAACTCTAGGCTCAAGACAAATGTTCATTGTGCGGTAATCTGCCTGGAAGCACCAATGGACAAGACTCGAAAGCCACTGTTGCACCCTCCCTCTAGCCCATTCTTCCCCGATGAATACATGTATTCCCCGGTCGAAGTCCTGGACGTCATTGCCCATGTAGCGGCCTAGATGATCCTCCTTTATCCAGTAGATTTCGAAGTATCCGAAAGGTACACCATCCCACATCCCGATAGCCGGAAACGAATGACGTGACTGTAGAGCATTGGAGAGAAAGTTAGGCTGGTACTCACCCCAGAATGATGCAACTCTGGGGTTTGACAGCCACATCTGGAGGAGTGAACAGTCGGACAAGGTATTTAGGTGGGCGTTCTCCTTTTCACTTGGTCCGACGGGCCCAAGACATGGTACAGGCTTTGGGGAAAGTGACGCCACGCGGAATGAAAGGTACTTTCCCACACTCGGTATGAACCGTGTATAGAAGACCTCGCCCATGTGCGGTGGCTTCTGTCGCAGCGGATGCCGAACATTATTGGTTAGGATATACTGCAATGGCGCCGGAGGGTAGTAGGTTGGCAGATGAGACGATGAATGATATGGCCCAATAGGGGAAGATGGTGGCTCTGGGGTTAAGGCATTGGATAAGGACGATAGTTGACCTGTTTCACTTCTGACTGGCGAAGTAGGGCGGCTGCTGTTCGGCGTTCCAGGATAGGAGCTGTGCTTCAACGGCTGCAGGGAAAAGAGAAACAGGCCGGTGTGGATCTGCCAGAACATGCGTCGAGTAACAAACATGTGATCCCATCCATGGTTGTGATCGCTAGAGCTCTGTCCGACAGCCGAATCCAGAGTTGATATCAAGCCCATCCTCTCCAGCTTTGGGATCATGTTTCGTGTGCGCAGGACACCCTCTCTTTTAATTCGGATGCGCCACTCGCCTCTGGGTCTTGCCTCTGGTGGAGCATATTTTGACTGTTCAGTCAAGATATATGGCGATGGTTCAGGCTGCTGGAAATACCAGTAAAGCGATACCCACATCATCATAGCTATTTGCCGCGACTGACTGGCGTGGGGTTTGAATTCACTGCTCGAGGGGCTTGAGATAGACGAGATGAAGATGGTGTCATTCTGCAAAGTCGGCTGGCTATACCTATGAATATGACTTCGTCTAGAACGTGGTTCATTGTCCTCATCTTGGAAAGTGAGATTGTGTAGTTGGTCTTCGGGATTATCTTCGCTATGTAAGACAACGGTCCAACCAGCGGGAAATGGTGCGTGGTTATTCAATTCGTTGGATTTGAAAAATAGGCCAGAGAAGACAGGCTGAACTGTGAAGCTCTGGCCGTCTGGCAAATGTACTATAGACGGTGCCATCTGGTTGATGGATATAAGAAGGCGATGTGTCGACGACAATAGTATTATAGGGCTGGTTGATAGGTAAAGCTCAGGGATATAGAAGGTGGAGGTTATCACTCATTTCCGATGTAATGGATCCACTGATAACGTTTAAATACCTGGATGGGCTTTGACGGCGTCCCCATGTGATAAGTCTCAAAGTGGTAATTTGGGAGAATCTCGTGAGTTCTGTCGGCTATCGAAAAGATAGAAAAAATTGATTGAATTAAATCAAGGATATGTCACAAACAAGCCAATGTGGGTCGACAACTTGAGATCCATCGACTATTCAGAGTTAAAACAAGAGCAAAGGCAACGGCGACTCCGTTTCGCCCAGTTTTCGTGAACGTCATACCACTCGGTTGAAATGTGAAGGCTGAGGGCTGATGGTGGGGGTGCGAGTTAACGGAACTCCCCTGTTAAGCCTATTCAGGCCTGTCAGGAGAGGGGAAATCATCGGATAGTGGTGTTAGCTTAGGGCTATCGATCTAAACTTTCCCCAGATTCTTAGCCCCGGCTCGGACAGCCGCATGTGATGTACCCGAGTACCTTATAGTCTGAGGACGCCAAATCGGCGCCATATAAGACGCCTTAGATCATGGCGTCTGTCATACCGGGCTCCAGGTATCCAATGAGCAATTAACGATTGCTAAGCAGGTGTGGTGCTAAGCATCAGATAGGTCGTACAAAATGAATACTCTTCCTGATTAGATCGTTGCAGAAAACGGTTGCTCCCACGGCTTCCATAACGGGTGTTACCAAGTGCAACCATCCGTGTGTAAGTCTAGAAATGGGAGCTGGGGCAGCATCGCATCCGATAATGGACATCTAGAATTCTCAGATGTCCACGACGAATATCGCCATCAGCCTTCCTAAACATCTTCTCACCTAGGGGTCTTGCGAAAATAATTAGGCTGGTGATAAACAAGAATCTTGGAAATTGATTGTTGAGTTGAAGAAATAGAGTGAGGAAGAAACCGGGACGATCTTGGGGGTTATCATTATCAAATATTACTAATCTATCTGCGCACTCTTTTGGTCATATTCTTATATCGAGTTACTAGCAATAGATAGAGATATGCACCAATTGAAGTGTGGGCAAACCAATTTTCATTTTTTATCTTCATTTGATAAGCGCCTCAAGCGTCGACGTGCGGCCCTATTAGATGAGTCACTTAACACCTTCATAAACAGGAAGGCTGTGACTTCTTTCATCTTTTTATATTCCATTTCTCTGATTCGTTTGAGAAGTGTAAATCATGGCGTCCAGCACTAAACCTGGAGAGAACATGCTATGGGGAGGTCGCTTCACTGGTATGTATAATAATTTTCATCTCATCTCATAGATCGTACGGGGTTATATATATTTATTCTCGATATGTTTCTATAAACATATTTTCAAAGTTGCGAATGCTTCAATGAGCCAAAATCGGAGTTTAGATCTCGTTGCTACTAGCTCCCAACTAACCATCATACTAACCCCCCTTCCTAGGCGGCCTCGACCCCCTCATGGTCGCTTACAACGAGAGTATCCACTTTGACAAGGCGCTGTACAAGCAAGACATCCTGGGCAGCATCGCCTTCGCGCGGGCCAACAACAAAGGCGGGATCCTGACGGACGACGAGTTCGCCAAGATCGAGTCCGGGCTGCAGGCCGTGATGCGGGAGTGGGAGGAGGGCAAGTTCGTGATTGTTCCCGGCGTGGACGAGGACATCCACACGGCGAACGAGCGGCGGCTCGGCGAGGTCATCGGCAAGGAGGTCGCGGGCAAGCTGCACACGGGCCGCAGCCGCAACGAGCAGGTCGCCTGCGACATGCGCATGTGGCTGCGCGACGAGCTGCGCACGATCGAGGCCCACCTCGTCACCTTCCTGCGCGTCGCCGCCGACCGCGCCGAGCACGAGGTCGAGCACGTCATGCCCGGCTACACGCACCTGCAGCGCGCGCAGCCCATCCGCTGGAGCCACTGGGTGATGTCGTACGGGCTCGCCTTCGCCAACGACCTCGAGCGCCTGCGCGAGGTCGTCAAGCGCGTGAACAAGAGCCCGCTCGGGTGCGGCGCGCTGGCCGGGAACCCGTTCCACATCGACCGCGACATGATGGCCGCGGAGCTGGGCTTCGACGGGCTCCTGTGGAACTCGATGGGCGGGGTCGCGGACCGCGACTTCGTGGCCGAGACGCTGCAGTGGGCGAGCATGCTGATGCAGCACGTGTCGCGCTGGGCCGAGGACCTGATCATCTACTCGACGGCTGAGTTCGGCTTCGTGCGGCTGGCGGACGCGTACTCGACCGGCAGCTCGCTGATGCCGCAGAAGAAGAACCCGGACAGCCTGGAGCTGCTCAGAGGTAAGAGTGGACGCGTGTTCGGGCAGATGGCCGGGTTCATGACGACGTTGAAGGGTCTGCCGAGCACGTATAATAAAGACTTGCAGGAGAGCTGGGAGGCGATGCTGGATACGGTCAAGACGGTCAGCGACAGCATCCAGATCGCGACAGGCGTTTTGGCAACTCTGGACATCAAGCCCGAGAAGATGAAGGCGGCGCTCGACCCCTTCATGCTGGCCACCGACATCGCCGATTATTTAGTGCGAAAGGGCGTGCCGTTCCGCGAGACGCACCACATATCAGGACGCGTGGTGGCGTTGTCGGAACAGACCGAAACGCCGATGAACGAGTTGACCTACGAGCAACTCAAATCGGTAGATGCCCGCTTCGAGCAGGACATTGCCGAGTATTTCGACTACGAACGCAGCGTCGAGATGCGATCCGCCAAGGGTGGTACCAGTAAGGAGAGCGTTCTAGAGCAGATAAAGGTTCTGAGAGGCACGCTGGGCGCCTAATCCTGCGAACTCATCTGCTAGTTGATGAACTACATTCTAGCAAAGGAATGTAAAACGGTAGAAAGCCCCATTTTCCACGGGGATCGTCATAACCGAGGGTTACCAGGTATAGACAAAAATGACCAATTATATTGATGAGTTCCCTAAGTAACACGAACCCGCGAATAATACTGAAATCGATCCAAAGAACCGCATGCTTCTGTATAGCTCTATGTGTATGTGTATGTGTATGTTATATGGGTATAATGACTCATGATTCATTACGTTCATCCGGTTTGTGTCTCGAGTTTTTCTCGCGGTCGCGGTCCTCGCGTTCATGATCTCTTCTACCATACTTCTCCTCTTCATGCTCAAGTATCTCTTTGACTTCTTCCCCGCCGACATCCTTGGTTTCATCCCAATCGACGTCGTAGTCTTCGGCTATGTTTCTGATTTCCCGCCTTAGCGCGTTCGCGTCGTGCACCAAGTTCTCCCACTTCTGAAGGTTAAATCCGCGCTCCTGGTACAGGATGTTCTGCCTTCTCGATACCGTGATCTTGAGCGCGGCCTGATAGCTGAGATCCCGGCTCATGAATAGGAACCATAGGTAACCGCCCATGATGGTTGTTAGGCCAGCGAGGTAAGTGATCGGCTCCATCAGATCCCAGCCGGCATCGGTATGAAAGGTTAGAAAGTACACAGCACCCCACCAGCCTGCCAAAGCGACAAACCCAGCTTTGGCAATGCGATGGGCTCCGCGATGGGCCAGCATATCGCATTCATGCTTAATTTTGGCAGGCCCGTCGATTTTATGGGACATACGCCGTAATCGCACACGCATGTAATAAGTGCGGTCATTGAAGCTAGGCACATCAACACGCAACTCGCTGTTCTGACCGGTGATCTCTATAGCAAACTCCCTTCCACGTGCGGCGTCGCGAATAAAATCACCAATTTCAGTGCTGCTGCTCCACCGCACCCAATCCTTATGCTCCTGTGGTGTATCGGCCCCTTCGCGCCCAAGTCCCGAATAGGATGCGATGTTCGACTTCTTCTTCTCTACCCCGGTCTTCTGGCCCGTCTCATCTCTCTCGGACCCTTCTGCTAGGAAATACACGCTAGGCATCTTCTCACGACCTTCGGCATCGTGAACAGCAGGAAGTTCGGCTTGGATCAGGCGTTCGAGGTAAGATAGCGGTTGCTGAGGATGAACGAGCAGCGCCAGGGGTTGGATGTCTTCATTCTGCGCCAGTGATCGGAACTCTCCTTTATTACCATGTTCGTCATGTGTGGCGTCGACGGGAAGAGGAAGTATGAGTTTTAGAAGTCTGGTCGGGGTGGTAAGAAGTTTGCCTGATCAGTGGTCAGCGTCACGCTTTTCCATCAAAAATAGTCAAGACATTTAAGTACCCTTTGTCATGGACTTATTCATACTACGTCTCGAATCGCTAACAGGAGGTTCATCGGCACCCTCCCTCTGCCAAGGGCGCCTAATCTGCTGCTTCGTAGCCTCTTCAATTCCATCTTTTACCTCATTCTCGTGCACAGCTTGGTCTCTGTGGTTCGTTTCCCTCGCCGTCTCATTGTTAAGCTGTGGCTTTCCTGTATGCTGGGTTATTGTTATGGGACGCCGCGAAATAAGTACTTGGTTTTCTCTCTGAAATGAAGGTATAGTGCATGTATTAGCAAGACGGCGACAGGAAAACTGCCGCAAGCCAGAGGCTGTTAGTCGAGAATACGCTCTAAACACATAGCTCATTGCTGCTTTATTTCCTACGATATTAGAAAATTAAGTTTGAAGCAAACTGTTATTTATTTCCAATTTGCTTTTATATGGACGAAATATTTACATCATTGCTTTTAAGCTTAAACAACCCGACTGCCCGAAAAGCTGGCGGAAGGGAAGCTGCAGAGGCTCTTCCATGCTTTCTTTCGCTAGTGACGTCACGAAGTATCATCCGTCATATTATGTATTTCCTTATCAGCTGCTTATATGCACGTGATTAACACGAAAGATCTCATCCCTTGACTCCTGCGAGCAAAGACTCGCGAATTCCTTCTAACCAGCCAACCTGCACACCTGTCATCATCACAATCCCAATTGAGAAGATTACCTTCAATTTCTCAACTCCGTTGTTTCGACGATCATTCTCCTTCGGATGATTTCGTGCTTAACATGGGCAGATTCTCCTACGCTAAATTGGGACTTGATTTACGATTAGATCTTCAATGAGCAATCCATTCATTAAAAACGATTGTTTACGATATGTTCGTCATTGAACAGTGCGTACGTACGCTTTCTGGTGCGAGCTACCCAGTGCCAGACACCTTCTGCTACAGGATCCTTGGCGGGAGAATAGTTGTTTCAGTTAAGCAGTGGAGTACGTCTCGCCTACAGCTCTGAATCCCAGCGGGCTCAAGAGTTCGAACGCGAACATTTATTCCACAGTCGTTTCAAATAATCCGTCAAATAAAGATATGATTGGCAATCAACACCAAACAATAGTACTATGTACAAAACTGCATACGCCACTTTGTGCATGCACCAACTACCAACAACCAAAAAAGGAATCATCCGACTACTTGACCATTCTGGGTTGGAGGCCCCGTTGACAATAAGTGTCAAGTGTCAAACAGCAGCGACCCCAGACTATCGAGTTTCGTTTCTCGCGAGAGTTGACACAAGTCCACACATGTAGACACGCGTCCGTTCGTTGAGAGAGAAATCTCTGTTCTAGCTTTTCAGGTTGTCACATCGCCTTGCAATGAGTTATAGCAGATTTTATCGACGTATCCCTTCGAACAATCGAGTCTTGCGCGCTTATTATTCAATAATTTAGTTATTTATAGGTCCTTTGTATTCCTTGCGCTGGGAAAAAAAGGGCTATGCCACTAACATGCGTCAACCAGCACCAATCAAACCTGGCCAAAGATTGAAGATCCCAACGCACGTTTCGCTTACCGCTACCGCGGAGCCAGCTCAGCCCAGCCCTACCAAAAGCTACCCCCTGTTGCCTATAGTTTTATCCTTACGAGGCCTAATCGCAGCTACGTCTCGGATGACGGCAGCACCACAAATGCATACAGGACTGACAGATTCACAGGTATATTTATTACGAGACCCAACCTCAGCGGCTGCAGCGTGAGGCGTAAGAAACTCGCTCGTATATAAGCTAGGTATCGTCCAGGCTGCTTATTCTACGGAGAACTCATCGATCCTAACCCTGGTAGTCACTCTTGAGTGAACCCATTCAAAGAATAACATATCACTTCATACTACTTTGTTCGCACCATAGCTTTGTTTATATCATTGCTTTGTGGTTAATCTATTATATAATTTCTCAAGCAACAAGAGTATTGTCTTCTTGAAGAAGTGATACAGAACCCCATCTTATTTTATTACGAGCAGGACAAGTCGGCACATCTCCACTCTTGACTAGCATCATTATATCTTATTATCGCGCCTTCGTCCAACTACTCCCAAGTTTCTAGCCCTAAAAGACCTCAATATGGGAGGAATCGGAAGCGACTTCAAGAATCAATTGATTATCGGACTCGTGGTTGGAAGTGTTATTACTCTGGTCGTCTTAACACTCGTTTGCGTTCTCGCTCAATGTGGACCACGTCTTTGTGGTCGGGTTGCCAGAAAGGAACGTTGGTTTGAACCAACACTAGAAGAAGGTCATATACAAGAAGCACCTCTAGTACCAGCCATGTCTCAAAGGAAGGAATTTTCATGATGAAGAGACGGACGGTTACAACAAATTACACCAATCAAATTATTCGGTGAGGGTTGTGAGCCCCAATCGTTTCTAGGACGATTGAAGGGTGCGAAAACTGCCTTGACCTAAATATCCAAGTCCACAAGCCGAAGACATGAAGGGCAGGTGACTGTGTCATCAGCCGTGCACACGAGGTCAGATCGAAACCATCTTCTCGGCGCATGGGTCTCGAGCTCGATACCAGACTGAACCCCGCCGCTCATACGATGACGAGCAAAGATTCATTCAAGTCGACATACGCCACATTGAGTTGGCAGAGGCTCTGAGGACAGAGTATCACGACGACACAGGTTTACTCCGGAGTAAACCTGATCGATAGCCACGATAAAAATAGTGTATCATTATGTATGAATTAGCAGTCCTTGTTGACTAGATGGGGAAGTATCCAGGAACAGCAGCATGCCATAAGAACATGAATGATTATCAAGACGGCTCATGAACCATAGCAAATCTACGTAGCTACCGCTGCGCTAGAGGTTAGAACGATAGATACCTATATAGCTTAGACTATTTGATAGCTGGCGACGGCATAAAGACCAAATAACACATCAACTTTAAACTTGAGCTTGATCTAGACTACCTTGACGTGACACGCCGACATCAAAGTAACCGGTGATCTCTTCTTCATTACATGTAGTTACGACCTTATATTTTACCTTCCTTATGAACACATCCCTCCCATTTTCTCTAATGGAGTCGATCCACCAAACCGCTCTCTAAGGCTATGGTCAATTAGGCATCCATCAGGAATATTATTGGCTCTTCTATAAATATAACAATTAGCGATCAAATCTAGTCAGCAGAGTTAGGAATGATGCCCCACCCCCAACTTATCGTCAATTTTAAGAAGCTATGTACCTTATTATCGAATGTTCGGGGATGACTTGAAAATATGGTTGACAATACTCTTAGGTTATTTAGCCTTGCAGTCTTATACTTCAAACTGATATTTGGTGTTACTACTACACATCTATTTATAATATCAATATTTACTGATGCTTGTGCGTCCGTAACCATGGAGACAACGACCGATGATCATCTAAACTCCCGTTGTTCGGTTTGCGCATCCCTTCTTCCGCCACCGGGATTTTGCAGTCCAACCGCTCTTCGGCAGGCCTCCAATAGGGGCTGTACAATATGCACCCTTCTTTACACCGCATTGTCAGAGAAACATAACCTTAATGACCCGAAAGTAGAACGTGTAGATTCAATTGGCGGCTACGGTTTCTTCAACCTCGTGGCAGGCACAGCTAAGCCCGGGTTTGGAATGGGGTCTCTATGGGATCATATCTCTGTAACGCTGGCCCTAGACGGAGGTACGTATGAGCAGAGATATTCTACCTATATAGACACTTATTAACAAGCTTATATAGAAGGATACTGTCCCTCGTCATTAGCGTGGCTTCCTGTACAGAAAAAGTCACCTCTGTCGCGGACAAAGGAGCGGGATATTCAGGTAATCAGAGACAGAATTGAGAACTGTCGGACCAACCACCCAAATTGTCCCGGCTTTCACCCCTCTCACATTAAGAACTTACCAACTCGAGTCATCGACGTTGGGCTCGATGGAAAGAGACCTTTCTTATACCACTCCTACAAGGGGGAAAGAGCCCGCTACTTGGCTCTAAGTCACCGATGGGGCGACCCGAAAACACAATATAAGAAACTGCTAACCCTGACGGGGAATGCATCTTCTCACTGCAAAGGCATACCCCTTGACGAGTTCCCGAGGACTTTCCGCGAAGCTATCGAAGTGACACGGGGTCTGGGGATCCAGTACCTCTGGATAGATTCCATCTGCATAATCCAGGACGACGAAAAAGACTGGGAAGCCGAAGCAGGACGTATGTGTGACGTGTACTCAAACGCCTTTGCTACCATATTCGCGGACCGGGCGAGACATAGCGATGACGGTCTCTTTCAGAACAGAAAGGACAGGGAGACTCCGCGCTCGGTCCGAGTTATCGAGTACAAAGATAACGACTCCGAACCCGCCGCTAGAGTCCTCCTTCAGACTCAGATCAACACGAACATCGCAAACTTCGCCACGGAAGTGCGCGAGCTCTTCTGCCAGGCGGACCAGAGCGCGAGCCAGCTTACCGGACGCGGGTGGATCCTGCAAGAGGAGTGCCTTTCGCAACGGCGGATCCACTTCACCGAGACAGAGCTGAAGTGGAAGTGTCCGACCGAAGCCAATTGCGAGTGTGGCCTCCGCACTCTAGTCGACCTTTACGATCCGGTAGATAATTTCTCTAACCTGGTAGATCCGGAAAAGGCGAAGAAGCAGCCGTGGAAGACGCCGGAGTCGATTTGGCAGGCCATTGTCGTGGACTACACGTCCAGGAGCCTGACCTACGAGACCGACAGGATAGTGGCGCTGGCGGGGATAGCTGCCAAGGTTCGAGAGGAACGGCAAGACTACCTTGGGGGCCTATGGCGTAAGCAGTTAAATACTACCATATTTTGGAAAGCGGCAAGTAGATGTCACAGAACGATCGAGTACGTCGCTCCGTCCTGGTCGTGGGCTTCTGTGGTAGGAAAGATACGATTTATACCGCGCTCGAAGGAAGAGCGGTTTATATGGGACGTCATTGAGACGGAATGCCGTCAGAATGGTGATTTTGGAAGGATCTCTTCAGCGCATCTCAAGGTTAGGAGCAAGATTGTCCATGTCCAAGTGGAAGAGCGGCCGCTGGATATGAGAAAGGAGCTTGCGCAGAGTAGATGGGACAGTGGGGATGCGGAAGTTAGACCTATGTGTGATGGGGTTAAGTACCTGACAGTCATGCCGGTGCAACGGTCCCCGGAATGCGCTCCCCCTTTACCTACGATGTTGGGGTTGGACGTCCAAAGTGATTGGGATATCTTAACTTCAGGCGTGCAAAGCGACTTGCGACTTTTATGTATAAGTCTGACAAACGCATTCTGGAAATTCAAATCTGTGGAAATTGCTAAATGCCTTCTCCTTAGACGTTCGCCAAAGGAGAGTAGTTCCTGGGAAAGGATTTGTTATGTGTGCCTCAAGGGTGGGTGGGAGTCGTGGAAACCTTTCGCCTTTGAAGAAGAGATTATTATCCTGTAAGAAAAAAGAATGCCTTCCAGTGTTGATACCAAGACCCATGGCGTGTTATCCGTGGATGCGTGCCTATCTTTGATTAGTTGCCCGTGCTTAACCATCTTGGCCCCTTTTACGTGACCCCCTTTTACGTGACCCCACCAAAAACAAACTCCGACAGTCCAACATATGTCCCGCTACTATTCGGGGGATAAATGAGTCCCCACATAAAACGTGGATATCTCAAATCCAAAGGAATTATCAACTCGGGCAAGACCTATCACTCTTAACTCTAAATTTTGAAGAGGCTCTGGATAATGTAATGGCTAGGTAGGCAGGTCCTAAACTTTGTCTTTCAAGGACTAGTGCGTACGTGCATCCCATATTCGGGGAAAGGGGTTCCTTTGATGCAAACCGACTGATTTCAAGGCAGGTACGTGATGATATCTAGAGTTTCGCGGCTATACTACTTGACTTCGTTCTGCGTTTTGCTACAACTCGCTCAGCAGCAAACAAGCTGACCGCTTTGTCCGGATAGGCATATCTCTCCCCTTATTTCTAGTTATGCACAGCGATAAAGACGATGAACCCAGCCTGTAAAACCATGATTATCGAGGAATCGCAGGTGCCTGCAAATGGGTTAAGTTCTGCTTGGTTGGCTCAGCGCTTAAAACAAATTGAGAAAGCCCGAGTGAACGGGATTGGTGACACGATTCCACCGCCTCGACTAGTTGTATGCGGTGACCAACATTCGGGGAAGAGTTCGGTTCTAGAACGTCTTACCGGAATCCCATTCCCCATAGGAGATAATGGATGTACTGGATTTCCTATCGAGATTGCCCTTCGACACACCAGTGCCCCCCTCCCCCAGCAGATCACTGCCAGTATCCTTCCCCACAGCGGGCGACCTCCCGAGTTTCAACATGCTCTCAGAAAATACCACAGGCAGCTATCTGACTTATCCGAATTGTCTAATGTCGTCGAGGAAGTCTCGTCTCTATTGAGCATTTCTCTCCCTATCACATCCGGTTCCGACAACATTGTTGCTGCCGATGTACTACGGATCGAATTCATGGCCTCTGCAGTTTTTGATATCACTATTGTCGACCTTCCTGGCCTTATATATATCCCTGTTGATGAAAAGGCTGGAGATGGAGACCGTATTAGAAGGGACCTGGTAGAAAGCTATATTTCAAACCCACATACGATCATATTGGCCATCCTTCAAGCAACAAGTGATATCGCCGATCAGAGAATCCTACAGCTTGTACGCAAACATGACCCTGAATGCCAGCGGACTGCAGGCGTCCTCACGAAGGCCGACCTTGTTAACCCGGGAACTGAGCGCAGGGTCGTGGCTCTGGTAAAGAACCTGGATATAACCACGTCAAATTTTGAACCTTTTCTCCTCATCCCTTCATCTGAGCCCGGCTACGAAACTGATTTCTTCCGCCAAGATGTCTGGAAAGACGAGCATCTTAATCGGAGTCGAATAGGCGCGGACAATTTGAAGACATTCATCCAAGAGCTTCTGGAAGAACAGATTGAGCGTGAGCTACCAAATATCTGGGACGAGATTAAATACAAGCTGAGTGAGGTTGAAGAGGAACTCAGGCTACTCGGAAATGAGCGGCAGACAGTTAGTCAAATTCGGTCGTCCCTGTTAGACATGAGCATGCGTTTTCATCAGCTCGCCCAAGCCGCCTACGATGGTCAATATCAGGGAACTGCAACGGATTTCTTTTCCGACTGTAACAATAGACTTCGACTACAGGTTCACGTCGCCAATGAGGAATTCTCTGCATATATGCGTGATAACGGAGAAAAGAGAAAGGAAGTCAGAACCCCTGACGAGAGTCCAGGCGTTCGTTTAATAGCAGATGAGATCTATCCGGAACCGTTATATGTGACCACAGATGAAATGATGGAATGGATAAAAACGGTGAGCTCTCATCAATCTGTTCACTGAATACGTACCTAGATACTAACTCATTAAGTAGAAATACTCCGAAAGCCGTGGCCGTGAGCTCTCAGGAAACTATAGTCATGTCTCTTTTGCGGAATTGTTTCATGAGCAATCGAGCCGCTGGCCATCCATTGCAAAGAACCTCACCCAGAGGGTAGATCAGATGGTGGCGACATGGGTTAGCAAGGCAGTAGCCGAAGTTACTCGCGAGAACCAGCTGCGTCGCCATATTACTACACTCTGTCAGAGGGGCCTTGAAGAAACTAGAAAGCTCGCATATAATGAGCTGGAGAAGCTGATTGATGATGAATCCGGGCAACCGATTACGTACAACCACATCTATACCTATAGGATGCATAAGTTCCGGGATGAATCAAGTAAGAAGATTCTCAGACCCCTCATATCGGATGCCGTTGAAAGTGGATTGGATGCTAGCAAATTCCTAACACCAAGTAAAACCGAACTAATTGAGAAAGCGATGAACGGAATCCAGGACAAGATGTCGGTGGATGTAGTTGAACAAGGTCACAAGGACACCAAGATGGCCCTGGATTCTTACTACGCGGTATGTAACTAGTCTCCTTTCCATTAGTCTTCGTATATTAACCTGAGGAACAGTTGGCAATGAGGACATTCGTCGACAATGTCTGTCGTCAAGTGATTGAACGTCATTTTATGAAGCGACTCCCAAGCATCTTCTGCCCTCGGATAGTTGCTGAACTAAGTGACGAAGACCTCCTACGGATCGGCTGCGAATCACGAAAGCAACAAAACAGACGGGCTCAACTTGAGTCAAAAGCACAGAGCCTCCGCGAGAGTCTTGCTGATAGGTAGATGTCTCTTGTACGAATTTAAGGTCGTTGGCATTGATTTAAGTGACAGGAGCTGTCTTGTAGGACTCTTACTAGCTGACTTGTAACCTGCAGCAATTCATAAGCAAAAAAGGGGTCTATAATTTTAGTTTGTTCGCTGCTTTCCTAATTCTGATGATTATGTGTATGAGAAATTCGAGTAAGTAGCGTATCTCAGGCCGCGTAAAAACAGTTTACAATCACGATACATCAAGTTTCACTAATAAAATGAGAGCGCGTTAGATCACATACGTGATATATATTCCGAAACTAAGCGAGTGTGATCAAGGCCATGACAAAATTTAAATCGGAATAGAAGCATATCCAAGCACTCAGCCATTCCACCATCGTTTTCTTCAACCAAGCTCCCCAGTTACTTCAGTTCTTCGGGAAAGTCCACATCATTCGGTGATATCCATTTATAGCTTGACACAGTTGAGGGCGCCAACAGCGACCGTGCCCTATAATTAGACAAGTTCGTTGTTAGAAAAAGTTTCCATGATTCTTCGCTGTTATAATTAGGTAGAGGGTTATACGTACAGAGACTTGGGAGTCACAGCAGTAGGCCTCTCCACCGCAGGAGTTGCCCAGGATGTTGAGGATGCAGCTGAGAACTGGGACGGTTCCAGAGCAGCAGTATTCGTACGGCTGCGAGTTGCTGCAAGAGCCTCCGCCAGTGCGAGCTTCAACAACCTCGGCAGGGGCAGCAATGGCAACAGCGGCCAGAGTGAAGAGAGTGGTGATGGTGCTGAACTGCATTTTGAATGTTGTAAGAGGGTCGGGCTCGTTTGAAGAGAAAGACTGGAGTGCTGGTAGTGAACTGAAGATTGTTGCGAAGACTGAAGACTGAGGACTGTTGATCTGCGATGCTGTTTCTAACTCTGGACTTCGAGGAGGTTTGACGAGCTTTATATATTCGTCCACGGCGGTTACTCATTGTACATGGCTACCTCCAAATCCGTAGGGCCTTGCGCCTTCGGGCATGATACTGCATCCTAATCTATTCTGTCAAGACGGCGTTCCGTGTCGGATGTGATCTCGCACTGATCTGTCCGATCGAGATGAAGGCTAATTGAGGATGGCCCGCGAGAGCGCCTTGGTCGCCGCCACAATATCTTTGACATGTCCATTCATTTCACCGTGTGACCCTGGTCGTATGTTTACCTGGTCATGGAGAAAATTCAGGTTTCGACGATCGATGCAAGCCATCACAGTACCAATTACTCTAATCAGGTGTGAATCGCTAGCCAATCATGGCTAGCGAATGCTAACAGGCATCTCTTATCCAATAAGAGACCGCGTTCAAATTACATTCTTCAGCTCTCGCCGTGTAACCCAATTCTAGATTCAAGCCACATGGCTAGTAGACATGCAGCTCTCAGATACGACAAAAGTCCCCGGAAGTGCCGGTGGTCTACCGTAACTCCACACTACAGACTACATATATGACCTATCATAGACGGGAATACCCGTTTTCGACCCAGGTACTCGGTCGTAGTCGAGGCAAAAAACAGCAGTGATCTGTGCCTTACACAAGGCGACCGTTGTGATCAACATAATTGCTGAAGGTAGAGAGATTCTGCAGCTAATTACCGATGAGACATGCTTAATAACGGTTGGGCGACATGTTACTATAACAACTGCAATATAACCATGTAAATTATAAAGTAGCTAGCCTGCAAGAAATAGGGACGACTCGCACAGCATCACTAGGTAATTAACTACCGTGTGGTCGCACAGTGTATACATGCCGACAACGTCATAGCCGCTCCCCGGAGCCTGTCTCCAGTGCACGCTATAGGAGTAGCCCACCAGCCTTACACTTTAGCTTCCACGATTGGCGGGAATTTCACGGTCATATACCAACCCATGTAAGCCTCGCGGAATAAATTAACTAACCAGTTCCCATGCCGCCATGACGTTTAGGCTTCAGCAGTCTCCTAGTCTTCAACACCTTTATAACGTAGATATCATCACAAATTTTAGATAAGTTTACAGCTGCATGGCGGTGTAGAAGAATCCTTGTCTAAATCTCACCTCGAGCGGCGGTTATAATGCTAAAGCTGATTAACCTACATGTTGAAAATGACTACTCAACACGGGATATCAGAGTCTATACTCTTGGAGGTTTAGGGCCGGTAAGGAACCCTGTTATAACAACACATGATATTATCTGAGATCAAGGCTAACCAATGGTAGCCTATACTCTTCCACTGAGATCTGAGACGACTAGCTGGGGCTGTCTTAGAGATCTAAACATTGAGCGGCAAGGGTTTCGATTCAGCTAGTAAAGGGAAGTTCCGGATGAGACATTACATACCGAGACGGCACCTCTTCGACTATACTCGCCGCGTAATCCTCCATACATTATGATGATACTATTCCCTACTAAGCATATTCGATGCGAAGGCCAGCTGACAGTAAGCAGCCCATATCTAGGAAGGAAGACTCAACACCATTCAGAAACATCCAGTAACCAGTTCGCTGACCTAATTGAACAATTAGCTCCTCACTACGGCCAGCCTTGAGATCCTTCGAATAAGAAACGACTCCGATTCGAGGACAGCAACGGGCGTGACGAGACTTGATATTGAGTAGTTAGGTTAGCTTGGGGGAGAAGGCATTTCGAATCATACGATTAAGGCGATCTTTAATTGCCGCGCGAGCTAGCGGCATCTTAGCTTTGCTAAATTTATTTCAGAAAGCTTCACATCTCCATACGCCACGTCGTAACTATGTTTCTTGATGGCTACTCTAATCTTGGCTTGTGATACAACTCAGCGGCAATTGCAAAAATGCAGACTTGGCAAGACGTTGTGGAACCAAGTTGGGAATATCAGGTTTTGTTACAGATGAGGCGAACTTACCCCTATTCAGAGTTTCCCCTTCACGCATCGCATATGGAGCCGGCGCCGGAGTCGACGTGGGTCGATGGAATCGAATCAAGGATCTAATCAAGCTTCTATTACGAATTCGGAAATTATAATCGAAGAAAAAATTCGACTATGAATCTACCTGCAGAAAACATGCACGGCTGGGGGTGCTATTGATCGGGACCTTACCTCGACGCGCTCCTCTATGAGCAGGGTTAACATTCACTTCTGTATAGCGACAGGCATGCCTAGTTCGGGAAATAGCTCATTATTACCTATATACATAGTTCCGACCTGCCAATGTTTCCAGCAGGCCACGATAATCTAGATTATTAGTCAAATGTCACAACACGAGGACTTAGCCATGCATGTCAGTGGAAGATGTTAGAATATGCACCTTACCGGCGAACGAGAAGCGTCTATATGAAAACGTGCCTTAGACTGCTTGGCTTGTAGGACTTGATAAGTTGTGCTTGGGCTTCTGCGCCAAAAGCAAGTTACGATACGAACGCCACGCCTGCACTTGAAGAACCCCCGGGAAATGGCTTATGTAGGACAGGCCGAGGCTATCAACTTTCTCCGAAAAATAGGTAAGATGACCGCTATGATTTAGATACCAAAGCCCTTCAAAGACAATGCTAGATTGTGGGGTTTTGCGTTAATCATCATGATCAGCGCGTATCCCATGTGGTATACGCGACTAATCGAGATGTTGCAATTTTCGTCAGAATTGCAACATTCGGCTCTAAAAAGAAATCACAATGATAGCCTCATATCAATCCATCAAGTCCATCAATCCGTACAAACCTATCTCGGGCAGCGAGTTTCACCACTCCTAAAAAGGAGATATCGTCGTGCGACTTCTGCAACTTGTACAATTCGAGGAAAACGCTTACACATGCTCAGCCAATGGGACTAAATCCGAACCGTACGATCGCTTGATGGCGACAAGCGGCTCAGGGCAATCGACTTACACAGCTTCCCGAGTCATGGGAGGATGGTCAGCAACCGACTTGTCAGTTTCGAGAACCAAGTCGTCATGGATATGCCAAATGAAAATAGAATACGAGGAATGCGAGGTACCTATATCACTTCTTATTCCATTATCCACATATGCTAACCTTCTCTTTTTACCTCTGGGGCTATAGTGAAACTCACTACTTGCCACCGCACAGAACAGAACCAAGGAGTGCTGAATCCCAATGGATGGACGTTCGATCTTTCTCCTAGGCCACAATAATCTAGCCCGCTAGCATTCCGTGCTGCCCGCCCAATCATATTCTTATTCCAAGTCCCTGGCATCCAGCTAGCGTTTTGAGGAGCTGCCGGATCGTAAGAGCGGCTGAATCCCTTCGAACGACCCATTATCTAGACGGTAAGATGAGCTTCCGGCGGTTAGTTTGCTCCGGCGGGCCAACTATCTCCATGTTGCTTTCAAGGTGAGATCAAGGACACGGGGAGGCGGAGTGGGTAACGAATTATGGCGTTCTGGGGGCGAAAAAAATATAATGGGCTCAGCTCCATCCCTTCATTGAGGTCGCGTTTGATTTCCCAGACAATTATCTCTTCAACCTGTCATTGACTACTTAAAAAGCCCATCATTTCAGCTTAGGAGGTATCTAATAAGCCTATCGATGTCGCATTGAGTGGTAGTAATGTCAATGATGGGTTGATGTAACTTACCTACACTGCCATTTCTTTCTTCCATCATGTTAATAATTTTACGTAGGGTCTTCTTCCCCGTGTATCTCATGTGTCTTCACTGCGATTGCTATAACCTCTGAAAATCGACTCAAGCACCCCTTATCCACATAGAAGAAAACGAATCGGAGATTGCCAGTTTATTACCTTTGCCCCGACTACACAGAAGCGGCTCCTCGATCGAACCCCTCGTGAAGTTACCTCACACACCCACAACCTTCTCTACACTCTCTTTAGCAGCACAAATCTCATTCGCAGTTTCACAGTCGGAAATTTCGGCCGAGAATGGATTCTGTTAACCCGGCCGGAAGGATCCGACCGCTACTCGAGTGTGGTCAACATGGTGGCCTTCACCGTAAGCTCGATGTCGGCGGCATCGTACGATTTATGTTGTAGCTGAAGGACCATGTGCAGTTATCGTCGATTTTCACCTCATACACTTAGCGGTGATACCTCAAAATGTCAACAAAATTGTGGAACATGAGCTTGATTGACGTGTTTGTGAGTTTCCCTTTAGATCCAGATTCCGAGGACATGAACATTGAAATTCAAGAAGAAAAAAAGTTCGATGTGAAGTTAACCCTACCCAATGGGAGGTCCGCCCCAAAGCCTCACACCTACGGATTCATCGTGTCATGCATTACTGCCCCATCTGCTCATAGAAATTCGAATGCATTTCATTGCATGAATGCGTACACTGCACGAAGCCACGAACATCCGCAGTTGGCACAGTAGAGTAAAGCTGATCTTGTTGCATTTGTTGAAAATGGCCTATTTAGGAGAGTCTAGAGATAAACGATAGTGATCCGTCACCGAATGAACGAAACTAAACGTAAAATTATCAAGTATAAGAGCCTCTCGGTACGAATCAAGGAGAGAGCGCGATATTCGGCAGTTGTGAAGTTAGCGGCTCAAAGTGTTGGTTTCTCGAAGTTGGGATAAAGTTATGGCTGTCACCTGCTCTGAAAGATCTCCACCTGCCAAACGGCTGCCCGCGCCAAGAGACGTCATTGCTCGCTGCCCCACCAACCTTACATCCAATTGTCACCTAAGCAAGAGCATCCCATCCCATTCTCCGATTGCCATCCCAGTATCTAGCTGCCTACGACGAGGCAAGCGCCTATCCATATCCCTACCTACGTGTAACCTAACGCTCTAGTCAGAACCATAATATCCCTATAACGACGACATCTCTTGCTTTTTCGCTATCTTCTACCCTCATACCTGCGCCCTCGCACACACTACATAAGTCTTCATTCGTAGTCCCGACCCCACCACCAACGCCGCCACCACAACCATGAACCGCCTCTTCGGCAGCGCGCCCAAGGCGCCCAAACCCACGCTCAACACCGCGATAACGAACCTCGACGGCCGGATCTCCTCCTTCGACGTAAAGATCGCCTCCCTCAACGCCGAGCTCGGAACCTACCAATCCAAGATGTCCAAGATGCGCGACGGGCCGGGCAAGAACGCCTTAAAATCCAAAGCCCTGAAGGTCCTGCAGCGGCGCAAGCAGTACGAGTCGCAGCGGGACCAGCTGCAGTCGCAGGTGTGGAACATGGAGCAGGCGCAGACGATGCAGGACAACCTGGCGGGGGTCATGACGACGGTGGACGCGATGAAGACGACCCAGAAGGAGCTGAAGAAGCAGTACGGCAAGGTCGACCTCGACAAGATCGAGCGCATGCAGGACGAGATGGCCGACCTCATGGACGTCGGCAACGAGATCAACGAGACCCTGAGCCGCGGCTACGAGGTCCCCGACGACGTCGACGAGGCTGAGCTCGACGCCGAGCTCGAGCTGCTCGGCGCCGAGATGGAAATGGAGGGCGGCATCGAGGCTGGCGGCGTCCCCGACTTCATGAGGGACGAGGTCCCTGAGTTCATCGACGAGCCGCCCGAGACGAGCGCCAAGGTGCAGGAGGCGGCGCGGTGATCCTACGAGGCAGACCTACGAAAGATACCTAAACACAAAATACACATCTTTTTTTTTTCTTCCAAAGAAAGGAGTTACGGGGGTTCATGACATAGGGTTTAGCAGGGTCTAAATATTGGTTCATCGTCATTTATTATACTCTATTTAGTTACCGTAGTTCCATCATGCTATTTCACAGTGTTTCGACCTACTGTAGCACATTTGCGCCGCGTACGGCTATGATCGTCGGCACGGGCTCAAGTTTAATACATGCAATGGAAGCGACGTAACACAAGAAAGTTCTTACTCTACCGTCCCAAAAAACACAGACGCCTCTTCAAGATCTGGGTCTCCGTTGCAGAAATCCCAACCCACAATGGTACTCGTTTGACTACAACAAATAATCCGTCGTGCGTCGAATTGTAATTTGAAGATCCGCGCAGGGCTTGTGTCTGCTGGGGCCATGTGGGGATGCTGCTGTTGCTGCCCCTGAGCCTGGGCTTGCAGCTGAGGTGCTGCCACCTGTGGCTGTGGTTGTGCTTGTTGACCGTGATGCTGGATATGTGGGGTGGTGATATTGGCGATAGTAGGAGGCGGGCCACCACCGTTACTGGTCATGACATGACCCGCCGAAGCTGTAGAGGAACTAGCGACAGTAGCATTCAACTGTCTCGGCGACGTATGCTGGCCGGTTTGTCGGGCCGAGGGATGACCAGGCTGCGATGCCGACGACTCTCCAGAGCCGGAGGTTGCTGATAGAGCTCGTTGTATAGACTCCCTCGCACGGTTCTGTGCGATCTGTGCTCGGACTAGAGCCGTATTCACGACTTGCCTCAGCTGTGAGCGCACAAGTGCGTTTGGTTCGCGCTCAATGGCCGCTTGGATATGATGTTGGTATGTCAACATCGTCGGATAAGCTGCTAAAGCCTGTTCAAGAGCTGCCGGGCCTTGTGGCACACAAGTATCGATCATCTGAGTGTATGATGAAGTAGTTTGGGGGGTGATGGTGGCGATGATGGGATGCTCGACGTGAGTAAAGTTCGGGTGTGTCTGTGGAAGTGCTGCTGGCGCGCTTGCAGGAGGTGTCGGTAGATTGCGATTCGACGTCGATGATGCAGCGGCTCTCGAATTTGAGCTGGAAGGACACTGTCTGAGAGCAGCAGCAGCGCCTTCTTCCTGCCGAAGTGTATGGGCATTTCTCCACACACCCTCCCGGTCTCGTCGCCAGATTATGATGCTCTGATCGTATGAACCAGAGACTATTCGCCCGTATGGGCCACCACCACCACCGGGCGGTAATTTAGCCCCATAAGCCGTGATATCCTCAGGTCGGCGGCTGCCCGCGTTGTGGGGCCGGCGTCTTAATGACTGCATGTCCTGGAGATCACCGGCATTTAGGGCCTTGAAGTACGCTTGGTCAACAGCTCTGGCATCCAGCCGATCTTGCTCCACGCTGTAAGGAAGGTCGCCAAACCCAGCCTGTACTGTTCGAACCAGGTTCGTATGTCCCCGCAGACTCGCAACTTCGAGCCCCGTTTCCCGGTCAAAGACCTTGACTTCATTATCGCTACTTCCACTTACGATGCGTCTCCCATCGTACTGAACACAGGCGATACCCTTATTATGCCCGAGGAAAGTTCGTTGGCACATCTGATTCGGCCAATCCCAAACTTTGATGTGCCTGTCACCGCTTGCTGAGACGATCTCGCGCTCGCAGATCTGAACGGCGTTCACGGCGGCACCATGCCCTTCGAGGCAAGCGATCATGGTATACGGCGGCGTAATAGCGGCTTGGTTCAATGGAGAATCGTCGAATCCGTAATTTCTCAGGTTTATTGGTACGGGACTGACGGCTTGAGAACCACCGTATCCTAAGTCGCCGGGTCGTAACGGAACACGGTTAAAAATCTTGATGGTCTTGTCCTTCGAACATGTGACCAGGATCCGTCTATCGAACTTGACATTAAGAACAGATTCCCTATGAGCCTGTCGAAGTCTCTGTATGATTTCACCTGTCGAAAACTTCCATAGAATAACATCTGAATCACTGCTTCCAGAGACAATGAGATCTTCCTCCGGATCCGAGTCAAACTGTAGGCAGAGGACTGAGCCGGCGTGGCCTCCAAGAGGTCGTCGTATGAGGCGGCGTGTGCGTAGATTCCAGATTCGTAACGTGCGATCTCGACTACCACTGACAAGATATTCTGAGTCGTATTGTAGGCTGTAAATGCACTCGTTATGTCCCTCGTCTAAGTGATCTGGGTGAGGCAATTGGAAATTCGTGAATCGGCCACGGTCCCAATTGCGTTCTAATCTCCGTCTCATCGTATACAGGTATTTCCAGTTTATCTTGTACCGACGGTCCCTCGTATCATAAATCCAAAGTGTTGACTTAGGTAAGCTAGACAGACCGGTAGGCGCATCAAGAAGCGAGCGTGAAAGTTCTAAGGATTCAGCAGTGGCCTTTCCTTTACCTTTAGAGACCTGTGAAGCAGATTGTCCTCCGAAATCCGGCATAGGGCTAGGCGATTTCATCATCAGATTGCCCATATGTTGGGTAACGCTATTATTGCTTTGGAAAGATGAACCGCTCTCTCCCGGCCGACGAGCAGAGAACGCGCCCTGGGCGTATATATTAGACACGGTTTCTCGCCCAACAAGGACATTGCCCAGTCTATGAAAGTAGGAAGCACTCACATTGAACACATTTGTTGCTGGTTCTTGTCCTACAGACGCATCAGCATCTACCATCTCGTAATCCTCGTCGTCTTGAGGCGTCGTCTCGGAGATTGCTCGCTTTTTGTTGACATGGCCATCTTCGAAAGTTTGAACTCTCTGGGAGGAGATCTGGGAGGAGAGGCTCTCGTTCATGCGTTGCTCGGCGGCAATGATCTCGGACGGTATTGCCTTCCATCCCTCTAGATAGAATAATCGTTCCCATAGCTTGCGATCTATAGCCAATTCATACCACCCCCGGCAGCACATGGCGACGTGGATTAAGGACACGGGGTCCAGGTAGCCTAAGATCTTGAGGCATATCTCGGGAGGTAGGCGTTCGACGAAGTTGATGTAGAGGCGGGGGTTTAGCTCGTTCATGACGATATCTGCAATGACAGTAGTTGGTAGTTCGTTCAGGATAAGCATAGCCAGACCTGCGGGTTTTAGATGGTCACGTCAGCGAAAGAAAATAAACAACATAGCATGGCGGAAGGGAAATTAAAACAAGGGTGACGACAGTGGCTTGATTCCAATTATGGATACGGAGAAGCATCCGGTTTGGAACCGAAATGGGATAACTTACGAGACTTCTGGTGCACCGACAGTGTGGGTAATTGAGCCGACAACCATGCCGGTATATCGGCGGCTGAGCTCTTTGCTGCCAGTGATCCGTTGTTGACAAGGCTGGCCGGGTCGGAAGGGTTCAGGGGGTGTTCGGAATAACCCTCGTCGGGTTCTTGGGCAGGAGAGAAGGGATCCATCAGGTTATTATAAGTAGAGTCGGCTCGTGCTTTATGATTAGTGATAGATGTTTCGTTGATTGTTGGGTATGGGATCTTTGCAAGTTCGAGCAATTCGCCTTATTCGACGTGGGTTAGGTTAATGAGGTGCAGGGGCAGGCAACACCTAGGCGGGCCGGTCACAGGCGATGGAGCAGAAACTTAGTAAGGCAGCGCACGCTGCGCCAGACTTGGCCGAATACTGGTTGTGATGGTGGTCGCGATGTATCAAAACGTGAGTCGCAGATAAGGCCACCAAACGAATGCAGGGTACGTCCCCCAACCAAAAAAAGAAATTGCCAAGCGATCTCTATAGCACGCGGCAACGAAAGACAATTAAGAATGTTCGGCGTTATGGGAGATGTCTGGTAGATTAATCTTAGGTGCGTTTCGTGATCGTAAGTATCGTAAATCTGAGGATGATTTGCTTAGAGGTCCGGGCAACCGGGGCTGTAGGCGGTAGAGAATGAGATTAAGGTTGCACTAGGAACTTGTTGATGTGACTACGCACGGCTCCTAGTAGGAAGTCATGGATGACTCCCATTGGTGTTTGGCAGGGCAGGTTCCACTGATCAAGTTCGACAGTCTGGGGCACCAGCTGCCACGCAAACCAGGGTTAGAGGCTTTAGTGAGGGGTTATTCCTTCCTGGTCCTTCTACGTACCAGATACCTAGTAGGTGCGATGAAGACTTCATACAAGAACACAATATGCATACATGGACGTTAGAGAACTCTACACTTACATACAAATATATGTTTACGTACTTTTTTCAAGTAAAGTCTAAGGAATTCGTTTAGTGCTTTGATATATCATAGCCAATACATAATGTTGTAGTAACTACTAGATAGTGTTGAGTATCTTACTTAATGACAACATTTATTAGTCAAATAGAGCAATAGAGAGAAGACACATTTTACCTCTCATCTGCGTTGGTCCTTAGAAGTATATAAGATCCTATTCCACTCGTACCCAGTATTCATGTAGTAATATAAATGTAATTATGCTTTGAGACGGACCTGTCAGAGACTTGAGTGTGGAGGATGCACATTGTCATAATAGGCCGAGTAGAATCAGCTATCGTAATGCTAAACGTGCCCGGGCTGCCCGGAGCATATCCACATTCCTCGGCCGAGTGCCGATCGCTGCATCGTATGTTTATAGGTGTCCTGCTGTCGAGACAATAAATACCAAAATAAGATACATATGTCTGGAGTGAAAGCGAATCATGACATGGATAAGGTGGATATCTTGTGTTCGGGATATAGGTACGTAGGTATATCATGAGTGTTGGCCATCCGACAACCACAGATCTAAAGTGGCAGCTCGGTTTATCCCGATAGGCTCACTTTTATATGCTTATTACCTATCTATGTAATATAGGTAACCTCCCTCATCGAGGTCAGAGACGATTAGTCTCATCTTTACAACATATCTCCTCAAATAAAGTGTTTAAGCATAGAACGGAAGTGACATGACTTCCCAATACATGGCATGGAAAGATAATCATAATATAGGTTTAGGGCCGAGTCCATTTAGCTAGCAATACAACTCCGGTGGACTGTTTCAACAAGTCTTACCTGGTAGTGGTTACTACTAGGTAACCATGCTATTAATAGTTGGAGATAACGTTATAAGAGCCTCTAGAGAATGCAAGATAGAAACTAGTTCAGCATGTGATGCCTGACAAGTCCAGAGAAGCATGCATAGAAGCATCACGGAACTTTGATATCTGACCGATTAAGGAGTGTTCCATATTTTTATGTCATTAATCCTTATGCTACCTTATCTCTTCGCGGCTAACCATGCATAGAGAACGCCATCACACCTTGATCACTCCATATGCCTGTAGGATTCGAGCTCCCCGCTTGGTGAATCGTGATGCGCTCATTAGGGTCCCTACCCCTTTTTTAATGTTGGTGAGGGACACAAAGGAAATTGACGAAAGTTGACGCGATCTTCTTATGATAATTGGCATTTTCTTAAGTATTGACAGCTGCTATCTTCTTATATATATATACATAGTATAAAGCATCCCAACTGGGTTGGAAAAGAACCGACCTCTTATGTTGAGTGTCCGCATGACTGACTGCGTTGTGTACTTAATAAGGAGCAGCCAAGAAAAGGCGAATGCTGAAGCGAGTTAGAGATAATACAAATACCACCCGCACCACTACTTCCGTGTCGCATTTACGCAAGTTGATGTAATTTTGGTATATTTTAAGGATTGCTTGCAGTAAGGCTTCGTACATACGTGGAAATTTCCAGCCCACTGGTCCATCATTGTATTCCTTTCCCTTTCCTTTTCAGCTCGTCGTCTGGCATCGTAAGCCGAAGGTTCCATTCTGATCCTGCCGTACTAGGATACAAGTAGTAGTAAGCACATTTAGGGTGGCTTCTTTGAAGTACGTAGTAGATTCCCTCTATAACGTTAGCGGGGGATAGCGATAGCATAACCACTAATAAACCCACCGTCGTTTGTCAATGATATCGACCCTAGCAGCCTAGGCAAAGCACGGGAAAGGCTTGTCGATCGTGGGAGTTTTCTTGTTCAGTGCAACGGGATTTAACCCCTTCAGGAATAGTGACGGGGGGTTCGCTAATTTGAAACAATCAAAGTCCATCACGATTAATGCCCAATTGCGGGAGCTTGTTAGGTCTTCCTTCGGTGACATAAATGTCCCTACTGCGTATATCGTTGCTTTACCGTATTCCGAGTAGGCTAGGTAGTAGAGGTAGGTTAGGTTAGGTGCCTAGTAAAATGCCTACCTACGTACCACTCAATAATGCATGTGGATTTGTTCTTGGGCGCCTATTGAATAATGTGTAAGCTGGGATTGAGGTATTGGCGGTGTATTACGAATTTGTTGATATACTCTTCGCAGCATTGAATATAAACGATATAAACGATAAGTATGCATTTAAAAAGAATGTACCATTTTCGTCGAAAGATGGCGTTACTTTAACCTCAATGCCCATGAGATACAGGAAGAAATTGAAACCTAAATTAGTATTGGCAATCAGACCTCAAGTTCAGTCTTAAAGAGAGCACTTTCCATGAAGAATAGAAGGGGTGAGGGGGGGTAAAAACTGCCGGGTATGTAACATTAACTAACCCACTTGGGACAAATTGGTCATTGAATCATTCCTGATCGTCAACTCCTTACAACCTACTGCCTACAACTTACAACCTACGCACCCAGCACACCCAAACCCAACAAAAACCAATCCGCATTCCGTCGCAATCCACTATCCACCTATCCACCACCATTCACACAACCCAATCTATCCATCTGCTCCATTCGCCATCCATTCGCAATCTGCACACCGTCAATACATCGAGAAAGCCACAAGACAGAGAAGACGAACCACACAACTAGCCAACCCGACTATTTCAATCTTACATAGCCTTATGTAGGTACAGCACCTTACAGGACCTGCAACCGCCCACCTGACCTGCACCAAAACCCGCAATACGCAATCCACAATCCGATCGGCAGAAGAGAAAGAGGCGCCAGCCCACCCGACTCTTCCAGAGTTGAATATTGGTCGCCTGTCACCTATAACCGCCCGAGTTGCGACCCTCTCGATTTTCGATGTTTCAAGTCCCCATACTACTATAGCAACCCATTTGCACTATACTACTATACTGGCCTCTAGCAATACTCCATATTCGGCTGCTTTTTCATTCCTCGTCCTCCCGTGCTGCGAGAAAGGAAAGGCGCAGAATTCATTCGGAACAGTTCGCGTGACGGACGCTGATTCACGGAGAAGGCTGTGAGAAAAGGCATAGGGAAGAAGCAAAAAAAGTAAAAGGAAAAAAGAGGAGTCATCTCATCCACCTTCGTCTTCGTGTTATACGATCGTAGATTTCTGAACACGATAATTCCGATTGCCGATTAATTCACCTTATGAATTATATAGCTTAGAAGGGCAGTATAACGGCGATAGAAAATAAGGATTGCCTACGACCTCACTAATATTTCTTGCGGCGATCTCACCAACCCTATTCTTACACACCCCGCCCAACCCGCTGTGTCCACTTTGTCCGATAAATTCTGGCACTCCCAATCAAGGCTTCCGAGGACGACTAGCCATTAAAGCACGGCCCAGCTCTGCGGATCTCGCATGGGCTGAATAGCATGGCACATGCTCCGGCTCTTTTACGGACGAACACGGCCCCCGTATTCCCAGCCGACAACAAGTACGGTCCTATGTCTACTATGAGTAGTCTTCGCACAAGCCAGTTGTCTGGCTCGACAGCCCTTAACTCGTCAAATTCCTCGCTTACATCCATGTCGACGTCTACCGTCATCGCTCCATCGAGCAATGGCAACGTCGTGCCTACTACAAATATCATCAACCAGAAAGCGGATGCTTCCCGCTCGCTATACCAGATCTGCATCGCATTGAAGCTGCGACTAGCACGCGTCCCTAATTTTGAGACTCACCTCGAAGCTCTCAACGCACTCGGCGACGAAGATGGCCCGGTCGAGTCACTATGGAACTTGTTGCGGACGGGTCTACCGCTGCTCACCGTATACAATTCCCTGCAACCTGAGGTCCCCTTAGAAATCGACCCAGCCGCCAACGAGAACAAGCGATCTAAATTAGCCATCTTCAAGTTCGTCGAGGCTTGCTTGAAACGACTTGAGATCCCAGCCTCCGAGTCTTTCGTGATCAGTGATCTTATGGGTAACGACACTACTGGCTTTGTTAAGGTATGTTTCACCCGAGGCATTTGGTCTTAACACACACGCGCGATCGAACTCAGTTGTCATATGTCACGAGCAGACAAACTAACATTTTTACGTAGGTTATCCAAGTTGTAAACCGCGTCTTAGACCTCGCCGAGCGCCGCGGTCTTCTCCTACAAATGCAGCCATATCCAGAAGACATCGGTCCTGTCATTCCGGGGTCTCAGATGACATATCGCGATCATATTATTCAAGAACTAGTTGACACAGAACGGAAATATGTGCAAGATCTCGAGAACTTGCACGACTTGAAGAGAACGTTAGAGCAGAAGGGCGTGATTCCTGGCGACATCATCCACCAAATATTCTTGAACATAAATTCCATCCTCGATTTTCAGAGACGATTCTTGATTCGTGTCGAAACCACCAACTCAATGCCGCAGGAGACGCAGCGATGGGGCGCACCATTCGTCACATATGAGGATGCCTTCGATATCTATCAGCCATTCATCGCAAACCAGCGTAAAGCTGGCCAAATCGCAAACCAGGTCTTTGACAAGATCCAACTAGCTGACCATCCTGTTTCGTTTGATTTCAACACATTGGATAGTTTCCTGCTGAAACCGATGCAGCGATTGGTGAAGTATCCTCTATTATTGAAGGTTTGAAAACACATTCCTATTAATTGGACTTGACACTAATTTGCATTAGTCCCTACTGAAAAAGTGCGAGGACGAAAATATTAGAGCGGATTTGATTGGCGGTATCGATGCGGCGGAACGAGTCCTCACAAAAGCGAATGAGGCAGTCGATCGCGATCTGCTAGATGAAGCTCTGGAAGACTTAATACGTAGGGTCGATGACTGGAAGAATCATAGGGTGGAATCTTTCGGAAGATTGCTACTGCACGGCGTGTACACAGTTGTCACCGGCAAAAGCGATCAGGAGAAGGACGTAAGTTTCGCGAAGGTTAAATCTGCTACCAAGGAGTATGCTGATACCGTTCAGTACGAGATTTACTTGTTCGAATGTATTCTCCTCTGCTGCAAGGAGGTACAACCGAATAAAAGTAAAGAAAAGAAAGACAAGAACAAGACTGGTCCAAAGATCCCTAACAAGAACAACAAGTTACAACTAAAGGGGCGGATATTTATGACAAACGTGACTGAGGTCTTGTCATTCGCGAAACCAGGTAAGCTACACAGAGCTTCAACTGGAGGATTCAGCCTAATATTTCCAGGGTCCTACACTGTACAGATCTGGTGGAAAGGAGATCCCGGCGTGGAGAACTTTGTCATCAAGTTCTCTAACGAGGAGACGATGAAAAAATGGGAAACGGGGTTAGTTGCGCAAAGGAAGGAGAATGCGCCAGCTTCAGCCACGAGTCCCGACCAAGCGACGCCGGCCTTTACCTGGATGCAAAACCAGAATAACCTCGAGAATCCTTACGCCCAACAAGAAGACGAGGAGGAAGAGGAAGAGGAAACGCCCATGTCGCAGATATCGCCGCCAGGCATGGGCTTTGGATCGACCGGTGGAGTGATGCCCAATCGTAATGCGTCAAGTTCGAGTCTCCGGGCACGCTCTGCGACTGCTGAGAGTGCTCAGTCACTAGCGGGCATCGCCAGAGCGCCTCCACCGCGCTTCCCTCTTCCGGCGCCTCCAGGACCGCTGAGTCTTCAGACACAAGGTAGTGCGCCGTCACCCGGCGCTCGTCTCGGTGACTCGTATTTCTCACCCACAGCAGAATCGCCCGCGTCGTCGCGAACGAGTACACAGAGTACAATGTTTGGGGCTAATGGTCAATTTCCATTTCCAAGAACTGGTACTCCCCAAGCTGGTTGGGAAGATAACAATCGGTATACCGCACCCGCTATGCCACGAGCTCCTTCAAGAGATGGCCCATCTCCGATGAATGGGAGGAACCCTAGGGGACCTTCATTACCTGTAATGGCCTCCGGTTCGCAGACGCTAGCCCAGCAGCAACGTAGTCGGTCGTACAGCACGCCTGATATCAACGGGCAACCTAACGGCCGTAGAACCAACAGTACTACTCCTGTTCCTGCCGTGCCTGGCATACCGCCCCATCTTCATCCAGCACACGATTCAAACATCCCACGATCTCAAACTGGTTCCCCCAGGCAGGAAGTGCCTGTCCGGACTAACACCCAAAGTCCAGGTGTCCAACGCGACGCGAGGTTGACTCAACAGTCCGGTCAGCTCGGAGGGACCATGTCACAATTCCCTACTCAACCCGTCTACTCCCGGCAGACCACTCCCGCCCCAGCCCCAGCAACAACAGTGCCTCAGCCGCTGAACCTCAATAACCAACAACCTGTATCGCCAGCTCTCGGTACAGCTACCCAGGGTAACCCGTTTTCGAATCCGGATTTGCCAATTCCCGCACAGCTGAAAGTCAAGGTCAACTGCGATAATGGAACATATTTCACTCTTGTCGCTGCGTTCAATACCTCATACCAATCGCTCAGGGACCGCATTGATTCTAAGCTCGGCCGATTTACCAATAGTTCAATTGCTAAGGGCAATCTGAAATTGCGGTATGTCGACGAGGATGGTGATTCCGTAACAATCGAAAGCGACGATGATATACAGATTGCATTCTCGGAGTGGCGTGAGGGAGTGCGTGATATCTACTCTGGCGGCGTTGGAGAAATAGAACTTTTCTGCGTCGGAGGGACCGATTGAGCACACAATAAAGAGACTAAGTGACGAAGTTTGAAGAGACATCTCGAACAAAAAAGAGTTCTCGGGGAAAAGGAGTCGGCGTGTTTCAAGGACTCCCAAGACATAATACTAATCTGGACTTCATTGATAATGATACGCTACACGTCAGCAGCAAACAGGTCACAGCTTGATACCATTTTCTTTCGCCTCAAACCTATAGACGACATTCATTTCATGATTCTATGATTCTTGCACATACTTTTGATACCAGATCTTTCTTGATCACACATGGAACTGGCTTTGGGTTCCTGCCAGATTCAAAGGAGCCCGACACTCTTTTATGTGTTCGGTGTTATACCAGAAGAATTCTCGATCGTTATGGATAAGCCTTCATTATCAGGTCTGTTTTGAAGCTCCATAGGTAAGCATCGTTGCTTCTTCCTATCTAAATACTATACTTTGCGACGCGTTCAACTATCACTTCACCCTCATACTCTGCGGCACAACAACTTTCGGGGATCGCGAATTTCGCTAGGATTTGGGAGCGTGACTGCCAGCCTATATGGGGAGCTATGGGAGAATAATAAAGAGATTTCGGACTTTGGCCCCTTTTATAACCTTGCACGGATCGGCGCTAGTTAAGATAGGATGGCGGTTCTGCTGTTTCGCGCATCTGACTTCGCAAGCATGAAAGAGCAAGAGGATTGTTTTCAGCATTGGCGGGGAGTACAGCTAGGGCTTCATACTGTCGGTGTAATGTGAGTCAGACTTGACGGGGTTGATTAGCCGTGGCATTCTGTAAGTCATCGGCGAGTGTACTGGTGAATTCTACTCAGAGTGTTAAGAAGAGGCTAAGAGTTCTGAGAGCTGACTGCCGTATATAGGCGGGCTAAAATGAAGATGTCGTAAACTATCCCGCGTCTGTCTTGTACTTGTTACATTTAGCTCCGTCAATTCGCCTATATAGCTAAGTGGTATACGTAATGAGAGGTTCTTATTATTTAGATATGTCCTTAGATGAGCCGGATAGGGATGGGCTTAACGCCGTCAAGGACGGACATGTGCTTCCGTATTTTGCCTATTTTGTCAACTTGGCTTCATATTATTCGTCCCCCTTAATGCCTCCTCCCCGTCCTAAATTTGACATTTTATCAAGCGAGGCATATAGCGTTGTATCAAGTTGGAATAGAGTTGAGCCGTATAGATGAACTAGTGGCATAACAAACTCACAGCCTACCTGGTTAGTTCCTCCGACTATCATTCACCATCCGGGACTTATAATCCTCGGCCTACGCCCTTATGTAACCAGATGATCGACCTTGTGTCTTTACTTCACGCTAAGTACAGTTCTTATTCATAGATATTGCCAAACTCGAGACTAAACGACAGTCATGCTCTCATCCCTCGCTAACCGCTTTTTCTTGCTCGCAGCGGCGACGATCCCGGCGGCGGTAGCAAAACCCGAACAGATCCGCGCCGTATCGTCGCCCATCTTCCACTACTATTTACAAACCTATCCCGAGGATCGTACGTCTACCCTTGCCGTCTTACCTTCACATCATATTGCGTCTTTCCAATGTCCATCTACTACCTACCTAGTCTTCTCCCCGCACCCCAAATCACAGTAGCAAGGGTGAGAAAAAGGATAGGCCTAACATTTTAAATCTATCCCAACAGCAACGATCCCGGTAATGGGCCCCGAAGCCAGCAGCGAGTACTTCGAGATCGGCTCCACGATCCAGAACGCGAACACGTCGGCGTACCTCAACATCGGCGACGACGCGACGTCCTACAAGACGCTGACGTTCGCGGACGCGAGCTCGACGGACGCCTGGGCGCTCGAGGGCGACACGATCATCACCGCGACGGGGAGCAGCTTCGGGCGCCAGCTCAACTTCCTAGTGTGCCAGCTGAGCGGCAGCTACTGGCAGGTTTACTTACAGACGGGGAGCGAGACGCCGAGTGGGAAGACTTGTAGTAACTATCAGAGTCTGCATCTGCCTTGTTTATGCTGAGGTGGGATTAGGGATGTTAGGGCGTTGGGGGTCGTGGGGGTTCGGGTTATTATGTCGGTAGTGAGCTTCGTTGTGTGATAAGATGAGAACATGGAAATTTACAGATTTCGGTGAAACTTAATCACTGTTTGTTGCGCCCCAGAACATAAGAGGCTGCTGTATTACAACATCATCGGGTCGTCATTGGGCCATTTTGGTTGATCCCCCTTTTTACCCTTTTATGGGCTTGGCATTAAATCATTCGTTCCCTCCGGACTTGACCGTTAGTCAATTACGGCCCCGACCAATGTTTAAGTCGTGAATATATTCGTAGTCTCTTGACGGCGTTAGTCCAATGTACAAATTTTAGTACATGGTGGTCGAGAACCACCGCCAGCATTTCAGCTTAGACCTAGCTTCCTTGCATGATAATCCAGAACGCCACCTCATGCTTTTACTAGTGAAAGGAGTTATGTCTTCCTGCCGTAATAGCTTTTTCCATTATCGTACAGGGCAGCAACTATTCCTGTTTACTGCTTCGGTCATGATGCGCCGAAATGCCGTAATACGTAACGACCTTATACCACGGCCGTGGTATAACCTTTCCCATCCCATCCCATACCATATCCTCCCATTCTGAGCCTATCATCTCTTCTTCTTCTCTTGAAATGTGAGCCTATCCTTAAACCGCGAAAGGTGGTAGTTGATCTCGCTGGCTTTCGGTTTCGGAGGCGGGGGTGCGTCCATACAGGCTCGCAAAGCCTGCTCAACTGTCGCGCATCCTGCTGTGTTGTGTCCTGCGGATGCCCAGCATGCTATTCAGGTAAGGGAGTCAGCCGAGGTACAACATGGTGAGAGATGATTATTTTGTTATGGGGGATATAATGGTATGGGATATATTATGTATGGGGTCGATGGCGCATACCTAGGACGGAAGACATGAGGGCCACGCATGGTTTCTCCCGTCGGCCATTCGGATTGCGAACTCGGAGCGTCTTCAACGGAGGAAGACGAGTTGGTCTCTGAGCCGACATGTTAGAGGGTCGAGTTGGGTATCCCAATCGTTGATTATTATGCCGTCAATCGTAAATCGAAAAGCGCGTGGGTCGACATAAAGCTTTTCCGAATTTCCAGAGTAACTAAAAATCAAGAAGTTTGATCTACCTACCCGGGTGGGGGGGGATTCTAGACATTCTTATGCAATGACCTTGACATTCTAAATTATCCTTAAAATAATAAATGCAAAAAATGATGTTTCCAGCATATTGAGTATAATATGTAATCAAATATACATCCATTATAAAATTATACAAGGGTTTTCGACCAATTATATACGTAGGAAAACAATGCTTATTAAGGAAAAAGGGTTTTGGAGCGCGAACAGGATATTTTAATAACATGTATTATTAAATAATGACCATTGTATAAAGGAATATGTTGTAATTAATTGCAAGGGTGATTAAGTTAAAATATTTTAGGTGTGCAATGATTTTCGTCCTGCAATGGTGGGGCTAGTTTGAAAAGGGAAGAAAAATGGGAAAAAGGGTAGGTGCACCTTCTTAATTAAGGAAGGTGCTTAGTATTTAAGTAGGTAGGTAGTTTTTTTTTTTTCTTATAGATGCACTGAGTGGGAGTTGAACCTAAGTTTATTACATACTACGGGTATTACAGTTTTACGAGTCATTAGGCTTGACCACTTGGCCAATTAGCTTACGAATCTACGCGCATGTGGGGCAAGTCCAGATCTTGGAGCTTATATCCTGGGTTCAGTCCTTAAAATTTGATTGGTGAGACCCCCCGGAGATCCGCCGAGACCCACCATTGCAGGGAGAAAATCATTGCAGTAGTAAGAAATTATTGCAATAAGAGAAATAATGGTGTTTTTATATAATGATATTACGTAGATAATGGGTGTATGCAGGTAATAAACAACTAGGTAAAATGGTGTCCCAAGAAGAACAGTATATCAACGTGGTTATTTTAGCCCTGGCTGGCCACTATAACTAGAGCTTATACCTGACTTCAATCAATTGATTACTAGATACGTCAACGTTTTTTAGGAATATTCTAACGCAATCATGTCGAAGCTATTGCCAGGAGTGGTGATAGTTGCCAGTATGCAATTAAGGGGCAATAATGTCAAGGAACCCCCCCCACCCGTATAGGTAGCTAGAAAAGGGTTGTCACGTGCTGTAGCTTGCTCTTAAAAGTGGGCCTGAGCCACAGCGGTTGTTTACGGAATCTAATCTAAATTGGGGTTAGTATGATTCAGAAGCTTGTCCTTGCTAGCTCGTTCTGCCCGTTCAGCCGTTGTAAGTTGCAACAGTGTAAGGCTTATTTTTTTTTATTCCCATCTCCAATTTCAACTCGCCCGTTAATCAGATCGCATAGCATCTGATAATCTTATATGGCCCACTCCCACGAGTTCCACGCCCACACCACTGGAGATGAGACGGGGTGTGTTTCTGGGAGGGATGAGAACCTTAGTCCGCATATGCATGGCATACCCGTCCTCAGGCCTGTTATTCGCACCTCATGATTGGTATACGATGTCGGACACGTAATCCTCGTATGGTAGCCATTCTAGGTGTCACGAATCACAAACCGGGCTGTCACCTTGTTGAGGCTTGCTACTGTTTACACCACAACTTGATTGCTCCGAATTCTGGCCGCGATATCGGCACCTCCTGTTTGTGTGTTCAACGCCGTTGGCGTTTAGCTCTTACAGAACTAGTAACGGGCTGTCAGATCTGGCAGGACTGGGCGACCTGAGTATAACGTCGCACTACACTAATACACAACTACTACACAACCTTCGGACGTTTTGATAGACTCGAATAAATCGGATGATCTACTGCCAACTTCTTTCACAAGATCGTGAAAATAAGCTTGATCCAGATGCTAGATGCAGCTTAAGCAGGTTGTCGTCAGTCAGATGATCTATTAGATTTCTACAGCGAGTTTACGCCGTAGTTTACGACGCTAATGGATACTCTATACGTGTATGTATGTATCAGTGATCGGTGATCGCCAGGCAGCGTTGTCGTCGCCTTTATTCTAGAACACTATATCTGAACATCATGTGCAGATTCGCCTCCCGGCTAGTCTCGCGGTCTGACCAGTCGCATCTGTTTCACATACAGCTTATGGAGTATATTCAGTTCTCAGCCGTGCGAAAGTCGCGCAAAGATGGAAGGGATGAGCCTTCGCATTAAGCCCATCGTGGCCTCGACGTAATGCTGCCCGGACTATTGGGATACGCCAACGAGATCGAGAATGTGATCCCGTTATTAGCTTTGCTTAGTGTTGGCTCTGATCACGCAGGCCGCGCTGATGGGTACTGATTGATAAGATAAATTTTCGCAGGGATCCGATTTTTCGAGTATCTGATCGGCTAGTGTACCGGATCGGGCCTAGCGGGGCAAGGAATGGGGTGGTCGTTGAAGGTCGTTAAACGCAGCGGTCCACTAAAATGCCTGGATTGTCCGAACAACCTTCCCCGTTTGGTACTGATTCGATGTACCACTAGCCCATCTCTAGACCAACTCACGCAACCACACCTTGCTAAGGATTCCCTCATCTCAGCTCAGGTACAAAGCATGGGGCAACGAGAGGGATGGTTTTACGTAAATATCTCTATTCAAATAAGGGAAAAAGGGAGTGGAATGAGATGTGTTTTTTTTAGGCATGTCTTTTTGTTAGCTTAGAGGAACCACCGCGGGATAGTCAACCTTTTCAGGTATGGGTTATTGCTTGATCATGCCGAGACTTTTTTTCTAACTGCGAGCAAAGCTACGTATTGCTCGTACTACGCAGTATGTGAAATTTCTTGACCGTTGCCAAAGGAAGGAACCTCCACTTCGGTCACCAAACCCCCACTATTTTAGCTACGTGAACGGCCAGGCCCAGAGATCAAGGTTCGGATGCGCGCCATTCCCACCTGCGCTTTCCGCCAATGCTTCTTCGAATATAAGGGTAGAGATCTCTCTCTCCCGCTTCAGCGTTACTCTCGCTTCTTCTTTATTCCTCTCATCAGCCAACACCTCAACACTTCTCGGCCGAGAAGCTTTGCTTCGTTTATATATTCTTATATACATCTGTATAAGGGTATATAGACGTCTCGCGTACGCCGAAGTACAGTGGCTTGCAATTGTCCTCCAGTAGCAAGTCGTACTTCGCGCCACTGACCCAGCTGGTCGCTATATTAATTTCGATATCCGATCGATTTAGATTTGTTCAAATTCAGCTTCAGCTTCAGCTTCAAATTTAGCAAAATGATGAGAGGACCGCTCGCCCGGTTCGCCCGGCCCACAGAGGTGCCGGTCGAAGAAAAACCTACTCCGGATGGGAATGATAAGGAGATCGGGGTTGTCGACAATCAAAATCACCACAGCGATGCCGAGACCGATTCCGATGCTGTTGATAGCAACGCTCAGGCTGGTGTCCGGAAGATAGAGGCTACCACAAAGGTCTGGTCGAAATCTCACTTGATTCTGGCTTATGCACTGTAAGTATCTACTAGTATGCAACAATTATCACGAAATCGAATAGCCGACCTCTGTCTTCTTCTCTTATTCGCGAGCTAACAGAAGCGTAGCATCTGGGTTATCTACTTCGTCGACTCGATGCAATCGGGAATGAGTTCTCTTTTGACCCCATATGTCACTAGCGCGTTTGCGCTGCACTCTCTGACTGCCACCACGAGCGTTATGTCCGGTATTTTCGGAGGTGTGTCGAAGCTCACGCTAGCCAAGATTCTAGATATCTGGGGTCGTCCCCAGGGTTTCTTGATCGTCGTCCTCCTGATGACTCTGGGTCTTGTCATGATGGCGGCTTGCAACAACGTCGAGACTTATGCCGCTGCGCAGGTCTTCTACTGGGTCGGGTTAGTAATAACACCCTTTACGCTCGACTAGGATATCTAACAACCTGTAAACAGATACAATGGACTCAGCTACTCTTTATCCGTTTTCATTGCCGATACTTCTCACCTGAAGAACCGAGCCTTGATGTTGGCCTTCATCTCCTCTCCCTACATCATTACCGTCTGGATCACCAGTCCCGTTGCTCAGAGCGTCCTAGGTGGCATAGGTTGGAGATGGGGATTCGGTATTTTCTCCATCATCACCCCGATCATGTGCTTGCCTCTATTTTTCCTCTTCACCTGGAACTACTCCAAGGCCAAGAAAGCCGGGTTGATCGTCGACGTCCCTAGCAACCGGACGACCTGGGAGAGCATCAAGTACTACTTCTGGGAATTCGACGTCATCTGTCTTATCCTAGTTTCTGGTGGTTTCGCGCTCTTCTTACTCCCTTTCAACATCTATTCGTACCAGTACTACGGCTGGCGAGACCCGTTGACTATCTGCCTAATCATCTTCGGCGGTCTACTCTTGATTGGATCTGTCGTCTGGGAGAAATGGTTTGCCCCTGTTAAGTTCATGCCTTGGGAGCTTCTCATGGACCGAACCGTCCTCGGTGCCTGTATTCTCTCCGCTGTTCTCTTCGTCGAATATTACATCTGGACTGCCTACTTCACGTCTTTCCTCCAGGTTGTTCTTAACCTAAATGTTACCCAAACCGGTTACATCAGCAACATCTACAGCTTGGGATCGTGCTTCTTCTCGTTTATCGCAGGTTTTGCGATCCGTTGGACTGGTCGTTTCAAGTGGACCACACTCTACTTCGGTGTCCCGGTCACTATCTTGAGCATTGGTCTTCTCATCCACTTCCGACAGCCGGGTACCCACCTTGGCTGGATTATCATGTGTGAGATTCTGTACTCCTTCGCTGGCGGTGCCTCCGTTATCGGTGAGCAGATGGCTGTCATGGCCGCCGCTGCTCATCAACACGTCGCCGTCGTTCTTGCTATGGAAGGTATGTTCAGTAGTGTGGGTGGTGCTATCGGTAGTACCATCGCCGCCGCCATCTGGACAGGCTTGTTCCCCAAGGCGTTGGCTAAATACCTGCCTGCGGAATCACAAGGAGATCTCGCCACTATCTACAGCTCCCTCACAGCACAGCTCTCGTACCCTGTCGGCTCTGCGACTAGAGATGCTATTGTCGCCGCCTACGGTGATGCCCTCAAGTGGATGTTCGTCGCTGCTACAGCCATTACCGGTTTGGGTCTTGTAGCCACTGCTGTGTGGAGAGACATCAAGGTGAAGGATTTCAAGCAGGTTAAGGGAACTGTCATCTAAACCATCTAAACTCATATATGCGTCACTAATCTCCGCGAAACGGTTGGGTGCAGGTTTTGGATAATGAAAAGGGGTAATAGAAGATACCAGGTCGGGGGATGATGCATTGATGACGGGGATGGACGAGTCTAACGTGTCTGACACTGTAAGATGATACCGTGATAGAATTACGCTGCCGGTTGGTTCACTGAATCACGCTCATTAGAATCTAATAATGTCCAATTAAAAGTTTTATGTCTGTTATACTTCTATGGGATCTAGCATTAGCGTGGTTAATGCACCGGTGGGCAAGTGCTTTGGTAGAGTTAGTCTTGGTACTCTAGTTGGAATTGTATGTAGATGATGCCTACGTGCAGAATCAAGCTGAAACAATAGCTAGGTATCTCCCGCAAAACTTGGCTACGCCTGCTATTCAGCCGTAATGTTACAATATCCTCGCACTCTCCGGATTTCCTAAATTGAACGGTCGCGGACTGCCGGCCCGGCATATCAAGATCCACCACTACGCCTAAATGGGCGTAGGTGGGCGAAGGAATGCGATGGGATGGGAAGGTCAAAGAGGCAGCAATTGATTAAAAATAGGTCTCTCTCCCCACCATAGGCGCGTTGTTTTGGTTCTGATTACGGACTCGTAAGTCATCAAATCGCTCATCCAACATGTCTCCCAAACTCCTGTACGCCAGCCTGCTAGGCTCGCTGCTAACCAACGCAGCCGTAGTAGTCGCCCAGAGCTCGGAGGCGCACCCGCCCCTGACGACGTGGAAGTGCACGACCGCAGATGGCTGTGTCCAGCAGAACACGTCGGTGGTGCTGGACAAGGACTCCAAGTACGCGCAGGGCGCCGCGGGCTCGCGCACGGCGGACGACTACGCCGCGATGGGGGTCTCGACCGAGGACGACGCCGTGACCTTGTACCATTACGTCTCGTCGGGCAGTGGCGGCGCGCTGAACCCTGCTTCGCCGCGCATCTACCTGCTCGACGAGGGCGGCGAGTACGTCATGATGCAGCTGCTAGGCCAAGAGCTCTCCGTCGACGTGGACTACTCGCAGGTGCCGTGCGGCGAGAACGGCGCGTTCTACCTGTCGGAGATGGAAGCCGACGGGGGCGGCGCGTCGGGCGGCGCGGCGGCGGGCCAGGGGTACTGCGACGCGCAGTGCCAGGGCTATTGTTGTAATGAGATGGACATATTAGAGGCGAACGCGAAGGCGAACGCGATGACGCCGCACCCGTGCCAGGGCGACAACTGCGACAAGGCTGGCTGCGGGTACAACCCGTACGCGAGCGGGCAGCAGAACCTGTGGGCGACGGGCGGCACCGTCGACACGAGCAAGAAGTTCACCGTCGTGACGCAGTTTCAGGGCAGCGGCACCCTGACGTCGATTTCGCGTATCTATATCCAGGATGGCAAGCAGACGCCCGGCGGCACGATTTCCGCTTGCAATGATGGGCAGGGCGGTCTTGCTGGCATGGGCGCGGCGTTGGGGCGAGGGAGTAAGTTTGGCCTGCTGTTCTTAGAATCTCCTTCGGATTGATAGTGATATGTGCTGACTTGAATCAAACACTACAGTGGTACTGGCGATGAGTATCTGGAACGACCCTACGCAGCAGATGTCGTGGCTTGACGCCGGCGCCAACGGGCCCTGCAATATTGCGGAGAGCACCCCGGCCAATATCCAGGCACAGCATCCCGACACGCACGTCACCTTTTCCAACATTCGATGGGGCGATATCGGATCTACTACTACAGCTTAGAATTAGGAACCAATAGGCTATAGTATTCTCTTCAACATGGGTGGTATTGTGGTGATCATGGTCGTCCTTAGGTACTCAGGTGGTATGAAAGAAAAGGGGCTAAGGTGAACTAAGTAGTATGTATCTACTAAATCAAAACGTACCCTATTTTTTGCATTTGAGTTTCCAACGTCCCGTCTAATCTTTATTTTAACCTCATTCCGTGTCGCTCAGTCTCCTACCGGTTCATTGCGAAGGTTACAAAGCATAATGGACAGATAAGTTTTATGGTAACCTTGAACCATCCGACGCCTCTCGCTTGCACCACAGTACGGCGTGGGCCATTAGAAATGTAATTGCAAACCAACAACTACATGACAAATCAGATCTTTATGGCGGTGACAATCTAATGTTAGCTGTGACATTGGCGTAAGTCTTATTGAAGCTAAATGATTCCTCATCTGAGCAAGACTACTCCGTAGTTATTTGGATCTAGACCCTGGACCCTGAGGACCCTCAGCTGAGGCGCACACTAGTATAACGAATGACATGGACCCTTCGTCCTAGAAGAGCCAATCTTGAGTCCTCTGACTATCTAACTAGTGAATGTTGTTCTACAATAGGCTAACCACCAGGTTCATGTTATGCGTACTGCGCAGCAACATACTTCGGCTGCTGCATGAATCAGTCCATTGTTGCGAAGCATTCCCGAATACAGCCAGCCAGTTGGTTTCGTATGAGTGGCATCCAATGGTGGAATTAATGTTATGTCCGATCAAGAAGCTTACTAAGGAGGCAGGAGAGATAGGCACTCCAATATCTATACGGGGATATCTCTTGAGGGGTTGTGCCCGTTTCCTTCGAGGCATTGGTCACTTTCCAAAGTTTGGGTAGTATTATATATCATATTTTCACCACGGCGGAAAAGACGGGTGTAACCGAAGGTATATTAATCGGAAAGCACATATAGACACTTACCTGAGATGAGCGTAGAAAAGGCAATTGCTCAAATTTCCTAGATACAGAACATAACAAGATGACCACGACGTTTCTCATTACCGGTTGTAACGGTCTAGTCGGCTTCCCCATTCTCACTACGGCTCTTGAAGCAGGGCACAATGTACGGTACGCAGTACGGTCGGAAGACAAGGCTCGGGTGGTTTCTTCGAATCCTGCCGTCCAGAAACTAGCGCCCGGAGACCGGCTCTCCGCCGTCGTCATCCCGGACTTCACCGCCGAGGGAGCATTCGACGACGCTTTTAAAGGGGTCACGCACATCATACACACCGGCTCCCCGGTGCTTATGCCGTGGTATGAACCTATCAAGGACATCTTCGAGCCCACGCGCAAGATTAGCTCGAGCATACTCTCCTCCACGCTAAAGACGTCTAGCATCCAGAGCGTTGTCATCACCTCGTCCATTGTGGGAAACCTCGGCCTCGTGCCGCCAGCCCACGTCGTCTCCGCGGCGACCCGCGTACCGCTGCCCGACCCTTTCCCACAGGCCTTGGACACTGGGTACGAGGCATATGTACTAGGCAAGGTAGCGGAGCTACACGACACGGACAGGTTCATCCGTGAGAAAAACCCGCCGTTTAGGGTGGCGCATGTAAACCCCGGTTATGTGTATGGCCGTAACGAGCTCGCGCTTGACATCAAAGCTATGACCGAGCACAACAGTTCGAACAATGCATTGATCAAGGGCTTTGTCGGCGGCGAAGTGGGATGGCCAGTCCACAGGGGTTTCGTACATGTGGACGACCTGGCAGAGGTGCACTTAAGAGTCGCGCTCCTGGACCCAAAACTCCACCCGGAAGCACCGAGGGATTTCGGGGTGGCTATAAGAGTTGATCATGCTGACATATTCGGTTATGTCGAGAAAGCATTTCCAAAGGCTGTACGGGATGGGGTGTTCAAGAAAGGACATGTGCCGATGCTGGAATTTCAATGGGACTCAAGTGATGTAGAGAAGCTGATGGACGGAAAGTTGAAGAGTTTTGAGACTGCAGTTGTGGATGTGGCAGCACAGTATCTCGAGATATTGGGTAAGGAGAAGGCATAATTTGCTATCGTTCAACCTAGTATATGAAAATGATAGGAAACAGGTCGTAAGCACTAGCTCATCGAATACTCAATTTTGTCTAAACAGCGATGCGTGCGTGTAGGAGCGTCCACTGCAAACATTACAAGAGGTAGTTAAAGTCTTTTCTAAAAAGCTTACTCACGACTTCACGCCCTTATAAAGCCAGAGTCATAGTCGGGAAATGAGTGACTAGTGGGTATATATTCAGGAGCAAGGACGAATAATGAAGAAAGTAACTCTAGTATTCAGAGAAAAGAGAAGACAGATGTTGACATTGTTTTTCTGAAGTTTGCCGTTTAGTAGTGGGAGCTTGTTAAAGGTAGTGGATACCCCTCACAGTGTGTAACACCTTCCTTCCCGTCAGGTACCCGTTCGGTGCTGTACAACGCTAAAAATGTATCAATAGGGTACCCCAGGAATGCACCGTGGGGGTAGTTTTTCAGCCCTATTGCCCGCTACTTACTGAGCTAGCGAACATCAATTAAACATCTTCAACATTCAATATCGTCAATACCACCAACATCAATCCATCGACATTCTCCGACTTCAATTCATTCACGTATAGGCGCTTTCTTCTCTACATTCCAATCAATTCATGTGGAATATATATCTCGAAACAGAACTCTACTTTATTTTCTATTTAAATTCCTTCGGACATGCTGCGACGCTGAAGTCATACCACGTGGATACGCGCCATCTCGTCAACTCTCTACAGAAGACGTCGCGGTGATTACCAGCTCCCCCAATCAGGATGCGTGAGCTCTTCTTAACAGCATCTGTCAAGGATGCCGACTTCTCTATGACATGCGCAGTCCTGCAAGGCTTGACATGGATGACGGCGCGCCAGTCTGTCCACCGCATTCTGTTCTTTCATGGTCAGCCACAGCCGAAATCTCTCAAGAATACGCGCGCCTTCCAGCAGTCACGTTTCTTGCCCCTCTGGAAGGAGTTGAGCAACCAGCTAGCTCGATCATCATATGTTCTTCAAGTGGCATATGAGGTTTCCTTAGATAAGGACTTCGGAAAAGGATCAGCGATGGATTTCAATGCTTTGCCTGGTACCTTGAGATGGACAGACCTACCAGATCCTCTCAAAGATACCCCAGTAACATCAAGGAAGAAGATCGAGATCCCAGACCAACAAGCTCTCCCAGTAGCTATGAATGATAATGGTTTTCAGTAGGGTTACCCTTGTATAAGCCACGTTCAAACCAGATTTGATACTAACGAGCTTCGCTAGGTATAAAAACGAGATGATACAGGAGAGTTACTCCTTCGTCAGAGAGAACATCGAGTTTGTCTTCAGCAGATACTATCATCCGCCGGACTCGCCGGGGCGACCAGTGACTGCTCTCCCGGCATTTACAGATCTGCGGCCAGTTGACCCAGCGCAGAAGTGGGTGTTAAACGTGAAGCTGAACGTCCTTGACGATAACCAACCTGACAAGGTCAGGAAAGCGAGCGAAGAGCTTCTAGGTGTGAAATTAGAGCTCGACAGACTATTTGATTTCAAGATCCTCGACCGGCGGATCTTCGACACTAGGATTGCGCCTCCACCGGTTATACCTGGTCGTGGATAAGACCCTACCACGAGGAGATACGACAGTACATAGTATGTAATGTACTGAATCCAATATTATATTATATCAGTATAATGTCATTTTCCACTGTGAGAGAATAAGCCACTATCCATGGTTTGCTCCGATACCCATCCTATGGATTGGATAATAGATAATGGCGCTAATATATACTTGTTGTCCTGCTCGCGTGTATAGAAATTCAAGTATAATCTAGTATGATGCACGATCTATAGGGGCAGCTATAACATGATATCCTAATAAAATAGGACGCAACTTATTAACGGCAATCCATTATGGCAGCGATAAGTCACTGTCACTAAATTTCATGCATTTAAGGACAAGGACGCCTAAAAGCACAAAAGGACGACTACATGATCAGTATATCAGGACCTGGTCCCTGAATTAACATGAAGGTCATTTGGCGGTACATAAGTACACATCTCTGCGTATAAATTTATCAGGCAGGTACTTAAGGAAAGAACGCACGCTGAGGTTTGTTGATGCTTCCTTAACTAGGTCGTTCTTCCTTTGGTAAAATCGAACGCGTCTAGCTTAACGTTGAGTCACTCCATACCACCGCACTTTCGTATCTACTTATTCTTCCAACTCTCTTCCTTCCCGATCTGAGAACTCAACCTGACATCAAAGTTCAGACCTAAGGTTTCCATTATCGGTGGAAAAAAAATCCAAAATGCCTTCTCGAGACATTCACGGTAACCCAGCACTCACTCTACAAGAAATCCATCGCATTTTCAATCTTATACTGATTTGGGTTCATCACCATCTCTGCCGAAGCTGCCGCACCTGGTTTTTCCCCAATCACCGCAAACTCCCTCAATTGTAGCTGAAACCATCTACGATTGTATCACCGTCGGTTTCCCCTGTCCTTTTTTCGACGATTTGATACCATCAACGGTTGTGTCTCCAACCTTACCGCCGTTTACCCAACAACTTCCTCACATTTGACCTCATACTATACTTGCCCAAACATTACAACCATGGCTACTCTTTGCGATTACGATCTCCCGAAAGAGAAACGACCGGAGGGCTCTCGAAACTTCCCTCTCGTGTTTCCTTCTTATGTCGACGTGCGTTCTGATGTGAATTCTCTGGGAGGAAGCTCTGCCATTTGTACTTCGAATCATGGTCCTACAACGTCGGCTCACCCTGTGCCAGGTAAGTAACCCATTTCGATCTCATATATATGACTATCCGAATCCAATCCAAACTAAGACTGACTAATATAATAAATAGTTACGCGAGGATTTCCTGCTTATGGTAAAGCCATCCCGTGGTTAGACGCCGAGTATCCTTTTGAAAAGACCACGATCACCGCCCAGTGTCCCGAGCCAGAGTCCGATGGCCAGGAATCGACCACCTCGAACACTCCCAAGGTAGTACTACCGCCGAAAACCGAGGAGCAGCATGACTCTGGCATACGCACTCCCGATCGTGATCGTCGCCGACAGATGTTACATTACTCCCCGGAACCTGGAGATTCATTCTACTATCAACCTCAGGAGCGAGAAATTCTCCGCGCGCCCCCTGGACTCGCCCAACAGCCCCAAGGCCGAGGAATTCCTGGACCTCCCGGTCTTTACGATTTAGTCCGATCATCTGGCTATAATGGCCACCATGATGCCGACTTTAAGCCTAGTGGCCGACAGATTATCACCGATCCCCGACAGATTCTAGTCAACAGCCCCACGTTCAACGCCCAATACGCCCCGATGCAAACCCGCCGTGAGCAGAATCAGCATGACTTCTGGCTCGAGGAATCGCAGATGGCTAGAAGCCGCATGGGAACACCGATGGATCCTGACACACCGGTATCACAGCCCTCTCGCCGATCCCAACGCACAAGGAAGCTACAACGCAGACGTCAGAATCTCGCCGATCGGATGGCTCGAGAGGAGGCTGCTAGAGGCTTTGATTCGGAAGATGACAACGAGTTCTACCCCCACGGTGACAATTAGATGAACCGAAGCAAGAGAGATCTCGCCAATTGTCTAAAGAGTTGGGTCTGTTGCTTTGTTTTCCACGATTACGTTTGGCGGCTATCACGAATATGGAACGGGGATATATCTCTGAAGCTTGGCGTTCCTTCACCAACGGGTAAAGCTTGGACTGTACTCCTTCTACGATGGTAGTACACTGGCTTCGATCGCAAGTTCCATGCGTCATTGTAACAATGGAAGTCCCGGTCCTTAGTGGGGGAATTTTGTCACAGCTACGTGGATCGTACTCATATCCTCTTCGCATTTTGAGCTGGGCAATTCGACATTAAGGATGTCCTCAAGGTTGACTTGATGTAACGTACTACTCTGAGGTTGCTGTATTTACCTCCAGAATACGAATGGTTTTCTAACTTCCTTGCGCCTTTGAATTTCCTGATCGTAACATGACTATAAGCTACCCCTAAGATCACATTTTGCAGTTAATTATGATAATCAAACACGGGTAAGACCTGCTTTGTAATTTTGAATGTCAGGCAGGAGTCGTTTGGAGAGTAAATTTACTCAGAACATGATAGAAAGACACTTTCAAAGGTCTTGGATCTTCAAGGAATCCAGCAGTTTCTCTCATAGAGCCCCCTTTCAGGAGCTTCAGGATGCTCGTAATCCTCCATCTCCCCACCCCCTTTCACACAATAATCCCTTAACTGGTCATGCGATCGCACCAATTACTCGCTTTCTTCCTCAACATCATCCACATTCCCAAAGTACACCCGTAACAGGATAGTCGCACCTCCCAGGGGCCCAGACAAAATAGCGTACATAGTAGGTAACCAAATGAGGATCGCGAGTGAGCGGCGTAAAGGCGAGCGCCGGGTATGATCAGACGCCCGCCGTAGCGAGCCAGGCAGCCGGAACCAGGGCCTCCACGCGCTCGGGCGCGTTGCTGTACGCGTATTCAGTGCCCGCCGTCAGGTAGAAGACCTCCTCTATTGTGCCTCCTCCGAAGTAGATCAGAATCTAGAGGAGGGCTGAGGCCTGGTTCGATGCGGAACGGGTCGCACACAGCGGCGTAGGAGAGCGAGCAGGATGTTGCAGCAGGGGTTGCGGCAGCTCCGTACGTACCAAACCAAGCGTTCTGGAACGCCAGCGGCGCAGGTGATCCAGAGCCGGACGAGGATCGGGGACCCGATCGAACATGTGTGATAGATCGCGCACTTTCGTCCTCGGTACCGCCTTCGTCGCTGGTTGAGGCGTCTGAAAGGGGTTGGCCGCTCTCATACGTTTCGGCATGCTCCGGGGCTATGTAGGAATGAGTCACTTTGACGATCTCGAGAATGGGATTGTGAAAGATTGTAGATTATATTGCATTTCAATCTGCTTCTGTTAAGTCGATGACTGTGATATCGTCAAGAGAAGACATGTCGACTTTGTGTTTCTTATAAACCGCGGGGCCTTCGAAATCCCCAGGAGACTTGTTCTCACCACCTTGATCATTAAGTATGACAGGGGAGGCTTCCAAAAACCTCGTGTCGTGAGCATCATAATTAGAGAACTCGGCTTGCTTCGTTTGTCCTCCCAGTCCGTGAAATTTCTTCCGCGATGTATTGCTATGCTCTGGTGGATTGTTGCTGCTTCCGCCCTCGAAGGAGCTAGAATCCCTCTTCCTAGAGCGCCCACGCTTGTTCAAGACAACATCCAGTGATTGTAATTCGGTAAGGATTTCTCTTGCTCGAGACTCGTGAGATGGTGTAGTAGTTGTGCTCCCTCTAGGGGGAATCCTCTGTGGCCTTCCTCTTGGTTTCTTTTTAGTAGTCTTCTCGATGAGATCTGGTAGCGCCCGGCGAATCACGCAATCTAAGAGGGTGGCCTCAACCTTTCTGAACTCATATCCGGGGGGATAAACGTCGCGAAGTTCGGGTATCACGAGTAATGGGTCGACCACAATTGTAGATTCTTTCCTAGATCCGATTGCTGTATTTTCTGTGACACCATAGTTGAAATCATTGGCCTTTTCCCGGAGACGATGGTTAAGTTCGATCGGCACTAGGCACTCTACTGGCCAGTAGAGACTCTTCCGGGAGTGGAAATGATTCAGAAGAAATGTGCATCGTGCGAGTAAGTTTGGTCCAAACGGCCGGAACCAATTACGTACCAAGCCCTTAAGCTTGTAATCTGAAGAAACGTTCGGGCAAGAGCAGCTTCCCAGGACTTCCAGATTCGGAAAATTATTCGGGGGGAGGGTGAACTTCTTGGAAGGGAAAGTGTCTTTCATCATGCGAAAGAGCATTGCCCGCCATTTACTGAGCTCTCGATGATTATTTGAAGCGGACGTGGCCAGTATTTCTGCAGTTTCTTGGAACTTATGATGCTTCACGAGTTCCAGCAAAGTCCTCGGTCCAAATCGAGATAGACCGTCGGCATAATCACATCCAACAAGAATCGCATACATGATGATACCTTGTTGAGTAAGTTTGCTCTGACTCAGGAGACTGTCTGCAGTGTAGACAAGCACACTGTCTTCGCTATTAAATTCGGAACCTTCTAGCCGGCAAAATTGGACGACGGTTTCACACCCGAACATGAACGTATCAGTGTCATCAGTCCATACAGCATCTACAACGCCTAGCTTTTGAAGTCTAGCGCACTCGGCTTCGGCTTCACCAGGGGCTTCATGGCGTGGGACGCCTAACTGGTCCAGGAGTTCTTTCAGGAGTGCAAGATTATCTTCACTATAAGTCCGAGCCGTGGGGCGGCGCTTGTTTGGCTTATTTGGACCGTCGAACACGAAAATAAGCTGCACGTTCATCCGTAATAGGTAGCATACCCGTTCTAGAATTCGTTTCTCTCTTGGGTGGGATCCACGACATTCTAATTTGATAATTGTCTGATTAGCCTAACATCATATCTATGGATGCAGTCTCATTGTTGGCGCTAGCACCTACGTCTTTGGATCTCGATTTCTTTTTGTGGCGTCACGTTTCTGAACCACCAATTCGCTTGATCGACGGCAATTCGAAGAGGCCGATGATTGAGCTCAAAGTGATCAGAGGACCACTGAGCGATTGACCTAACCTCGCCAATCCCTGTCTTCTTCAACGAAAATCTAATATGTGCTGTTAGATCTTGACTATCATAGAATTCAAAAGAAAAACAGACCCTTGAAGACCCATCGCGTGTATTAGATATAAAAGTACAGATGTTTCTTTAGTTCTCAGTTACAGATAGCTCATCACGTACAGGGAAATCCTTGCCAACTAGAATAAACGCTGCAAATATTGAAAGAACTGAAGATGTGTGTTTCTCATACACCTTCACTCCTGTATGAATGCATTACAAACAAGACGCGTCGAAATAACTAGAGCGTGTGCGACAATGGTCAAAGAAATCTGGAAGCGTGGATCTCATGATGATCTGTGCAGTTTCGCTGAAGGTGTGGCTGAGGCAAGCGAACAGGCGGACGGGGGCAGGGGGTAGTGGAAGAGCAACAATTCCGATAGCTAATTTCAATTATAGACCAAAATACATCAAACGCTACGGAGTAACTGCTACTACACTATAGATAATAAACCGACCCTTCGTATCAATCGGCTAGTATATCGAGGTCAATCTCCGGCTGCCTCCGTCGAAATTGGATTTTCGATGCCTGATCGACACTGTTGTGCGTCTCAGCAGTTCGGTAAGCCGGCCTGCCCTCGCCTGGAACGAATCTCCAATCGTATTTGAGCAGAAGGTGGCACAGCGCGATCTTCAGTTCATTCGAGGCAAAGAATCGGCCTGGGCAAGCATGCTGCCCATGGCCGAAGCCGGTATGCGCCGGGCTAGTCGTCACAAGTTGCCAACTATTCTCCTGGCCGGGCTGTTGTCGCATCTTCAAGAACCGGGCGGCATCGAACTTCTCCGGCTCCGAGTAGATCGTCGAGTCCATATAGTTCGTAGTCAGTATTATGCGCGAACCCTCCGGTAAAACAGTGCCGTCGGAAATCTTCGTGGGCTTTTCCACGTATCGGTGCATTGTAGCTGGTCTTTTGTTAGCTGGCCCAAAGAAAATAAGAAGAACATGTAGCCATTTCAAACATACAATAACTCATTGGGCGCAGTCTCTGTCCTTCCTTCAAAAAGCTGTCCATAAGTTTGAGCTTATATATGGAAGTCTTGGCCCAACCGTGCTCGCCGATAACCTGAATGATCTCCTCTCGGAGCTGCTGGGCAACTTCGGGATATTGGCAGATATCAAACAATGCCGAACAGCTCGTCTCCGTCGTCGTGTGAATAGCAGCCGTTGTCAGCGAAAGCTGGCCAGCGACGAAGTCGGTTTCTCTGCCTCTGGAGACTTCATACATCCAACCAATCGTGTCTGCGATCTTGGGCGGCTTCATCCCTGCTGCTCTCGCCGCATCAACAGCCGCCTTGCGGCGTGCTACCTCGGGTTCGATGAGATCACGCGCATCCCTGACGGCCTGCCGCAATTTCTTGGATTGCGGTATCAGCAGGTAGGCGATAGGTCGGAACATTGCTGGAACAGCTCGCATAAGAGCCGACGCCACGAATACGTCGACGGTGTAAGACTTGGAGATGTCGAGCCATCTGCGGTTACGGCATAATTCTTTTCCTAAGAACACTCTCGACGAAAGTCGAGCGACAACTTCTAGCATGTCTTCCCTAATTAAGCTAGTAGTCCATTCCTCACTCTCACCGAAGACATGGTGCAATGCGTCGGTCGTCTCGTCCACGAGATCCTCCGTGATCAAGCCCAGGGATTGGGTTAACTTCACTCGTACAGTCTCCTGGATTAGTTCGTCATCGCTTAAGCCTACTCGCATGCCGTCGAAACCTGGGTATCCCACCGCAAAGTCCTAATTCTGTCAGTGACTTCTTGTATTCCAAGGCGGAGATAAAGTACGGCCTATATACCTTGGCAAAGGCCTTGTTGAAGTTCAGATGAGGGTGATTGCGGAGCTCGTCGGCGAATTTATTGGACAAGACAATCTTCGGACCAGTTCCCGTTACGACTTGGAACGGACCAGCGACCTGCACATCACGTTAGTGGAAATAGTTAGGCGAAGATCACACCCATCATACTCTTCGTAGTCCTTCCTCCAATGTTTCTTTGCCATGCTCTATCCAACTCTTCATGGGGCTTTTCCCATCGATTGAGATTATTGGAAATCCAGTGAATGGTCGATCTGCGGTGACTAGCGAATAGATAATGCCAAGCACCAGGGTTGCGGCGATCACCTGGACAGATACAGGCAATCCTGCGGGGAGAACATGTTGGAGGGCCTCCATCTCAAACGTAACTCCAATGGCGCGTATATCTAGATGGAGTTGGGAGTACAATGGTCGATACAGCCCGTACGAAGGCAAGAGGTTTTATATTCCCCTTCGCTACTTCGCTTTTAATTCCCCTCCACATGGCTACCGTTTCATCTCTTCGCGTGGTTGCATCGTAAGCGAGCCGTTCCAGATCCGATCCACCTCCACGATATCTACCCGGATTTTTCAATCTCCGCAATCTAAAAAATAGTAATGTTTTGAAGCATTAAAGGTTTATCCAGGGGTCAAAAGCCAATCAGAGGCGTTCTCCTTTCCGAATACGGATACGCTTTACGAAACATACGAAACGTAGTTTGCAATAACACAAATACAAATGCGGCTATTGACGTAACAACTAAGCCAGTAGCTGAGTTAAGCTTTAATTCCCCTACCAATTGGAACTGCTAGATGACGAATACGATTACTTGATTTGAGGAAGAACATGGGATCCACCCATTGAAATCACCAACTGCATGTGCGGCAACTATTTCCGTGAGGCTTGAGGGATGATCCCATATAAAAGTCCATATACGGAAACCGAATAACCTTTGCACGTTTAAGGACGCGTAAGTCAATGACTGAGTTACTAGGAATATTTCATTTTCTATAACGTTCAAAATGATATGTTACAGAGACTGGATATTTATAATAGTTAATTCTTATTCCAGTGTTAGGCACATGGGATATTATCCCGCGAAAATACCGGTGCCCAGATATCCCTGGATGCTCTAGTGTCAGTGGGGGATATCTACTTCCATAGTAAAAGGGGTAGCTGCTCCCTTACAACGCTTACATAATACTTGAGTCTATTTGAACTCCTAACTGTGTTTATACAATGCATGGCGGATAACCTGATAGTTAAATGGATATTTTATTTTGGATTATTTACAATTGTGAAAGAATCACAAATCACGACTAAGCATCATTTTGGTTTATGTAGTGCAATCTTTGAGTTGATGCTGTATATCGAAACCCCAAATGTTCACCCGATTCAAGATATGACATATAATTTCACACATGGATACGGTGGATTATATATCTTGAAAAACCGTCTATAGATGTTGCCTCAGAGCCAATGTAACTACGTCTAAGCAAACAACAAACGTATTAGTAGCGACGGCTTGTCGGCTGGGGACAGGCGAAAGGCAATGAGTCTGCCGGCGTCAAGAATTTTTATGTCCGAATATCACTAAAGCGATCCTATGTAACAAAACAGGGAATGAGACATGCTACCGTGGATATTCCGTACCATCCTATTAAATAGTAGCCCAAAATAAGATGAGAATAGGCATATCGTTCTTGAGATGAAGGAATTATGTTCAAATAGCTTACAAAATATGTAAATTTTACTCATAGTCAACCCGACGCTTCATACTCGCGACGTCATACCTAGGTAGGTTTGCCTTGTTGCAGATTAGTCAGAACGTAATCGAGGCCAAGAGCGAGGAACTACTGCTAATGGAGGGCCAAAGCCGGATTTAATGCACGATGGGCCTAATCCCATCCGAATGCGTCTCGCAAATATCGTTGTCGGAATTATGTTGCATTGAATCCGTGGAGCGACGAGGGGACTTCACTGCGATGAGATGTTTTCTGACATGAGACTGGATATGATCTTTGGTAAATCAAGTAACAATTACGGCCTAAAATCCTTATCGCCGAAACACGTCCTTTGTCATCCTGATTTTCTAGGTGAGTGGCGCTAGCAACTTCGGCGGGTTGCGTAACCAGACAGTAATTTACTCAAGTATATTCGAGATGACGATTGTGGCGGTTCTGTGCACAGGTATAATTACTAGGTAGCTCCGTGCGATAGTAAAGGGAAAGGGGGTATTGAAGATATAAACCTGTCGCGCTACCCGTTATACAGACTCGACCACCAACCAACAAAGCTTTAGTTCTCTTGACTAACCAACGATATCCCTAAGAACCAATCTTCCTACAATTCAACTAGAATCATGTCTCCTGTGAAGCTCTTAACTGGTCAATTAGGAAAGGATGGCCCTCAAGTCCCGAAGCTTGGCTTTGGCTTGATGGGCTTGAGTGTTGGATATGGCAAAGTGGGGTAATGTCTAAGTAACTAGAAGATCGCTAGCAACTATACGACTAACTCTGTGCAAAGATCTGATGAGGAACGACATAAGATTCTTGACCGAGCCTGGGAGCTTGGTGAAATATTCTGGGATACTGCATGTACTTATGGGGATAGTGAAGACCTCGTGGGTAAATGGTTCAAGAAACATCCTGAACGAAAACGCGATATCTTCCTAGCCACAAAATGGGCGCTTGGGTTAGAGCGGACGCCTGAGGGCGCGATCGCTATCACCGTGGATAGCTCCCCTGAGAATTGCCGTACAAGCTGCGAGCGGTCTTTGAAGCGACTCGGGCTCGATAGCATTGACCTTTTCTATTGTCATCGATTCGATCAGAAAACCCCCGTTGAGAAGACGGTGGAGGCCATGGTGCAGCTCAAGAAGTAAGGGGTCGAAGGGAAACAGTTCGAGCACAGAGCGAGCAGAATCACTAACTTGAATGTGCTAGGGAAGGCAAGATTAAGTATCTTGGACTATCCGAATGTTCGTCTAACACGCTTCGACGGGCCCACGCAATTCACCCAATCAGCGCAGTCCAGGTCGAATATAACCCTTGGACATTGGATATCGAAAACGAACAGGGGACTAATTTGCTTGCCACCTGCCGGGAACTAGGAGTTGCTGTGGTAGCTTACTCGCCTCTCGGACGAGGTTTCCTGACGGGCCGTTACAAATCTCCCGACGACTTCGAGCCGACAGATTACCGGCGGATGGTTCCGAGATACAGCAAGGAAAACTTCCCGAAGAACTTGGAGCTGGTGAAAAAGTTCGAGGCGTTCGCAAACGCAAAGGGCCACACGGCAAGCCAGGTGGTGCTAGCATGGATTATGGCACAGGGAGATGACTTTTTCCCCATCCCTGGTACTAAATCAACTAGGTACCTGGAGGAAAACTTGGGTGCGCTAAATGTCACGGTTTCCGCCGAGGAGAACAAGCAAGTGAGAGAACTCATTGGAAACATGCAAGTTGCCGGTATTCGAAACACCCAGCTCGGATCGATTCCTCCTGCACAGCTCCAGGATACTGTTCCTTTGTAAGTCTCAATCATTTGGAGGAAGCAGATGGACGAACTCGTACCTAAGTCACACCATGAGGATCAATATACCTGCGTAAAAATATTCATATGTTGCATTATCCATAGTATCCACCGTATCGTCCTAAATGGGGGTGATACCTATGCCCGATGTGTAACGAATAAGTTGCCGGAAGAAATCCATGCGTCCCATGCAGGCTAAGGTCATGAGCAAGGCTGAAGCCGACTGAAATGACGTACCTAGGAAGTCACTATAATACGATATTCGAAGGTCGAAGCCAGTATTCCGTTGACTCTTTTCTAAGCCCGTGCCTCGCCGAAACGAAATACTCGGCAGAAATAACGTTTACCTACTTGGCTGTAGTAGGTCCTATTACATGCCCGCTGTTGATACGTGTGATACTGCCATCGCTGTCCTGGAGTGACCTCTTACTCATCATCCTCACCCATTTCGTCGTCCTCCGCGTCGTCATCATCATCGTTGTCTTCATCGTCGCTAGTTCCCGAGCCTTCGCTATCACCTTCCGAGCCAGGATCATAGTCCTCCTCGTCTTCATCCTCTTCGTCTTGCAACTGCTGCTCGGCTTCCATCTGGGCTCTTTCTAGTTCTGTCATGCCGTCTTCACCAACATGACCATTCGCATCCTCTCCTTCATCGTCGGCATCTTTCTTCCCCTTCGCGTTCTCTGCCAATTCCCTCTTTGCCTTACGTTGATCTGCCATACTTCGGTCCTGAAGCTTATATTTCATGACGTAGTCTTCGTTGATGCCTCCGTAGTCCTCCTGATCCAGCATTGCGAATTCAATCTCCTCGGTTGTCTCGGTATCGCCGCCTTCACCCGTGTAAACCTCAACCACCACATTGAATGTGCGCTGTAGCACGCTCGTATAGCTCACGGCGGCAATCTTATCCAGCGGTATGAATAGCAGGGGTTTCTTGAAGCCCCACAGGATTCCGGTCTCTAGGAAGAAAAGAAAACCTTCCTTCGACCCCCTGAAAGCCTTCACGTGAACGGCCGGTTCCTTTGGTCGATGTGGCTGACGAACTTTGCTGTGAAATTTCGTAGGATCGGCTGCTACGATCTGCACGTTGTTTCCGGCTGCCTGAAGACACTTATTCAAGGCCCAGTTGAAGAGGGTGGTATAGGAGTCGGAGACGGCAGAAGCAGCACTTGCATTCGGTCCCCCAATCGAACCTGGTTTTGGTGCACCTGCTGACACGGTGAATACAAGCGGTTCTTCAGTTGGCGTCCCTGATTTGGATAAGGAAAAGGAGTTTCGAGGGAACAAGATGTAGTTGTGCTGAACCTGGGTTTTCTCAGGCACGGGAAGGTAGAAAGCGTATTCTGTACTGTGATTAGCCTTATCATCGGGCTATAAGTTGGTTGGAAATGCATACCAATATCTTTCCACGCGTATACTATATTAGGTAAAGGTGCCGTTGTGCCTGGGGTTCGGGCATATATATGTTTAGGGGTGAAGCATAGCTCAAACTTCTTGCGCTGTGGAATAGATACGGATATATCTTTTATTTCCAGCAATATATTCTCGCTAGCTACATCCTCTACAGTTGGTGCCGCGACATCTTGGGTGTTTCCATTTTGTGAGGGTTCGATGTCTACTCGGCGTCGCTTGAGGGATGACGAAGAGGATTGTTGGTCGCCGATCTGCTCATAGACAAAGCTTGCAATCTTGTTGAATAGCTGGATTCGCGACGGAGAATCTACATGTTTGGGTAAGCGACAATAGAAGTCAAAAGGTTTTAAATGCGTAGGGGTCTAAAACAGGTAATATACCGGCAGCCTTGTGGATATCCTTTAAAATATCTGGTCGCGACTTGAATACGGAGTCCAATCTCTCAGTATCTAGACCATCGGCCATGGCGTCAAAGAGAAATTGGTATGGGGTAGAACCCCAAATAAATCGTCAATGAGATTGAGTAAAGTTGTTGAAGAAATAGCAAGAGACCTTCGTTCGCTTTTCGGGTGACGATTCCAATACTATGATGTTGTTTGGAAGTTAACTAAATATTGTTTTGCGCTAAGAGTTTTGCTACTGCTAAGCAATGACGTACAGGGGTCCTCAAATGCCTTGGAAAGCTGTAAGCCGCGCCTGCCTTATCGTATCCATATCACCCTTTATTGCAATCGCCGGGGCATTTTTCAGCGCCACATTCACGTATACATGAATGTGGCGCAACCTGCGATGAGGTCCAACTCCGACCCCACATCTCGAAACACACATCCGATACCTTCTTACCCCAAGCTATCACTGTCTGCTTCTCTAATGTTGGACAAACAAGGTCAGCGTCAGTCCTCCTTTGATTTATGATATTCTAGGAGTTTTGAGCTGTACGTTTTCTAGCTGTCTGTTCTCGATTCAATGCGGAGAGAGCCATGTCTTTTCCAAATATATGGAACCATCGAAAGGTAGCCGACACCTCGGCTAAAGCATGTGAGGTCTGCTTCAAACCTACTACCAGCGTTCTTATCACCCCGGAGAGTAAGGTGTGTTGCGACTTCTCATGTCTCTAGAGACGCTTTCTTCTGATGAATGCACTCTTAGGACTTCTTCTATGTATGCCCCAGTCATCTAAAAGATAGGGGGTTCTGTTCTCCTATCATTGACCAGGAAGCTGTTGCGGCCAAGAAGAAAAGGGAGATGGAAGAAGAGCTTGAACGTGTCAAAAAGGAATACGAGGAAAAGCAACGTAAGAAGAAAGAGAAAGAAACCAACCCACCTAAGGATTCAGATAAAACGAAAGATGGGGAGGAAAAGGAGACCAAAAAGGACGACAAGAAAGACGGCAAGAAAGATGATCCAAAACCGGACTCCAAAGTATATTTCTATCCGGACACTCGGCGTATCAAATCTTTGCTAATTGATTTATGTAGATGGATAAGGCGGAAGACAAGACATCACCGAACCCAGAGGAAGAGCCAAGGGTGTTCTCATTGCAAAGGTTTATATACGTTCCTGTTTTGAATGATGACTGTCTTTGCTGATAATCTGCAGAACTTTCTATCAGCAACGGCTAGACAAGAAACGCCAAGTCGAGATGGCTAAAAGAAACCGGGAACGCTTAAATAACCCCAACTTCTTTCCGTCCGTTCCTAAGAACTTGCCTTAAAAGGTGAATCTCCCTAGCTTCAAGTGGTCCCCATCTCAGTACCTACCTAGGCAGTATGCTCCAAACCTGCCAAGCAACTTGGACCCCCCGCAACTCTCCCTGTCTCCATTCACATTGCGCTCTTAGACATGTACAAGCCTATCCAGGCTAACATGCTTTGTTGAAAAGCAATGGCATCTAGAAAGAATACTTTACATTCAGCGAATCAATGGTCATCATTGGAATATATACCCTGGTCGCTAAGCAATGAGTTTTTGAGATACCTATAAAGTACTTACTTCATGGCCCGAAGTACTCCTGTCGAGTACCCGCTTGATAGATATGGTAAGCCGAATAGGTCGTGCCTTGGACCGGCATACCGCTGCGGGAATGCGCATTTGCTTCACATCAACACACCATCTTACCGCTCTAGGGACACACCAGACGATTATCTTTGCCGTATTTGCCTAGTTGCATCTATCTCAATTCGGTGGCTTGCCCTGCAAAGCAATAGGCTATGGAGTAAACATTGACAAGCTGACCACCGAAAACGATTGGCTTCACTGAAGTAAGCCTTCAAAACGCCGAAACGCCTTATAAGGCTGACAATACTTTCTTGCCAACAAATTTACTCTATGGTTCAACGTCAATATCTTATGTTCCGCCCCGGATGTTGACGGCAGGTACTTAAAGAGCTTTGTCCTCGTCACATTGCATCATATGTGCTGCCCATGATGCTGGGAAAATGCTATGCGCCTCTATGGAGAATTAGCGAGTTGCCCACTTAGTCAACAACTTCATCGCTTCTGCGACCCAATGCACGAAGGTTAGCGCTTACATTGCATCGACAACACACGACACGAGGTCTGATGATACCATTTCGAATAGAGGCAGTGTATGCTGTGACACCCAATGCCTAGAAGTGGTCGATCTACCGGCCATCAACCGCGTTGATGAACCGATGCAGCATTAATGCAACCGATACGTCTCAACGAAGTCACGGGGATACCACTGGTTGCTCTTGCATCTAAGAAGTCATACTCGTCTTTTCTACAACGGACTCGGCGCATATTGTGTGCGTGTGTGCGATGATAAAGGGGTGTTGTTATTTTATCCTGCAAGTGGACAGCGCTCACTTTCCCCCTTTTGAGAAGCTCTTCAAGGCCGCAGGAAAGGTAACGTTAAATGTGCAACATGAATCTGCGCTCTCCAAAATCTGTGTTTCGGCCAAACTCGGGTTTTCTCTAAGCAAATTGAATACAGACTGCCACCTCAAAAGTATCAGCCTTACGAGAGGTAACACGGGTCATGTGGGTCTACCGACTCTCCTCAGCCGTTATAAGCCTTAGGGGTACCATGTTGGGGCACTCGGATCTATCCCGGTGATCGGTCACGACCTTCGTGTAACTGGACAGATCCGGCATTCTGCTGGCCGTGAGATGCAATATATGGGTTTAACTATTCTTCAGCATCTATCCTACACATCGCCCCCACGTTACATATTGATTCACTGTGTTTAGTTTCGGTGATAGTTGCCATTACTACGGGAAGTCGCCTATCCTAGTTCGGGCTGCTTCAACCCAGAAGGCTTTTGACATCGCAACGGCGCGAAAGTGGCACAATATGGAAGTGCCTAATCCAATCCCTGATACCATAGGTCCACACCCAAGCCTGTATTCGATGGTCATTGCACAACCCGTCTTCGTCTCCTTTAGGTTTACTTCCATCACTCTTTTGTCCTATGAAATATCGTTAAATACCTTCGGTCCGGCTGATGGACCGGGCTATCTTGTTGCCTATTTGCGCGGGGGCCGTCTAACTCGAAAGACGTACATTAGTGCTGACGGTCTAGATTAGTACACCCCCCTCCCAATCCTTCAGAATACCGTCGAATAATTCGTCTACGCTGTCTCTACGTGCACCCCTATAGGACAAGGATCTACTTAAGTATTAGTTGTATACCTCGAGCTACACTCGGCTGTGGCCGCGGCTTACGAGCTACCCATTATACTTCTATGGTACAGTTTCGGCACAGGGATCACTGCAGAAGTGCCGGGGCTGTCAGCAAGCAATCAGAAACTATTTTCTCGGACTCGCATCTCGACAAAGCTGACCAACTGTGGGGGATGATGTCACCTATACCTACTTAAAAAATCAATAGGTCGGCACATATCTGACTTTGATTTGGTAATGTTGGTTATAGGAAATTCTAACAGTTATTCTGCAGTGCATAGGACAATAATGGCAATTCCCGGCTCTTACATAAGTACACAAGAAATCGTCAATGCACCCTATGGCGTACGCAACCACCAACTAGCAAACTTCCCCTGATGAGGTTAAACATGTATGTTATGGCTTGCGGTTAGTCTGGCTAGATCGTGTGTACTGTCATAATACAGAAGCATCCTCATCATCTTACAGTATCATGAACCAAGGACATCGACAAGATTGGGGCATATCTTTGCTGATGGGACTTCTGTAGGACACACCGACGCTATTTCAGGGGTATATCACAACTAGAACTCTTGAGTGGCACAAGCGCACCTTCTCGTTCGATGGATTACGGAAAGCCCGACGAATCCCGTGATTTACCCGCTTCACGGTTCCGCATTGATGTTACACAGACACCGATCCCGGGCCCTCGGTTTGTTCCGTGAGGGGAATCTCATTTTTGTTACCTACTACGGGTGAGTTGGCCTCGGTGTCCAAAGCGTCAAATAAGAGTTGCAGGTCTGAGCAAACTATTATATCCCCGTCGGCTTACTACGCAGGCCCTCGCATTTCAATATTCCGACAAAAAGACCACAGGCGCTTAAAACGACTAGACCTGGGACTTCTTGTTTTTTGCGTTTCCCGCCTTCTTTGTGACGTGACGGTGGCTGAGTCTCCGGATGCACTAAGCCGACCCTATCGAAACTGGGCTGCATAGGGCTGGCGGCTAGCCCTACGATACTAAATGGGCTTGGCGGTAACCATCCAGGAGCCTGTTCTTAGCTAAATCCAAGTCAATCGCCGACGTGAAACTTACTAAGAATATTCTTTTCTCATCATGAGACTCTTAACGACACACCATCCACAAACACCATGCTACATCGCAAGCTCTTCCCTAAGTTAGAGAGGCTCAGATCCTAAGACCTTCTCTATAGATAGTACGAACTAGAACTTCGGCCCGGGCCAGGCCGAGTCGAAACATAACATTCGAAATCTTTGTTGTGCTACTCCAGAATATCCATCCCGCAAAGGCTTGATAGCAGGTTTCAACGTTGTGCTACCTACGTACACGGCCGTGGATATATTACGTGCCTAACTCTAGGAACATGCCATATCCCTCTTATTGTTCGCAGTCTTTGGCGTTGTGCATACGAGACTAACCTCACATACGCGAAACTCGGGACTCCCGAATGTCCATTCCTATCGGACGCTTCCCCATAGAATCCGACAATTAGGACCTATCATTTCCGGTATTGAAGCAGGATCTCGCAGCATTACCTATACGTCGGTATATCCACGAAGATAAAAGGAGCCGGTAGTTGTCTATGTATGGCACCATACGTCCGTACACGGCTTATGATGTGTTTCGTCATACAGCCTTTTTTACTTGGTTCGGTGTTAAAAGCTAGGTGCAATATGCGCCCCCAGCGGGCAGAATGCGGACGGTCCGCAGTCAGATCTCGCAAGATCCTTATGATTAGCCGAACCAATCCAACATCCCGATTCCACATGGGACAATCCAAATCGAAACCTACACCTGGCAGATACGTACTTGCACAACATCTTCCCTGACGCTGCTTAACCCCCATCTAAATCACACCGAGGCCGACCTACGAGATACAGCCGACGGACGAGGCTACTATCACAGAGATCTACTCGGTGGTATTTCCTCTCTCGGCGGCCATCTTTCGGACATAATGTTCTTGCCTGGCCAGCCGCATCTACGCCTGTGCCACATGGTCGCTTGCAACACAAGGTCATGTTATTTAGTGCTGCCAAAAACACATAGTTTGTGTGCTCCCGCTTTGCTGACATGATCACTTAAATAATACGCTTATTTCGGCCTCTACGACCATCAAAAACCGAGGAACAGCGAAATTCGCTCATCCTCTCGGTCGTTACCTGAATCTGACCATGGTGGCCGACCGGCGGCGTCTCGTATCTACCGAGAAAAAGGAAGAGGAGAAATGGATATTTACGGCGTTATTGCTGTTGCTCTGTGCTTGACCCCCAACGTACATATGCGTGCACGCGCACACGTATCATCGCTGGCGATTCGATCGCCCCGGCCGCCAGCATCGAGGCCCATTGGACGATCCGACTTCCTGATTTCTGGGGGATTTCGTCACGGGGACACAGACCCTCAAAAGCACGTATGTGGTTGAGCGGCCAGCAATGGAATAAACAAAACCTAGCAACATCATCCATCCCAGCAAAGCACGCATGTAGCACGCAGCAGCCAGCCAACCTACCTAACTTGACACATCTCTGGCCGACCGCCCCCTCTTACCCGCGCCTGCATACACTATTACATACCCACTTACAGTAGATACCTATATGGCATTATCGATCCTCTTCAGGCTTGGAAGGGGGTTCCAACATTCTCCCAACCGCAGCAGGCCCGTCTTTTCCGCCTTTCCAGCCGCCCCACTCGCATACCCGGGAAGGTCTTTCGTGACACCACGGTACGATAACCGCGTCGCAATCTATCTACATATATACCTAATCTATCGATTATATCTACCCGTTGCCAGCCCCGTGCCTCACCTTGCCTAGCTGCCGTGCAACTCCGCGGAATTCGAAAACGCGTCTGCAGTCAGCAGCCCGCCCGGCGCCCACCCCCTTGCCTTGCCGGCAGACGCCATCCGGTCCGCGGGATCGATCCAGTTTTCCCCGCGGTGGGAGGAAGTAACGTACGTACATAACATAACCATAGCCAAGTTCAGTTAAGCCTTAACCGCAGGACCCGCAATCGCCTCGTCTTTGGTAACGACAAACGCCTACCTAATCCTCAAGACATACGTAGATGGCCAAGCTAGGAAGGTATGAGCGGTTCCAAATCTGGGGATTTTATGTACCTAGGTAGGTTGTGAGTGTAGTTCTAGCCCAGCCCGCACCATGCAAGTCAGTAAATTCGACCAACGCAACAAAAGGAATGATATTAGAGACCCCAAAGAGACCCAGACCTACAAATTTACTATAACAGTTATATGCTACTTTCCGACAAACGCCACCCGCGCCTTGGCGTGTATGGGAATAGGTATAGTCCGACCACTTACCAAGGTAGGCGGCATTTTGCGCCCGTTGGTGACGAACGGACGACGAGGCGCGAAGGGTGGCGTCGAAGCACGGATAACTCGCCGGCTCGTTCGTCTTTTCGTATATGGGCGTATATGCGAGATCGAAGCCGGTCTGCGAGCCACATCCTGACGAGGTTATGCTCTATGGATTTTGTATGGATAATGGGATCTAATATAGAACGCCCTAAACGTACGTGGCTTGATAATTTACCCAGGGATATCCCAATCTTTCCTATGTATAGCATGATCCACGTCCCGCGTCTGTAAGCCGCAACCCGTTCCTAGGTATGTACCTAGTGTACAGTACGTTTTATGTCGCGACAGATTGCTTAAGCTAAGGGACCCTGATGATCAGTGTCGACACAGCTGCTGAACGTATATTCCTAGGTACGCGGCATATTTCCGCGATTACGTTATCGCTTACCTTGCAACTAGGAATATACTATTCACGCATATACATAGGTAATAATAGTCAATATTAAGGGCGGAAGAAGCGCGAAGGAGTTTTTCCTCCATATGACTTATCTCATACATAATAACTCCATGCACGCGGCAAATTTCGTACACCCACCAAGCTGGTTACCCCTAGCGAGTCTATGTACATACGTACATACAACGCATGTAACGGAGTTTGCCTTTTTCTTCCTTCGCTCGTAGGCTCGTAACAGTGACCTGTCACAACGTCCATTATCCGAAGAGTAAGTCCCACAATATTCGCGGTTCCTGCATGCAAAGGAACTTCGTGGCGTGACGTAGATCCAATTTTACAAGGGGGAACTACTGTTCTATATCGGAGAATTATTTCCTTCTTTCTAATTTCTATTCTGTTCTTTTCTTGTATTATCAGGGGAGCTATTAAAGAAACCCTGCGCGGTGCTTTTGTCTCCAACTTTGAGGTAATTATGAAGTTTGCAAGAGCAAAGCTCCGGCCACAATGTGAACGATACCGAAACGTGGGAAAGGTCCAATGAATAGTGAGCAAGGCGAAATCCAAGATGTGATTATTAAATTTGTGCTGAAAACTATCAAAACCTCCCGCGTAGCAAGCTAAGACTGACTAAATTCAATAACGTAACCTAGTTGGTTCCGTAAGCAGAGCTTAGCCTTTTGTCATCAAGCTGCTTCCTACCAGTTAGGTAGTTTCGTGGGGAGAATGTGATGATCAGAATAATCAGCGGAGGGCTGAGCAGCACGGATCGTCCACTAAAGAATCATCACCGAGGCCCTGGAAGGCCCAATTCAATCCGTATGAGTTTCAACATGTGAAAAATGAACCCAATATATTATTTAGATGTCTGTTTTTGTTCTTCTAGACAAGAAAATAACCCGCCTCGATGTCGGTTGACAAAGACCTTGGCTCGATCTAGCTATCTATGCTGAAGCTGTCTTACGTTCCAGGCGGGAGGCCAAAGCCAGTGTCAGCAGTTGTAGTAAATAACCTGTGCACCCGCGCCATAGGAGTACTTGTGACGCGGCGTCACTGTTTAAAGTGAGGCGTGGATGAGCTTCATCGACGATTAAAACATCCCACCTTTCTACACCGACAGTTCTGTCATATATTAGGCTGACAGGTCGCAATTATCTAGGTGGTCTCATCTCGGGGAAGCGCACAGGGCCAAACAAAAGGCTTTGCAAGGCCATAAGCTAATCCCGAGTCGACTAGCTGGCGAGGAGGGGGGTTAGGGGGAATCGTCTGCCTAGTTCGCTTATTCTTCGAGCGAAAAGCTGCTCGTGGCATTAAAACCACCAACAGATGACCAAGGATTATTTGTCGGGAAAAGCTCCACGGGTGCGCGATAGCGTCAGCAACATAAAGCTGTCCGGCGGCGCGGAATGTTCAATAAGATCGCAAGCTGACATGGGGGAACGGGAATGCCCTTGAGGATCAGACGGTAAGCCAGGTTGCGACCCCAGGTCTTCTGCTAAAGGGGGGATAAGCCCTATGCTTGAAGCGTAAATTCGGTAGGGTTAGGTGGTGTGTGCATCTGACATTACGCTGCCACAAGGGGATAGCCCCTTGTTAGCGATACGCTTTCTTCGTACCGATACAATGATATCTGATTGGGGTACATTTTGCGAAATGTTTTCCGGCACAGCAGCTGAAGGGGAGGCGTGAACCGAGAGAAATTTGTGTTTGACAAAGCACTTTAGCCCCTGCTACGGCTTGATCCTTGAGCCCTTAGCGGCGGGTTAGGTAAGATACTTTGTCAAAGGAACTGGAGGGGGAGTGTGTTGCTGAACGTCAGCGTGTGTTGGCTCGTGCTCAACGGCGTATTTCGCCCTAGATAGGTACGCATGAGATTCTAAACGACCGTAGTTTTGACGAATCGGACAGGATGCTTACTTGATGAATATAGGGATAGTAATACTTGTGAATACGAAGTCGATGACTAATAAATGAATAAGGCTCAAGGCTTCCGCTAAATCGGACCTCAAGGTTGTATCACAGATTACCGTTTCGGCCGGGAGGGAGCCGGATTCCAGGGGCTTCTGTATGCCGGAGTGCCACCTCATCTACCCGGCTCCGGTTAAGCGAGAATGCCGGAACTATCCACTCGCTACAGCTACATTTTAGACCTTGCCATGCGAACCGCCCGACTGTAGCACCGCATCTGGCGTTTGGGCAAGATAAACGACCCTCGAGAGCGCCATCCTCTAGCATCGGTCTCATCCAGGAAAGTGTCTCGACAAAGACGTGAGCACAATTTGAGGGTTCGGTTCGGCCGGTAGGAGCATGTGGTACGACAAACTTGGGCGTCGCAAGGATGCGTCTACACTTCTTACAACGAATCTCCCTGCCATCTTTCTTGTCTGCCTCGGTTTCGGGGATTGCCTTGCCTGGCTCTAGTTCATCCTCGAACCGGATGTCTTCAGCCTTAGGCGCCTCATGTACGTCCCGGGAATCACTGAGCATTCTTTCGTATAACCATTTCTGATAGACGGGATGTTGCTCCACAGAATTATCGTCGCCAGCGGGACACCCCATCTCCCACCACAATTCGAGCTGGCGTATGAAGCCAGAGTTAGGCTCAGCAGCCCCGCGAGCCTGGCGGACCAATTCCAAAGCGCCCTGTACGGCTTCCTTCGAGTTTTGCCGCCGCTGAGCCGCCGAGGCACTTGAAGGATTGGACTGTTTGCCTCCGAAGCGGTGAGGATACTTGTAAAGAATATAAGCAATCACGCAGCTGACGGAACGTGATATACCCATGGCACAGTGTACATAGACGCCTCCGGACAATTTATCATCATTATCTCCGTCTCCGGTCTTGGGCTGCTTCGCCTCTGTGCCTGCGCCGCTGGACGACGGGGTATGCAGACCACTATCGATAAAGCGCACCGCAGACGGGAAGTAAACCAGTAGATCCTCATCCGCATCGTCGAGGACGTCGATACTCAAGTGCTTGTAGCGCTGTACCTCTTCGCCCCATTTTTCCAGGGTGAATTTAATGACAGAGAGAATGTGAGTAACGTTCTGTTCCCGAAGTTTGTTGCGGCCCGACTCGGTGTTCAGGACCCAAGCTCTAAATGCTTATGTTAGTTTGCATCTCTCTAAGCCGGGATTGTACGGCACGGGGGAAATTAAGGCTTGAGATTACCCTCCAACGTAAAGATTATCAGGTCCGGGGACCCTGGATATCGACATGACGCTCTTGTTGCTCTTATATCTCTCGTTGTTTGGTCATCTACGTAGGTATGTGATAAATTATGAAGATTGATGAGACCGGAGTAAGAATTGGTGATAAATTATAAGTCAGTCTCAATAGTCAAAGGATCAATGTATTTAGATGAGCTCATGTGCATTAGATTAGATAAGCAATTAAAATTTGTGAATCATCTAGCAAACCTTCAACATTGGAGCTTCCGCCTTTGTCCTTCCTGTGTAATCAAACATTTTCCAATCGTTGATGCCGCGGGCAAAAAATGGGTCCGTACAAGCTTTAGCCCCTCGTTATTCTAGGCTGAACACATGTGGCGTTCGCGGCTGTGCGCATCAAATCTCACCTAGGCTTTACATAGTACGTACATGGAATTTAAACTTTTCATCTCTCCCGATAGGGCTGAATCATGTGATAACGCTAATCCCTTAAAAAGTGACGAATTAGTTTACTTGCAGCTCGTGCTCTGCACCAATCTTCTCCAAATTCCCATCCAATCGAGATGGGACTTTGGTCAAGCGCTGTACTTAGGTAGTTTTGAGGGTACCTAACCATATATAGCAATCGATTTCTTTCCTCTTTTCTTTTCTTCGAAAAAGGCTTGTAGCTCTGATTTTGGAAATATGGCTGGCTTAGAGAGTATCATATTTTACTCTAGATGGATATATTCGAATGTTTTTTATCTGCTCCTTTTCCGTTCAACTATATACATCTTAGTTTTCATAACCGCAGGTATTCGGTCATATTTAGCATTCATAGTAAAGCCTTGTAATTTCCATCGGCTCGTAATAGTCAGTGAATCTCTCCACCCCCTACCTAAAGCATCGCACCTTGGCATTAAGAACATCTAAACGACCGTGGTGAATCCATAAGGGCATCAACCATAGAAAGCGTGTCGGTATATGACTATGGATACGTAGAGGATGATCGTCAGCATATGATTCATGAGCTGACAAGATCTACTAAGAAAATGGCGAAGAGTCATCCATCGTCCTCTTTAGAATCTGCAATCTCCGTATAGACGAAAAAGGACTGTGAACCTATTTCCTCTACTCTGGACTCATAACAACTTGAAATCCAAGTCATCATTTATCTACGTCTAAATCTGTCGTAGCAAATTGTGGGTTGCGTTGTTATAGGTGGAGAATCAACAGGTTGGTCTTCCGAATTAGCACGGGAGAGCTGCATTTCGACATGTGCCAAGCATCAAAATACCCGTTGGGATGGAACAGTGCCGTCAGCAAGCAGCTGCGTCTCGTAAATTAACCATTGACAACATGTAATCCACTTCTACAATGTCCCAATATGGTCTTGGTGGCGCCTGATACCTCGGCTGGAATATTGAATTTTGTAGACAGGGCTGATTGCCCTCATAGTTTGGACTATCCGTAGTATATCGATTTCAAAGTCATATTGCCCCCGACCCTTGACCTCCGTGAGGAACCATCCAGCGGGCGGGAGATCGGCAAGGCGACTCAGGATACTCCTAGATGCGGTGAGACTCGGAAGCGCACCACGCAACACACACCACGCACGATTACTCTTGGGGCTTCCAACTAGACCCCCTCTCCCTTTCATTCCCAGCGCGCCAATCGTAGGTCCAGCTGTTGTGCATAAACGGGCGCCTGCCCCTACCCCAAGCCAACGAATCAATCTATCCGAATAATGCGCGTCCAAAATTCATAGGCTTTCTCCTCGAGAACCCCGCGCAGTATTGCTACCCAACCCCGTCGCATGTGGGCAGTTCAATTCGCTCATCTTGCTGGCTGTGGAGGTTCTTCATCGAGCATACATGCATTTTCCAACATATTCGTCCATTTACCACTTGTTCCCGCATGGCTGTGCTTGAGATGCTGCCGAAAATGATCTGCGCGGTAGAATTTCTTGCTCGAATTGCATTCGCGAAATTTATGCACCTCCTGAAGATGTCTCAGACGTTCTTCCCAATCTTGTTCTGATGGCTGTCGTGGACGCCCAACGCCACCACGCCGCTCAAATTCTTCTCCGCAGTAACCACATATATCGGCTTCCCCAGGTCGATTCGTACTCTCGTGAAACGCGCGATCGTAGCGCGAAAGAAGCAGCGCAGAACACGACCAACTGTGTCGTCTTACATGGAGGCTGTTTTGGTGACGTTCTGCCTCATTCTTATTCTTGAACCGGTTACCACAAAATGAGCATTCGTATTGCTTCTCAGCCTCATGGGCACTGAATAACTGGTTAGCGCCTCGTAAAAGTGGGAGGCAGCATAGAGACTCCAGATAAAGTAATTGATTTTTGCGACTTACCTTAGCTCCTCTGCCGTCTCAAATTTTTTCGGCTTCTTGGGACAGCATTCACACATGAAGAAACCACCTGGTATTTTAGAAATGCCCGTTTTGGATACCTCGCTTACTTTACGGGGAGATGCAAGTCGGCGGTTTTCGCTACTTATATTGCGCTGATGAGGTACCCGTGCAAATGAAGCGCGTGGCGAGTGAGTAAGAGAATTGGGAATGCTGTAAGGTGAATTCGAAAGAACGTCAACTGGGGAGAGTCCTCCGCTAGACAAACCACCAGGCGACCTTCCGACAAATGAGTTGATACCAGAGAGGTTTGTGGTTAGCGAGGCGCTTGAAGCAAAGGATCCACTTCGTGTCGTCGAGGAGACCGAAGGGATAGACCCTGGAAGGACACCGGCGAGGCGTGGAGTTGGTGATGCTCTTGATGCACCTTCGCGACGTCGTAATGGGTCGCATGACCCAGGCATACCCTGCATTGGGAGATCATCGCCAGGCGGTGAAGATGCCCGCCTCTTTTGCCCGATGGCCTGATGCTCCGATCGCGACATGTAATCCTCAACTTGTGACCTGTCCTCCATTGGAAAATCGCCGTCATCCATGTTATCATAGCTACTATGCGTTGATATTGTTGCATCATCCGGTAATGAGCCGCTGTTGTTCCTTCTCGTCCGTGAAAACGGCGATCGATCTGGATCTATCGGTTCAATGGGAGAACGATATTCACTACTAGCAGTTCCGTAAAAAGAAGGGCCGCGTGGCGAGAGCGCAGATTGTGGAGGAGTATCCGTATAACGGCCGGGAGAGTCGATAACCAACTTGTTGCCCGATCGAATAGGAAGAGAAAGCGGCGTTAGCTGCTGAGGGTGCAAGCGGTGCTCTTGCGGAACCAAGCTGGAAACGGCATTATTTGCAGAAGCACTAAGAGCAGACCGGCGTGGTGGAGACCGGTTGTCGAAGTTTCGTCGAGAATCTAGTTTCTTGATTAATGCATTGTCATAGTCGTTGCCGTTTGGCTTGTTGAATTGGTACTGGTCGTGGGACATGAACAATTTTTTCGGGAGGGAGTCTTGAGACCTGAATGAACGCTCTACAGTTAGTCTCGTTTGGGCATATAGTATCGTGAAATTAAGTGACTGTACCCTAACGACGAGATCGTAGAATTGAGGCTGTGATAGCCTTCGTCTCTCGGAGGCCGTACTATTCCATGCTCGGTTTCTGCCCTGCCGAAACGAGGTCGGTCATGTTCCAAGTCTTGTCTCGTGCTGTCCCAACTTGCATTCGAATCAATTGAAGGGATACGATCATGTCTAGTAGGCTGTAAGGGTTGTCCTAAGCCAGGAATAAATTTGGGAGGAGGTAAAGGTGGTGGCGCATCGTCTTCGGCGATACGGTGTCTATTAGATATCGGCATAGGAGTAGAAGAGGCTAAAGTTGGTGAGAATCCGGATTGCATATGGGATCGGCCTGGACCTCCATAATGATCAAAGTGGTTCGAACCCTGAATGTATATGGCCGGCGGTGAGCCTCCTGGCTCCCTTGATACGTATCTAGGGATATCCATATTGTGTTCCCCGTTTTGAAAACTCGAGCAGAGGAAGCTGGTTTTGTTCGACGTAGGCCAATGACAAGAACGCCACAGTCTAGTGGTAACGGAGAGTAGCTGAGTAGATGCAGAGGCTGGCGGCTGATTCGCCGGATCAAGGAATTAGTTTGCCAAGAAGGGTATAGAGCATGTAATAAGATGGTGGAGTCGGCAAGGCGGTGATGGCGGCGCTGAGGACAGTATGTGGAAACGGACGGTGGCCCGGACCTGAATCAAGAGGCATACGTCGTAGGGATGGCGGTGGCGATATTCGTATCGGCAGTGCCGACGTCGTCTGTGGAAGGCAGCGGATGTGTGGTGCTGGTGCTGGTGTTGGTGCTGTTGTTGAAGGCTCGTACTTGTGAGTAGAGGAACGGTGCGAGGGTATTCTAAGACAACAGAAAAACGTAAAGCGTCATGGTAGTAATAAACATGTAATAATAACACGATGATAATACACCGAGATGGACCCAATGAAGAAGAAACCAAAGCAAATAGGTACAAGATTGGGCCTCCAGAGAAACAATCGAGCTTGAAAGTAATGGTGGTTGAAGCTCAGCTCAGCTATGAAAAGAGAAGAATGGCTGATGCTAACAAGGTAATATGGCCAGGTCCGGGTCGGGTCGGGTCGAATATATTCTTAGTCTTGGTCTCTTGATCGATAGGTATAAGAAAAACGAGGCTTGACCAATTGTTCCCAGATCCCAAGTTCGACTCAATTTCCTTGCCCCTTAGTTACTCTTTCGACGTTTACTTTCTATATCCGTAGAGTTCGTGTGGCTATAAAAAGTTGTTTCGACCTTTGAAGGGAAACAGGAACGACGAGGTCAGGCGTTGTAAGAGGTTTCAATGTTCGGCCAAACACTTGCGAGAACCCATCCACAACCTTTTTTTTCTTTTTCTTGAAAGGTTTCCCAGAAAACGAAGAGGGGCGAGGTTAGGTGCATATTAAAAACTAGATTCGAGAATGGAACTAACCCACACACTCACGTAACGAAACCCGCCCTACCAGCCTACCAAACCTACATAGTGCCTACCCTACCAGGTCTACCAGGTACATACCTTCTCATACCTAGTAGAAGCTACCTAGGATTGTGTGGGTTCAGCCCTTCAAGGAAGACAGGGGTCTTCAAGATTCGCTTTAGCGTGCCTTACAAGAGTGGAGGTACCTAGGTACCATAGAGGTTCCCTCCAAGTGGGTCCAGCCTAGGTAATTCATGTTGTGCTAGGGCTACTAGGGAGTCATAGTACATATGTACCTAAGTACATCGTTGTACTCCAGGTGGGGCATCATTAAGGCGGAAGGGTGACAAGGATCGGTTAGGGTGGGGTGTAATTGAAGAAACGACGAAGAGGAAAATGGCTACGTACAGGGGTGTGCGTGAAGGTAACGCTAGGGAGTGTCTGTAGACAGTCGCTTTTCAGATCACTCAGACCTTGTACCAACGTACCAATTTATGGTGAGGCAGGATCCATACGCGAGTAGATGGGACAACTTCAATCAATGGATGAAGTGAGGTGCAGTTACGGGTGGTAGGATCAATGCAACTTCTTGCCGGCACAGGGCTGCACCATTTCCAGTCCGCCTTCCACTAAAGGCTGGAATATTAAATTGGGGTAGGATAACGTTACTAAGAAAGCATAGAGAAGCGTTTATGTACGCATACTATGTGCTCACTTTCGAAGGCCATCTTATTAATATACTAGGTACTAGTTATAACATGCCTATATACCTACTTAGTAAGGTATGGATACGGATGTAGTATAGTTGGATGTGTGGTATGTGTTAGATGCCTCATCGATGATGGAAAAAAGAGCGCCATCAGTCTTAAAAGCTCAACGTCAAGTAATGGTACCCTCTGCATACTACCCGCTATACTAATGCCACTTCAAGAAAATGACGCTGATAGCTACTCGACACTCTATGGACTTTGTACGGTTGTTCTTTTTATGAAGAACATAGTAATGCGATGATCATCGAATGATGTGTGCGTGTACTCAGTACCTTTATTCTAAGTCTTGTAACGATGCACTCGGTTTCTTCCGTCTAGCGATCAAATTGTATGATGTTCTTAAGAAGCGGTCTTCGGTCCGATCATTTAATTTCCAAGGTTCCCAAAACTTAGCACTAACCCGCTATTCCACGTTGCCCATTACCGATACGTGTAAAGGGGTCGGCCATTGACTCCAAATTGAGCCTCACGAGCAATCAGACGACAGCGATAAAGATCGGGGTTTCAGCCTTATAAGGCCTTATATAGGGATATAAACATGATTAGCTAATTCCCAATATGGTTCAAGTATTGCGATCGTTGATGAAACTCCGTCCATGCAAATTTGCCCAAATACAACATGAACTTACAGCATATGAGTGCTTCCAGTGCACCCACGCATAACAATTGTGTACTGCAGGTAAGATAGGTACGATTATAAATTGTTTACATAATCGGCCCTCGTAGGTACCCAGCAAGACCAGACCCATCCCCTACCCTGAGCTGAGCAATGATGACTAAAATTACCGAATTACCATAACAGGAAAAACCCACCGCTAAGCTCGTGAATGAATAGTGAGATTCGCCCGAAATTTTCAAGACCGGTACTTTCCATGCCATCCATGGATGAAAGCAAAAGCCTATAACAAGGCGAACTGGATCATTCATCCTTGCCCCTAGCAGAATCCGGGATCCAACGCAAAATCTCGTCATCAAACATGACTTGTATGTACGATGGTATATGGCCTATAAGATTCGTATAGACCGGGAATATGTAGACCTGTTAGCCTACCTAGTTCAAACCAATCTGACAGCGGCGTAGCTTACTCTAAAGCGCTCTACGGCGGATACATCACCGTGGTTCGATACGAAGTGACAAATCAAAATACACGAGATCGGTATGGATGGCACGCAGTACGCTGAATACATCAAAGAATGAACTTACATATGCAGTAACTCGCATAAAATTTTGAATGTTTTACATACATAATACATATGATATGTAAGTTGATGATGCAGCAAGTAGATGAGAAGTAGAGAGGCATTTGGCATTACCTAGTGTGTCTCGCAATTCAATACGAAAAGAAGTACAAGCGCAGTACAGTTAAGTTGGTTGCACACCTTGGCAGACCTCAGGCGCTGCTACTCTCAGACCTAACAAATTCCAAGTCCTAGGCGTAATCTCACCGTCATCCAATATCCGGGTTTTTCCAGCCCTAGAAGCCGCGAACCCGCGAGGTTTCTCCTCTCAGCCCTACAAGCCATCTCAGATTCTAGGATTGAGACAAGCTAGCGGATTATTCGATATTATGATTGGCTCCGCAGAGTATTGCCTCGACGGAACTGGTTAAGTTTAGAACCTAGTAAAGAACATTGAAACCCCTCCTGTGTATTTGTGCCCCTCCTTCTTACCTTGACTTTTACATACCACTTATTTAAGGTACCTAGGTACCTTACATCACTGCCATCACACTGCACCACACCAACTAGAACGAAAAACTTCCAACGTTACACATTTAACTTATCTTTCAACATCCTGTCAAATCACTAGTCAAGGCGATTTAAACATTATCGTGAGATGATTTTTATAGGTGGCTTTTATTTATCTACGACTCTGTTAATCATTATATCCTAAATCGATCGCAACATATAACCTTAGGTCCACATCCATACGGATGGGACCTACAGCCTAATAATGTTCAGATTCCACACTTTTGCTGCATACCTAGGCCAACAATAGATTAAGCGCTTCCAACTCGGCTGTCGTAATTCCCGGGCTCACATCTCGAGGACGAGGATTTTCTAACTGGTTTGTTAATCTCGGACGCCGCAATAACTCAACTTTGCGTGACCGCTTATTCGCAAGCCTTTAACAATAACCATGGATGCGTTTGGGGATGGACATCATGGATATCATCCAATTCACAACCCCTAAATTGAACGCTAAGTTCGTCAAACCACAATGCTCATGATATTAATTTATTTACCTATATCAAGCGGTCTCAGTACCGGAAATGGAAGCAGCATCTTGCTATAAAGCCACACGTCTATCCTAAGTTGTCAAACTATTAGTAAGATGCTGATCTGGGGACCAAATTTCCGACAGGCACCTACGTTGAAATGAGTGAATTCACAAGGCTAAAAATAGGGAAGCTAATTACCTAGATGGGCAACCTAGCTCATCTGAGCTTGATCCTGCGAACTTTGGGGTTTATGTTGGCGTCACCCAGCCATACCTAAGCCTTAAAAAGCCGCCAAAATATGAGATTTTGAAGGATGTGACGATGATCAAGAATTGCAGGAGCCTCAAAAAGCAGAGCATGGGGTAGAGTAGACCTACCTCTAGTAAAATACGTACCCATTCTGCAATGGGCTTACACATACGTCTAGGATGAAGTGTGAGACACCGAATCCAAGCTAATGCTCGATCAAAAGCCGACTGGGCTTTGGTAATATGAGGTTGTGCCACAAAATCGCCTAGAGAATGAATCTCTTATGAATCGCTACACAATATGGCGTCTCGCCTTACTACCTACGTGGGAAGGTATCTGTACCCTACAGGGCTTAAAGTGTCCGCTGAAACTGTGCTACCGCTGAGGTAGGGCAACGAAAACCGAATGTTGGCATCGACGAATCCCTGGCCCTTCTTGTTTGATTTAGTATTTTTTTCTTCTTCCGATACTACGAACAGCCTTCTCCACGTAACTATCATATCCAACCATACGCACCGAGATTTTATCTTAACGTCAAGTCAACACAATGGGGAAACTAACCATGCTGCCATGACCGGACTCAAGCTAAGAGACGACGATACCCCATATGTTACGCGTCGTTTGGATAGGATACTGTTTTGCGGGGTGCCCGAACGATCGGTCCCGCTCTACCAATCGTTCGACGGTGTTCTAGAGCCCTTCTAGCACTCGTACCAATATTCATATTCATACCTACAGAGTACATGCCAGCAAGAATACCTAGTAACGTCCGCAG